TCGAATCGAAATTTCGGATGAAGGAATACCGTAGCAGTATAGATAGGTGTAATATCCATAAGTTGATAATACTCCTCAAGCTTAACCCACGCGAGGTTAACGCTTGTAGTAAGATAGCTGTTATCCTTATATATTTCTTTAAGCTTCTTAAGATGCTGAAGCAACAGCTCAACTGCAGGCAGCGCCTCCCAAATAGAACCGTGGTGGCCCTCAACAGCGTTGCCCTTAAGTCGCTTTGTAACCTTGTAGAATGGCGTTAGGATGCTCTCGATCTCTTCTATCTTATCCTACTCTTTTACAGAGAGCGTATCCTCCTTGAGATCATTGATATTCATCACACAAATCGTTGTTATTTGAGGACGAAGCTTGAGGGCGCGATGGAGCATAAGATATGTTGAATTCTAGCGAGTTACGTTATCAGAGAGAACCATTAGTTCTATAGTTAAATCAGTAGTTATTTAATGCGTAGAATTTGAATACTCACGCTTTAAAGTCGTATTATCTCTTGATAAGCTCATAAAGCTCTTTCTGCGCTGCGGACTCCTTCGAATCTAAATAACTAGGTTATGGAGCTTGCTAATAGGTCCTCGTTTTCGCTATAGGGCCAGCAATTCGCGTTCATAGTGAATTTCGAGCTTGAGCTTCTTAAGAGTATTGATTTCGAGCTCAAACGCGTCAGGTTATCCTCTAAAAGTATCCAATTAGGATCCTAATTAAGAGTAACAACTTCCTCCAAAATAACAACATAATTAGCTTGCGTTAACCGTCCTTCTACTCTAGAGCTAATATAGAAGTATAGCTTACTCTTGAAATCAATATTAATATACGCAAAAACATGTTATATTTGATTTTGCTGCTTTAATTAAAACTAAATCTTTGTAAGCGTATCTTAATATTTTTAATTATAATAATAATAAATTTAAGCTTATTATTAAAGGTTATAAGTAAAGTAATATTTATTATTATATTAATAGTTTTTAAAGTCATCTTTTTATTAATATTAATATTTAAAACCTTATATAATTAAATATATTTTTTCTTTTATATTATTAATATTGTAACTTTATAATTAGCTATATTTCTTTAAATTATATATTTAGAGCTATTAGCTAGACCAATTGCCCTTACATTAGTATAATAAGTTATAATTCTAAAGCAAAATAAGACGTTTTTAACTATCTTAATAGTATTACGCTTATAAGGAGCAAGAACTAGCTTTTAGTCACAGTCATAGATTCGTTCGCTTTAACGCGCAGAATTCGATTTAAGGATAGCATAGCCAGTTTGTTCAGGGATATTATGAGCTTTAAATAGCTGTTTTCGAGGCAATTTGCCCGCAGTAGAGTGTGCGTCGCAAAGGAGTCGCGTACGACGCGGAGTATCAACAATAGTATTTCGTTTGCGCGGGGAGGCAGAGGGTAAAGAAATCGTAGAATCAGCCTTTCGACACGTTCTTCTGGTGGTTTTAGCTATTTTAGCCATTTTGTAGTTAATTCGGAGCTGATTTGGTTGAGTAGAGAGCGTTTGAAGTAGAGGGTAGTATTGAGGAGGGTGAGAACTGCTGCTATTTTTGGCACCTGGCTCCGGGCTAAGCTCCTTTGTAATACAGTACCCTGTCAAAAGTCTCCGTTGATGTCAGCGACTATTACGAGAACTGCTGCTATTTTTGGCACCTGGCTCCGGACCAAAGCAAATGCTTCCCAACGGACGCGCTCATACTTGTCCCCTAGCCTACTAGGCAGAGGAGTGTCCAAGAGCGCTGGGAGTAGCGCTCGAATGCTGCTATCAATATGGGGTAGTAAAAAGACTTGTGGCTGAAAACAAGCTGTGTTTAGACTAGAATTTGGGCGGAGGCTCTGACTTGACGATTTAGGGCACAAATATCGCCTATCGACCTAGAAAGTACAAAGTTATGTACGACTAACGCGAGATTTTACTGCATAGCGACAGCTACAGCTTGGAAAGCAGTAATTAGTGGTGTGTGTGTGTGTGTGTGTGTGTGTGTAAGTTACAAAGTTTGGAGGAAATAGCTGCATAGGCGCCAAGGCCCCACAACCTCTCATCATGATCCCCACTACTAGTACCTACTAGCGCACAGCAGAGTGTACATTAAGCTTGCTCTTTCACAGATTTCCTGAATCACTGATAACAATTACTTGATCTATCGGCAGATGATGCTTAAGTGACAATCTGAGTCGCCAGGTGTTTCGTGTAGACGCGCTAAGTACCATATTTGCTCTGCAGATGAGATAAATATTTTCAAGCAATTCTGTAGCCATTTCATTGACTTCTATGCTCACATTGATTTGGGAGACACGGCACTGTAGCATGATGAGCGGCATAAGAGGAGAGGGGATGTTGGTGGCTGATAGGTAAATAAGTATCGAGCCCTTCGACCAACTTGCGCTTTATCAACGGTCGGCCTTCAAAAGCCAGGAAGCATGATGTCAGCAGAGACTTGTACGACCCAAATTGCCCCAATAACTAACCGAGGACAGAAAATTGGCTGTCCTTGCCGGGGCAGGATAAGTATGGTTGGGGTCTGAAAGCCTCGATGAGGCCGATCGGCGATGAGCGAATCAGCTAACGACAGAGATGCACGAAGACCTTATTGCCAAACCCTTGAGGCTCAGCCTTGGGCAGCTCCTGCGCCTCACTTGTAATTATTGCTATGCCTTTGACTCTGACTCTGACAGCCTCAGCATTAATATCATCAGCGTTGCCATATGGAATGCGATCCCAGACTCAAAAAGGCAATCAGGACTACCTTGACTATCCTCCCAGTCGCCAAGGTAGCATTATGGCACCACCAGTTTAGGTAACGCTGGACCTTCCTCGACTATACCTTATCGTTTCACACCAAAGCCATACCAATTGTCGCCGTATTCCAATACACAATTCTTTGCAGTATGGATGACACCCCTCGATCTATTCCTCGCGAAGACTACACTGTGGGCTGGATATGTGCGTTGCCGACCGAGTCAATTGCCGCCCAGGCCATGCTAGATGAACGTCATGAGGCGCTGCCGAACCTGCAGCATGATGATAACACCTACACTTTGGGGCGCATTGCAAAGCACAATGTTGCCATCGCCTGTCTACCCAAAAATCAGATAGGTACTACTTCTGCAGCGACCGTAGCGACCACTATGCGGATTAGTTTCCCTTCAATCCGATTCGGCCTCATGGTTGGCATTGGTGGTGGAGTGCCTAGCAAAAAGAATGACATTCGTCTGGGCGATATTGTCATATCTACGCCAACCGGAACGAAAACGGGAGTCGTGCAGTATGATTTTGGTAAGACAGAGAAGGCAGGTGAATTTCGTCGGACCGGAGCATTGGGCAAACCGCCTGCCGAGCTTCTGGGTGCAGTTGCTCATCTCGAAACAAAGTATGGCTTGGAGCAACAACTATCTGAACACATCTCCAACGGCTTTAGAAAGTGGTTTCCTAACTGGGCTACACGATACGCGTACCAAGGCGCGGGTTGTGATCGGCTATTCGAAGCGGGCGACAACCACCTGGAAAGCGACGATGAGAACTGTCAACAATGCAGTGGATACAAGGTGGTTGACAGATTGCCTCGTGGAGACTCGTTACCTATCGTTCATTATGGCAACATTGCTTCCGGAAATCAAGTAATGAAGCACGGCCTCTCCCGTGATCGATTATCAAAGCAGGAAGACATAATATGCTTTGAGATGGAAGCGGCTGGATTAATGGATAACTTCCAATGTCTGGTCATTCGAGGTATCTGCGATTATGCGGATTCACATAAGAACAAGCGTTGGCAGCCATATGCGGCCGCAACTGCTGCTGCATACGCTAGAGAGATTCTTCTGACTGTTGCCCCAAAAGTTGTGCAAGGAATGGCACCAATTTGGAGTAAGTAGTCCTTGCGAGTAGCTACTCTCCTCAATACCATTTTCGCTTAATGCATGGGACACTGGCGTTAAGATATATTGGCTTTTGTGAGAAGAGTGTTCCTCATGTTATTCTACTGAAGGCTTAGATGATCCAGGATTAGATTCTTATATTGGTTACTGAAACTTTCTTGTCTGATCTACTGTCTTATGCTTCAGGTCTTCGCTGTTGCAATTTGTTGTTTTGATCACCTCGCTAACATAAAATCATATATGCAGATAATCGTCATTGGTTGGTACCTAGACCAGTGAATCCCTTCTTTACTGGCCAAAAAACACTCCTGAAGATGTTACGCGAGACAATCTGCGATAATCTCCACCAGGAAGTTCATCACAAACAGCGAAGGTTCGTCATTATCGGTATTGGCGGTGCTGGAAAGAGTGAGGTGTGTTTGAAGTTTGCAGAAGCAAACCGTGACAGGTAGATGTTCTTGGTTCTAATACTGGATGAATGTTTGCTAATTTTATAGATTCTGGGCCATCTTCTGGGTTGATGCTAGCAGCGAAGCAAGTCTTGAACGCAACTTTATTGACATTGCAATAGAGTGTGGTTTGCAGGAACGCAGTTTGAATGCAGGAAAAAGGTGGCTTGAGAATACAGAACATACGTGGCTCCTCATTGTGGATAACGCCGATGACCGCAAAATCGATTACAGCAAATACTTACCATCAGGAAATAGAGGAAATATTCTTATGACTACGCGGAACCCAGAATGCTCGATTCACTGTACCGTCGGACAAGAACTTCTTGAAAAACTAGATGTTGACGATGCCGAAAAACTCCTTTTGAAAGCTTCTGGCATCGATGAAAGCCAGTGGGACGTCCGAAAACCTGCTGCAGCAAATATAGTCCAACTCCTAGGACGACATGCCCTTGCCATAACACAAGCTGGAGCTTTTGTCAGAAAGGGCCTTTGCACACTTGAGGAGTATCCCCACGAATTCCAACATCAGCGTCAGCGACTATTACGATTCTGTCCTGATCAATCACGGTCGACGTACGGCGGTGTATATACAACCTTCGAAGTATCTGCTCAAGTTCTGGAGAAATCCTCCGATCCTCAAGCGATTGATGCACTTGAGCTGCTTAGAATATTAGCATTTGTACATTTTGATCGTGTTCCGATACTAATTTTTCGAAAAGCTTGGACCTATGCACAAACGATCCCTTCTAATGAGGAGAATGGATTACAAGAAGATGTCACCTTTCTTTCACACTGGCATGTCTCTCGTCTGCCCGGGTTCATGCGTTCCTTAAACTCCGGGGAGCTTGATATCATATCTCTACGAGAGGCAGTTCGGACGCTGGCCTCGTTCTCAATCATAAGCATCAATGAAACAGATGACATCTCAATGCATCCACTGGTTCATGCATGGGCCAAAGATCGACTGGATCAATCCGATCAGACAATGGCATGGTTAGCAACGGTCTCAGTCCTTGCTCTATCAACAAGAAGACATGGCGTCTATCAACAATTCTGGAGACGTCTTAGCTCTCACATAGAAGTCTGTGTTGATCTTCGTTCTGATGATTGTTTTGATGAAAACCATTTTGAAAGTGCTCGGACTTTTTACAGTTTAAGTTGGGTTCTACGCAAAATGCGGAGTACCCCCAGAGCACGCGATCTTCTCACAATAACTCTTCACAAGCTAAAGGATAATCATGCATCAATACCAGAAATTAAAGTCCAGCGTCTTCTAGCAAGGTGTTACCGTGCCCTTGGACAATATCAGACCGCAATTGAGCTTTTGGAGAAGATAGTTAATATACAGACAGCAATAGATCCCGAGAATCCTGACTGTCTAACCTCACAGCATGAGCTCGGAAGTATCTATATGAAAAATGGACAACACGAGAGGGGAATAGAGCTTCTAGAGGAGGTGGGCAGAATACGGAAAGTAACACTGGATCCTAGACATTCTAGTCGTTTATCCTCAGAACATGAAATTGCAAGGGCCTATATGAAAAATGGACAATACGAGAGGGCAACAGAACTTCTAGAGGAGGTGGTCAGAATACGGAAAATAACACTGTATCCTGAGCACCGTAAGCGTCTAACTTCGGAACATGAACTTGCAAGGGCTTACATAAAAAGCGGACAACACAAGAGGGCAGTAGAGCTTCTAGAGGAGGTGGTCAGGATACAAAAAGTAATATTAGATCCTAAAAATCCTGACCGTCTAATATCAGAAAGTGGGCTCGCAAAGGCCTACATGATAAGCGGACCAAACAAGAGGGGAATAGAGCTTCTAGAGGAGGTAGTCAGAATACAGAAGGTAACGCTGGATTCTAAGCATCCTGACCGCTTGGAATCAGAGGACTTGCTTGCGAGTGCCTACAGCTGTCTTGAGGAGCAAAGATCAGATGAAGACATCATGCCAAACCCAAAACGACTTCGTGAAATGTGACTTCCTACCGCGGGAAATCCAACCTTCAAGATTACTACCTGGTACATCACCATCTCCTCGTCTGTGTGGATGAAAATCCGGATTGCTGGCCTTCGCTGCTCGGGATTGCACGGGCCATGGATAAAGATAATCGCTCAGCAGCGACAACACTCTTTAGCGACGGACGTCTCAACACAATCAATCAGCAGTGGCGGACAGGATTGTCATCGGCACAGCGCGGTCGCAGGAAAGATCGAAAATGCAGCGGCCTCGTAGGGTGGTCATTTCTGCTTGTTGTCGCGGAATAGGACCAAGTTGCGGCTTCGCCACCGTTTTCGAATCCCCGGCGATGAATGCAGCTGGAGCAGCTAGAGAACAAGTGTTAAAGCTAGCTGAAGGGGGTTTCTGAAGCTCAACCACGTCTTTCTTGCTTTCACGGTGGAGGAGCTGTTAGAGGGATCGATCCCTTATGTTTGGAGTCAACTGGCAGGTCTTATAGACTAGATGTCGAACTTTGCATTTGGAGATTAGTATGGTAAAACAACCGACTCAGAAGCAGAGACGTGTCAAGTTACTTTCGGACAGCCCGATATACAATACCCAAAACTGACCTCTCCAAATTCCACTGCCGGTTCTAGACGCAAGCATCCGCTGTTTTTACCTGAGTTGGTAGTCAGCAGCCCCGAGCAGCTCGGCTTGGCGACGCCTCAGCCAGGCCCTGAGCAACCATGAACACAGCCGTGAGCCTATGTAGGGGCCCACAACTTGGGCCTCGCGCTCCCTGCTTTTTGGTGTTTCGCATTGCTTGGAAGGGACCCAGTTCTGTGCTCTATTGTTCCTCGGCGTATTTTCAGGGCCGCTGCCTAGGGAGGCAACCTTCAATCGACCAGTGGTGTGATATCCTCGAAACCCAGTTAGGAGACCATTTTCGCCATTCCAACGGTCTTGATGGACCGGTAAAAACATTCCTTTTCGTCGTCACCAAAGTCGCCAGGTGCGAGTGAATTCCACAACTGGTGACGCTCAGTCGCCTCGTTTGAATGGACCAAGTAACTCATTCGGCTGATGAGCTTGGCAACATGACGATGACAGAGTTTGTGGAACTCATCATGACTAGCGATCGTCTTTGCGTCGTCTTTGCGTTTGAATGTCGATACAGTCTTGTGGTATTTCTCATATGAATGAATGAATTCCAACACGAAGTTTTCAAAACGCAAGGAGTTTGAAAAGATGTTCTCGCACTTTAGGATCTGTAGTGAAGTTCCGCCTCCAATGAGTGGGTGTTTCTGGGTGATTTTGAGCTGCGGAAGGCGATGTGCGATGGGTATTCTTTCAAGTACATCGTGCAACTCTTGACGAAAAGGCCATTTGACAGCCTCTTCGATAATATCACACTGCATTTCGTCAAAGCAGAAGATTACGGATGTTGTGACAAAACTGGGAAGCGGCAAGCCATCATTTGAATAATTGCTAACCATCGAAAGCAATATTTTGAATGTTTTGAGAGATGGGTCCAGATCTTCGGTACAGATGGTTTGGAAGATTGGCCAGTCATGCAGCATGAGTCCACTGCTTCCGACTGATGGGGACGCATGGGGAAATGATTCGACTTCGGAGTCGTTTCCCCCTATTAGGTAGGAGAGGGTGACTTGCCGGTTTCGAAAGAGGACAAACCACAATTTTTTGACAAAACACGATCTTTCACGTATCATTTCAACGTCATTACTGTCCCATTATTCACGGACAGATAATCAAACAACCGTTGAGACTTTCCAGATCCTGCTACAGATAATAAGACGGCTTGACGCTGCATGGTAATTGGATCTGGATTATTCAGTTCGATACAGAGGTCCTCTCTTTTCAATTTGTGATCTTGGGCAGCATTTACGAAACTCGACAGAAGATAGCGGTCGTGATAAGCACCTGATTCTCCCAGTTTCGGCGTGTTGATCCTATTCGACGTGTTTATTTGGAGCGTGGAGATGTATTGCTTGTTGAGGAAGGTCATGAGTCCTTGATAAAGCCAAAATTCGTTCAGTCTGCTTTGCTAGATCTCTTCAAAGTAGCAGGTCCTAAGGTCGTTGCGGCCGAGGATCTTGCATTTTCCTTTCTGGTCGTCTCCTTATCTTTCAGTTAGCGATGAGGAGCAGATTGAAGCACGTGAACATACTGCACATCTCTTTAGCATCTTTGTAAAGCTGTATGAGGAAAGAACTTATGTTACGCTAATCCAGCCCATCCTGAGCTTGGCCCCCCATGGGTTGCTCATCCGTCGCCTTCGAGTTCTTTGCCCGGTCCACATTGCTGCCAAGTGCTGTGGATCGTGCCCAAAAAGTTCGAAGACGGTCCGCCATAGGAATTTAGGAAACATGTTTACCGTTGGTACATTTTCCCTCGACCTCAATGACATGTTTCTCGGCAAACAAAGACCGAAGTTCTTGACACTCTAGGATGAACTCTAGTATTTCATCTTTCGATCCGTTACTCAAGACGTCTGATTAAAACTCCCTGACGACGTACTGTCTCTCTACAATTGATTTCCATTTAGTGCCTTGTTGTGGTGGTAGTAGTGTCGCAACCATCTCCATTAAAAGTAATGTTCGAAGTCTTGAATTTTGGTTCTATCAAGTTACCAGATGGGTTTTCAGATGATATATTGGAATTATTATTATTTTGCCAGTGGTATAGGTTCGCATATTCGCTCAGCTTCATGTCACCCATGAAATCTCCACTGTATCAAAGCTTAGAAATAGATTGGAAGGGGGTAATTTCGTGAGTTGAGATCGCAAGATCGATGCCAAAACCCTACTCCGTACCGACGACAGCTTCGAAGTTTTGTTTCTGAGGCTTGGCAGTCTTAGCCTAAGCCGAAGTTAACCCGAATTCTGAGTTCGCCTATATAAGGCGGCTAGGCTGCTACATGGTCCGAGCCGGTCCGAGCCCTAGGGGGGGCAGGCCCGGACCAGTCTCATATAAAATCTGGCAAATTTGGGCTCGGACCGGACAAAATATATGAGAGGCTCAGTGTGGGCTCGGACCATGTAGCAGCCCTTAGGCGGCTATGTAAGAAGAGGGACACATCTGTGGGCTTCTAACCACACTTGGTTGATGTATGCTTACTGACTTATGTACAGGCCTAATCGAAAAGTCGAGCCTGCTCAGTTTTGGATGAGTTATGGCACCATATGCAGTGTCTCCGCCGCGCGGCGTTGCTCCTTCTTCCACCTTCAATTTTGAATCAATTGATGCCAAGAAAATGCATTGTTTCCTACACTGCAGCAAGTACTACTAGTAGTTAGTAGTATCTGCAGTCGCCAATCGCTTGCCGACTACTACTAATCCTCCACCTGCCCCTCTTCTGCTCGCCATTCGTCTGAGCCTCTGTTTTCAGGCAGAATCAGCGACCATCATGGGTGATATAAAAGACTCAGTGCCAGTCGTTTTGGCGGAAGGGCTCAAATATGAATCTTCTCGAGAGATGATGGATGAGTTCGACGAGCAGGGGGTTGTTGCCCCGACTGTCCCTCACAAGTACAGAGGCACGGTCACCGACAAGAGAGACATGCAAACCCTTGGAAAAGTGCAGGTCTTGCGCGTAAGTGCAGATACTTCCCACGTTATTGATAGATGATGCTTCTCGAATGTACTCCTATGATTGTCGACCTGATTGACGCTGTTCTCTCCTCCAAGCGCAACTTCAAGTTCGTGACAATGTTGGGTTTCGCTTCGACTGTGATCTGTACCTGGGAGGGTCTTCTAGTGTACGGTTCCACCATCCTCTTTGCCCCCTGGTTCCCTCAGCACTGACTCAATCTCAGAATCATTTCCTTCGTTCTTACGGACGGAGGGACGGCGAACCTTTTCTGGGGCTACATTGTCTGTGCGATCGGGCTGTCGCTGGTTTATGCAAGCTTGGCTGAAATGGCTTCCATGTTTGTGGCCCCAATCCTGTTGAACGAGATGCTGACACATACCCAATCAGGGCTCCTACTGCTGGGGGCCAGTACCACTGGGTGTCTGAATTCGCCCCGCGCTCAATACAAAAGCCGTTGAGTTATATAGTAGGTACGCTTTCAAGCCGGAAATGGCCCCCTTCGCTTATTGATTGTGCAAAGGATGGCTCTGTGCAACAGGATGGCAAGTTTTCCTCGCCAGCGTCGCATTCGTTGTCGGGACCGTTATCCAAGGCTTGATTATCTTGAATTATGAAAAGTACGAATACCAAGCTTGGCACGGAACACTCTTGGCTATTGCTGTGATCATCTTTTCGATAATCTTCAACACCTTATTCGCCACACGGTTGCCTCTAATCCAAGGCATCGTTCTTATCATTCATATAACTGGCCTTTTCGCCATCATTATTCCTCTGTGGGCCTTAGCCCCTCGAGGAAATCCCCACGATGTTCTTCTTACATTTACCAACAACGGCGGCTGGCCCACTACTGGTCTATCCGCTATGATTGGCCTGGCCTCACCAATCAGCTCCTTACTTGGGTATGACTGCTCTGTACACATGTGTAAGCCAGCCTTATCCCTTCGATGAAACTTATGTATCTGACTTATGCGTTCTAAAAATAACAGCCGAAGAGATTAAAGATGCTTCAGCCACGTTACCAAAAGCAATAATGTGGTCGGTAGTTCTAAATGCCTCCATGGGTTTTATTATGGCTGTTACAATAATTTTCACCCTAGGCGATGTTATAAGCATTTTGGAGACGCCAACCAAGTACCCTTTCATTCAGGTGTTTTACAATGCTACCCAAAGTCTCGCAGCCACCAATATTATGACCGCTCTTATTATCATTTGTATTACCTCCTGCTGCATCAGCGAGGTAGCTACAGCCTCAAGACAAACTTGGTCGTTTGCGCGCGATAATGGTCTACCCTTCTCTGACTTTCTTTCACAGGTTTGATTTCTCCCTTCTACACAATTTCCAAAGGTTGATCTGATGCTATATGCTTAGGTTACCCCTGGCTGGAACATCCCCCTTCGCGCCGTTTTAGTCTCCCTCTGCATCACTGCCCTCCTCGCCTGCATCAACATTGGCTCCAACACCGCCCTAAACGCCATGAACTCCCTTGGCGGTGTCTCTATTATATCCTCTTATTACATCACCATCGGCTGCGTCGTCCTAAAACGGCTCAAGGGCGAGCCTCTACCCGCACGGCGCTGGTCGCTATGTCGATACGGTCTCGGGATCAACATCGCTGCGCTGCTCTTCCTCACCCCGATCTGGTTCTTCTATTTCTGGCCCCTTACCATGCCTGTTACTGCGCAGACTATGAATTGGGCTGTGCTTATGTACGGAGGCATGATTGTTGTTTCCTTTGCGTATTATTTTGTCAAGGGGAGGCATGTTTATATTGGGCCTGTTATGCTGACGAAACGAGATCTTCAGAATTGAGCGGAGCGGCAAGGATGTCCGTGAGCTCGCTGGGTAGCAAACCCACCACTACTAGTAGGTAGCCTTGGACTTGTGTCTTTGGGCTCGGAGGTTTATGTCCCTGTTTTTCTCTTCCTATGTGTGTTTCATTTGGGGCAGATATGAACCGACATATAGATGCTGCTGATATAGGGTCCTAAAAATCCATATACGCTTGACTTCGCAGATGTTGACCCGTGATCCTATCGGCCTCGTCTGCTGCAATGACCATTACCTCGTGGCTCCGATTGTGGGTAGAATCATAAATCGGCGTGCCAATCCTGCGACCTGACGGCGGCTGCCCCACTTACATACGGCAGCTGAATACCAGACAGCTCCTGATTCTTCTACAGTTTATGTGAGATGATGATTGATATGGAGTGGGCGTTGGGTGAACAAAATCGGCATCTTCCGGTCTCGAAAAGCCGCATCCTCAAGAGTCCACGTATAAGTCCTTCAGGAGATGGTCTTTACTTCGCTCAATCCTCATAGCTTCCTGTTGAAAAGGTGACAAAGACTAATTCTTTCCAATAATGATCGACAAATTGCTGCTAGGATTGTGTCTACTATTCAGGCTTTGCAAAGCAAGGATCCGACGGGCAAATCTACATGATAGAGAATTCAAGGTCACACATCTGATAGGAATACAAATGTCATTCAGCACGGTATGAGGAAAAGGCCGCCGTTCTAATAGAATTGGAAAACTATAAATTCTCCATGGCCACACGTCGTAATCATACGTCCATCCTATAAAAGCACTCCGCCCACGCTATACTCGCCATACTGAAGGAGAGACTCGCTACCACTGATCGAATATGCAAGCCCGAAATGGCGAAGCGGTACGCGGAGCTGTCGTGAGGAACGTTAGGGATCTTTTAGTAGAAGGTGAGTTAGCATCTGTCTGAAACGCCCAATGGCAAACTAATACGTACTACACGCTAGTCGAGATCGATGAAGAACTCCGTCCGGGAACATGTTTCCTGTTCGGCCATCACGAAACAGAGTCGTAACCGTTATCATGACTAGAAAATGTCTTGATTTCGCCTTTGGTGAGATCCTGTACTCGCAGCTAAGGAGTAGAGTCAGGGCAGATGCGTTGTGTTGAACAGACGGTTGCCAGTGTCGGTAGTGCCTCTGCCGGTGAACTTGTTTTCAGAGATGCGGAGTGCAACAAGACTGACTCTTGCGTGACGAGCGAGCGCCTGGGCGACACTGCCGCTGAAAACGGACTGGGCCTGGGCGACGCCAGTAACTACCACGATGCGAATAGTGGCATGTAAGTTGCGGACGTGTTGCACGAACTGCACTACCGTCTTGCCACTGTTCACCACTGAATCTACCAACAACAGTGTGAGCTGTCCCTGCAAATGATGAAGCATGATGTCATTAGGAGAACTAGCATGCACAAACATTGCAAGCGGGAAGGCGTCGTTGACGCCGAGGGCCATGGCTTCTCCGCCGCGCATCAGCGCCACAATCGATGTCTGTTGCTCGTGGAAAAGTCGGTTCCCGCTTGTGTGATGACCCTGGACGTGTGAGATCCTATACTCTTCGAGGCCAATTACATCGGCCAGGAACTCGGTCGCCAGATACCATCCGACACGGCGATGGGCTTCCCTCAGGGCAGGACCGGCAAACGTCGCATCGCGCATCGGCGTCATGAGTAGCTTGGCTGCGCTCCTGTCTGTTGCATGGAGGACCTGAAGTCTAGCATGCTGACTGCGGTGGCAGAGGACAGAATCGACAAAACCTTGCTCGGTGAGATGGATGAGGGGGAGCTAATAGTGTCCAGCCGTGGTGACGCACTGCTGGGCAGCACAGCTTGGCGCGCCACAAGACCATCATTGTCGATAGCATTCATCAAGGCCGCGTCCATGGTCTTGCTCCTGGTGTGCTCCTCGCCAACCACAACGATGGCTTGATGTGCCTTGCCTAACATGTCCAAGTCAAGTAGACTATCTCCGAAGGCCCAAACATGCATCTTGTGAGCATCTCGCAAACGTGTAACCAATGCGGCTTTCACTGCAGCTGTAACGACGAAGCCGTCTGCGATACGTCCCCCGCCGATGACTTTCACCGTCTTCGACAGACCTTCTTTCTCCAGCACCTTGTCCCAGACTCGACGCAGCCCACAAGTAACAATCACCGCTCTAACATGGTCTTGTTCTGCTACCAAATGCAACAGGGACACAAATTCTGGATACATAGTGACCGCTGATGCCACATCTTGGCAGAGCGCATCAAACTCTTCATCTTCGGCGGTTTCTTCATACAGCAATACAGCCTGACGAAAGGCATTATACGAGTAACCCAATGGGCTGCTGAATAATGTCTTCAACGTACGTTCTTCGTCCCTCAACCGCCGAGAGTTGGAAACTCTCTCCCAGAACAGCATGCCCGTGTCCTCTGCAGCTACCGTCCTGTCGGCGTCCATGACTAATACTGTCTCCAGTTGACCTTGGCCAGCAACAAGGGCCTCTTCCAGCCTGTTTTCAGCCTGGGACAGGTTGTATTTCTCGGAATGATGCTGGAAATCGCGTATTAACCTTAAGGCCTTTTTCAGTAACATTGGGTGCTGGGATAGGAACGAGAACAAAATGTCATGACAGCGGCAGAGACGGCGCAGCTGGGTCTTTTCCTCCTGCTGCCACTTATGCAAATGGGTGACCGATATAAGCGGACGACTTCTTTCTGTATCGTCCAGACGACGTTGCGCGACATCCTCGGCAGGAACATCCAAGTAGAGTATGTGGGTAAAGGTGTCTAGGTCATTCTGAGTACACACTGGCCGTCCAGATTCCTCTCCCTCGGGCCAGAACATGAAATGTCCAGTGACAACTGCAACTTGTCCGCTGCCGACGCAATTCTTCCTAATTGTGTTGATAGCAAGCTCGCGCCAATGCATTCTCTCTTGCTCCTTCAGTTTCTGAAATGCATCGAGACCGCCGGGGACAACAGCGGAAATCATCTCGGAGCCTTCGTAGAAGGCGAAATGCTCTCGTCCGAGTTCTTGCTTGAGCTGATTCAGCAAAAACGTCTTACCAGAGCCGGGCACTCCATATAGACCGATAATTACTGCTTTGTTATTGGAAGCAGACAGATTTTCATGGGCCGTTGCTTGGTTCGCCGGAGGATCCACCATCTGGCCTGGCATGCTGCTTGATGTGTTCTCGCATTTGGTAAGAATCATATTACCCTCCTAAGGCTCTGGGAAGGGTGAGTAAGAGATTGTTGAGACTCAGTTCAGTAATGGACGAGATGTTTCACTAACAGATGCAACTGGAGAGATTAAAGGTCGGCGCAACTCTATGATGCTTTAGTTGCTCAGTGCCCGCTGAAGAACAAACTTACTGACGGGAAGAGGCATACTTCCTCAGCAAACAATCATATATCAATCAATCGCCAAACGAACCAACGGACGGCACAGATACTTTGGCAGAAGTTCAGCCAGACATCGGGAATCTTCTTTTTCATCAGTAGAGCTCGGTACGGTAAGTTCCCCATCCGGAAGTTGCGTCTCTTCGTTGCTTCTCGCCATACAATCATGCTGTAAAGTACACTTGGCGCTGGAAATTCTATCGAGCGGCTGATTTCCTTTGGTACGCTTCTCATTATGACTTGATGGACGAGGCGGTGGACCCCAACAAAGATCACAACCTTAAGGAAGTCGCTTCCCGTCGCTGTGTTGATCCGTTGGAATTCAAGTGGGTTAGCTCCCGTAAAGATAGAGGTCGTCAGGCTCAGCCGCAGAAATGCAGTCAGGAAGATGCTGAAGACATGGCCAATAACTTTTGTTTAGCTGTTGGCCTGAATTCTGCCGTTCATCGCTACAACACCCTGAACATACTATCAGATTCCATACTAGTATTGCAGGTTTCTTAGATCCGGTATTGGGTCTATATTTTCAGTAGGGCTTACTATCTCTGTCACTGAATGAGTCTCCTTCCTTGTTAAGAATAGCGTTGCCGCGATTTAGCATGATGGTAGTACTGTCAAAGCTTGGCAAAGAGCATCAGACTTTCAAATGCCACTTTTCCTATTTTGCTTCAAACTTCATCAACTCTGCACCAAAACAGCTTAAATTTTGTCGATGACAAAGGTTTACAGTGATTGCTAAGGGGCCAAGGGATCAGGTTGTGCCGTTATGCTTCACATGCCACACACAAGATTGGGAGAGGGGCAAGAGCGGTTGAGGAACTAGAGAGGATGCAGATGGAGGCGGGGGGGCTGGGAGGAGAGAAGGTCGCTGCGTGAGGAGCGAAGGCGATGTTGGGTCGATCGCGGCTTTGCACTGTCTGACTTCTCTTCGGAGGATTCGAGCGAGCAGGATGATCGAAGCTATCATTGGGGTTGGGGACAGGATGATGATATGAACTATTCCGCACATTCGCAATGTGCTTAGCATTAATTCGGCATTAGACTTAATAGCGAGCACAACTTCGATAATCGAGGACTGAGGGCGATGCCGAGAGTATGGTTGTCGACGTCGAAGACGCTAAATCTAACGACACCGTCATCAACTTGTTACTCCGTCAGCGTCAAACGTATCGAGCCCAGAGCCAAGTTCAGCACAAAGAAATTACCATTATTGAGGGTGTCTGATACCTCTTACTTATTCGAGCAGCTTGTTCTCGACCTGTTTCAGGTCTCCGGCGCAGGCTTTACTTCCAAGACTTCACTTTCTGTCTAATGGAAGAGGCGGCACGGAGTGAACTCAAACTTGGAATAGATTCATTTACCACCTCTCCTCTCGATATGTTATTCCCTCTATTCGTAAATGTAGGATCACTCAATAGTGACTTCGCTTCTCTCAAATTCCCATGCCCCTTTACATTAGAAATCGCACCCCCTTTCGTAGAAGTGGATTGGATACACGTGATAATAACTCGAGAATAGGAGGAGTAGTCTGCTGAGTTGTCTTTGTCTTTCATGTGGGTAAGTGCTTTTCGCCTTAGCATCGGGGTGAATCTGACTTGGGCTTTGGGCTGGCAGGTTGGCAGCCTGACCTGGTAACGTGGATATACAGATCGCAAACTTTGTTCTTCGTGTTAAGACCAACTGAACGGCAAATCACAATGGCATTGAGATGCTTTAAAATAGTACTCGGGCAGTCGGCAGGTGTCTCACCCGAGAATTGGGACAAGTGTGCCTCCGGCGGTTTGGCCGTTTAGCCTCGCCCACTTAGTGTCTCCCGCCCAAGAATTCAAGTGGACAGAGAATGCCTTGGGCGACTTAGCATACCAATCCACGACAACGAAACAGCAGCGTGAGCAGCCACTTGCCTCAGAATCAGGGCAGTTTTGCCTCAGGCGCTGAGTACGAGGAAAAGGAGCAGGACATTTTTCTTTTTAGCTGCAGCTCCCCTGACCATCAACGTGGCACAACATTCTCACTAACATTCGGTTTGATTTCAATTGGTGAGTTCTGATATTTTGCTCCGCAGCTTACATGCTAGCTTTGAGAATCTGCCTTGGGCTGTCTTGCTTCTGCACATGCCAAGGAGCATTGCAGGTACAAAGTACTATAGTAGCGGTGTGTCGGTGGCAAATTGAATACCCTAAGAAGGAAATACCATAAGAAGGAGTCCGTCCCAACTTCATTCTTTCTGTTCAGCAACGAAGTGCTGTCAAAATTTTGAGTTGAAAAGTAAGTAGGGCCCGCTGCGTGATGTAAGTCACCACTCGTCCCTACAGGAACAATGGAGAACTATACTGACTTCAATGATGGTCAGCAATCTTATCTCAAGTTGACTGACTTTGGTCAGAACAACCACTTCCCTCACATTGACTCTCTAAGTCTGTTAAATCCTGACACTCTCCAAGACTTGAATTCTTTCCCCACCGACACTCATCAAACAACTTTTAATTCGACGTGTGAGATAGCCTCAGATTCAACAACTGCTGGCGAGTCCTCAATGCTAATCTACTACAGATTCAGGAGATGTCTCCTCTTCTGAGCGACGTGTCGATCAACAAGAGTATAGTACGTGAAAACATCTAGTGACATCTCATAATCTACCCTCCACCCCTAGCCTTCTCTTTTGTCTTCCCCTCCCCTCTGCGCGACCTTCCGTCTCACTACATCATCTCATGGCCGTAGAGCAGTCAGGAACTGTGGAACAAAGAGATCTTCATCTCACAGTGCTAACTTATCCAAAGATTCACACTTGAACCAGTATCTTTCAAACTACAACTCGAGTCACCAAGGTCGTGAGTGCGCCCAGGCACCCCACCTTTCAGTACATCCGCTCATATATCCACAGATGTGAACTACGTTTCTGGTAATAAAGATGATCTGTTCAGCTGTTCGCATAATAGCCAGGACCATTATGTAGGGTATGTCACATGCAGCTCACATTTGCCAAATTCTCAATTTCCGAATCCAATTTATGCATCATGTTTCCGGGTGCTAGGTAGCTTACCGGTACTTTCTAGAGAGCAACCTTCCTTCAGCACATATCCCGGCCATAATATGGCCATTGAAACCCCTGCGAGTGTTGCCCCCATCGAGTCGGGAAACACGGCTGGTTATAGAACCGAGCTGCGATATTCAGTCCCCGAGTGCTTACAAGACCCCAAGTTCCCCTCCGAATCTGCTTTGGGGTCCGTGCACTCTCCTCCTACGACTAGCCTGATGCCAGCACTAACACATTTCAGAAAGCACGAAGCTAAACACGGCAAGCCTTACATCTGCCAGGTCCCAGATTGCAAACATACCCGCTTTGGCGACAAAGGCGGTCTGGATCGACACAACCGCGAGGTCCACGGATCACAGACCCACTGCTGCCCTATTACTTCATGCAAACGTCACGTCCGAGGATTCGCAAGGAAGTATAACCTCATTGAGCATCTGAAGCGATGTCACTCTCCCGAGTCGCCAAATTTGGCACCGCCATCGATTCTTAGACAACAAAATCACACGGGTGCTGGTATGAAAGGACAACAAGAATCCTATGAGGGCGGGTCATTCTGGGAGATGGCCACTGGGGGTGGCGGGGGATTGAGAGAAAAGTTGGAGAATCTTTACAAAATGCGGGCGGAAATGGAGGTGGACATTGAGGCCCTGGAGAGGAGTTTGGCTCTCATGGGAGAAAATTTCCCCTGATGATCTTTGAAGGTAGATCTCAGTAGATCTCTATTTTCTATATGGGAGTCTAAAAATTTCCTTGTAAATGGCGTTTGGTGGTATAGAAAGATCAAAGGGTGTCTTCATGTTTCTCAAGCCCTCAACTTCACGTGGTATAAGGTTCGTGTCGAGCCCTCGATTTTCAGTTAGCGGGTGGCTTAGGTAAATGTAAATTTTACCTTTTGTTTCCGTTAGTGAACACATGATATTTGATTAACCTTACGTTGATATAGGCATCGAAACAGCAGTAAATGGTATATGCCGTTAGTGCTTGAGTTCTTACGCAGCAGCTGCCGACATCGGCTGTCCTGAGGCAGAAGTCCAAGCGACATCTCAAACAAGACACTTTGTCGAGTTGTAGAAGGACAGCTTGCGTGGTTATATCAGAAGGAAAATGGAGAGTGACTTTTGGAGAAGAAACGGGGGCTGAATGCTCATCCTGGATATGCGCGAAAGTTACTCGCTGCTACTTAATTGGCAGGCGGTAATTCATCCCTTCCATTGCGCCGAGAATATGACGAAGACTAACTCCAATGTACTTACTCCGTACTATAACTGGTTGCAAGGCCTGCGCGCACCTGTCTCAAGACACCTATTCGAACTGAAGAACACAGCAACGATTCTCTGTTCCTGTTACTTAGACCTGAAGCCTTCGTTAACAGGTCTAGACCAATCCTATCAGCTCTCAGAGAAAGGGCGAGGGGATCAATCCTGTGACGCAGCAGGTCAAGTTCCAGTCGGAGCTTCTTCATAACCACTTCAGATGGATTACACTTGACAAATGCCCTTGATGCCCAGCCACAGGAAATGTGAGATGGACAATGGGCTCAAGCCTACAGACCCAGTTATATCCCGGTTCCGCCACTGTACTATAGACAAGACTGTAAGGACTCAAATGAAAAGGACCAAATAGCAGAACGGGTGGATGACGGCGGGTTGGTGGGGAGACATGGTCATCTGCGGTTCGATGGTGGCTCGACCACCACCCCACACCCGCTCACGGTTGCGAAAGCGGCGACTTTCCATCCCAGAACTATCGACTTGCAACGAAGGCAAGGAGGTTTATAATTGTGTGGAGCAGGAGGAAGAAATAGCTCTGTTCGTTCAAAAAAGCTGCGCAGGGCGCAGAAATAAGTACAAATTTACTGTACGGCACAGCGAAATTAGCCGCGAAATTGTAGCAGAAATTGACCAATCAAAACGCAGGGATTTCGCGTAGAAAATGCAACTGATAAGCGCCCCTGCCGTTCAACAAATTGCAATATCTTTCTATACTCTACATGAGATATAAAAGTTTAAATTTTCACAGTCATTAATGGCTATAGTGGGGGTAGCGCTAGTAATTCGAGACTGTCCCCAAGGATTACTATAGCAGTACTCCGTACAGGCATAAGTACATAATTAGTATTTGCCAGCCGCGGCATGATATACTTTAGTTGTGACTTGGGTCAATCCATGCTGCATGATATGCTACTCCACGGTACCGCCGGGAAAAGATCCTCTTCTTCTCAACACCACCCCACTCGTCAAGAGCACAACCTCACGCTCCCTTGGAAGATGTCAGCGCCCTTTTGCTAGTGTTCAGCAGGACTTCGAAACTTTTCCACCACCACAAGCCTTACCAAACGTAAACATCTCATGTCTGCTAGTACTCAAACCCAGCCAACCCGAACCCGCCAATGGCTCCTCGTCAACAAGCCCACAGGTCTCCCCGTCCTCTCCGGCGCAGACCAAACCTTCAAATTGCAAACAACTTCCCTCCCCCTTCCACTTGAACAAAACCAACTCCTCCTGAAACTCGTCTACCTTTCCAACGACCCCGGCCAGCGTGGCCGGATCTCTCCCCACATCAACCCAGATCGAATATACCTTCCACCGGTACAACTCGATACACCCATGCCCTCCAGCGGCTTAGCCGAAGTGCTCGACTCCACCTCGTCCCAGCCGGGTTTCAGAAAGGGTGATTTGGTGCTCGCGCCCGTGGGCTGGTCTGAGTACGTTGTCCTCAATGTATCGGCGTGCCAGCCTGCGCCCGAGCTGCCTGGCGGGTTGAGCCGGACACACCACCTTGGTGCGCTGGGATGGCCAGGGCTGACGGCCTATTACGGGATCAAAGAGATAGGGGAGACGAAATCGAGCGAGGTAGTCGTTGTGAGTGGTGCCGCGGGCGCGACAGGGGGTATGGCGGTTCAAGTCGCCAAGAAGATTGTCGGTGCGAAGCTCGTTGTCGGTATAGCCGGAGGTGAAGAAAAGTGTCGCTATGTCGAGCAAAAGTTGGGCGCAGACAAATGTGTTGATTATAAGAAAGAGGGGTGGAAAAAGGATCTGGCTGAGGCTACCAGTGCCGCACGGGGCGGCAATGAGAAAGGGTTCGTGGATGTCTATTTTGATAACGTGGGCGGTCAGATGCTGGATTATATGCTCTCGCGGATGGCGATGCATGGACGTGTTGTCGCTTGCGGCGCGATCAGTCAGTACAATTCTAGCGAGGGGACAAGGCTCAAGAATTACTTTGAGGTCGTGAGTATGAGGATACAGATTCGCGGCATGTTTGGATTTGATTATACCCATAAGATGGCCGAGGTGATGGGCATCTTTAAGCAGGCGATCCAGCAGGGGAAATTGAACGTTAGTGGAGAGATTGAGCAGGTCGTGGAGGCCAAGTTTGAGGAGGTGCCGAAGGTGTGGATGATGCTGTTTGAGGGCGCGAACACGGGGAAGCTGGTCACTAAGATCATATGAGCTTATATTCTGTCCATGCCCGATATGAGGGTATGAGGGTTCAAGGCGGTTTTTGTTCTTATTTTGGTTTTCTAGATCGGATACCTCCCCCTCCGATGCGCCGCAGGCAAAGCTCTAGCGGAATTGGATCGAAGAACGGAGCATTTCGTGGGTCTATAGGGTGCTCGACTGGAAAATGCCGACATTCAGACATATCAGCTCATTCAAGACCGCTCTCCCAACTGCATCGTGCGCCCGCACATCCCTATGTGATATAATGTAATCACTTGCGGCTCTCGTAGTCCCAGAGCTGCCGTTGCTGAATGTCGCACAAAATCAAACGAGACGCCTTAACGGACGATCAATTTCCTCCTTTATATCTGAACAACGACGATGTTGTCACCAAGATGCAGACAAGGAGCAGAATCGCATTAAAGATTGCCATGATATAGAAAGGGGCCGCAAAAGACACCCGATCGAACAGGAGGCCCCCGAGCTTCGTCAAGATCAATATGCCAGCTCCTCCATATAATGAGTATATGCCTGCAATAGAGCCTTTCAACCTGGACAGATCTTTTGATGAGTCTACTCCAGCTTTAGGGATGAGAGGCGCGTCTTCGCCTGTCTGGTGTGTCTGACCTTCTTGATCGACTGCATGTGATCCTGGACTTCTTGATGGGTTACCTTGCAGGGAGTCATGCTTCTGCTGTTTCAGTACACCACCACTCAGGACACCCAGACTACAAACAATGGCTCCAATTTGGCTTATGCCGATTAAGCACATGGAGAGGAATGCTTCGACGCTGCCTTTTTGGTGGTCTGTATCGACGTCGAATCTGGTGGCAAGAAGCAAGTAACCCACTATGCCGGCTATTGCTGCGAACATGAGTGGTTCATGTCGTCTACCTAACCTCGCGGATGCGTAGCCGAACAAGGGTGCACAAAGTAGAGCAAATAGTTGGGATACACCCGTAAGTTCTGCTGCAAGGACGTACGCTTGGGAACATTTGCGCTTGAGTTCTGGGAGGCCGCCGATCTTGTCTGGGTCCTGGCCACAGAGTCCTGATGAGCGGAAGAGAGCGTTGATAAGCAGCGGCACGAAGAGAGATATGCCAACCGAGGAGGCCCGGGCAACGAAGCCGCCTACATATCCCAGACCAATGTCGGCACGTCGGAAGCCGAGGGAGATTGCTGTCTGGAAGTGCTGCCACGGATAAGTTGGTTTTGCACCATGATCCGTGGTCTTTGTCTGCTTGCTTTGAAACCTTTTGAAGATGCTCTTTATGTTGACGTGCTCTTCACGCAGACCATGTAGGCCAATCAGACACCACAGCGAGATGAATAACGCCACTACAGCGACAGTATAATAGCTGTACTGTAGAGATGATTCAGGTGAATAACCACGTTTTTGAAAACGCTCTGGAAGGGGCAGGAAAAGAATAAGAGCCAGTAGTGCTCCACAGCCAGCAGAGAAGCCCACGTAGCCTGCTATCTTGGATGACGTTGCTCGAGGATCTGGAGCCGGAGGCAGGCCAGCAACTTCAGCTTCTGTGGCCTGGGCCGAGTGTGACTGGTAAATTGCGGGGGTGATGGTCAATTCTGACGACACTGAAACAGACGGCGCATGAGTTGATTCGTCCTCGTGCGAATTGCCCGCAGCGCTGGCTCTTCGGTCAGCACTTTGCTCTTGCCCAGGACCTCTAGAGTTCTCTGAGCGCAGTGTAATTGACATAGTCGGCAGGACAGCCGTCACCATTGTTGATGCCGCAGCCCCGCCTAGGCTAAACAGGAGCCTTGCCAGAAGCAATTGAGGATAGACATTCTTGCATTGGACAAAGATAACCAATGCCAGAGCAATAAGGATGTATCCCATAACGCAAACTGTTCTCACACCGATTCGATCAGATAGAATGCCCCAGAAAGGACATGCTACCAAGGCCAGCAGTTCGTCTGCGAAGCCAAGTGTGCCCACAGCATCACCGACTCCATGTTGGAGGTGAATCAGATCAGTCACCACAAATGAGACAGAAGAGTTCAGGAAGACAAGGAAGGCGATTGAGAAGGGGCACACCCCGAGGAGATATGTTGCGATCTGTAATCGAGACGCCGTAAACATGTCTTCGAAAGTTTAAGTCATAAGAATCATAGGACAATCGGTATGCAAAACAAAGTATAAAAGCAGAAAACGTCAAGAGTATCCAGGCAGTGATCCTTTCAGGCCTTCCAGTAACATTTTGCGGCAGTGAGTACGCCTGTCATGGCTCGGTGAATAGGTGCAGCGGCCGCTAAAGCCTCTATGTCATAGCTCAAAAGTGGAAGTGCCACCTAATCCCTGCTTGCTCGGAGTTGCGCAGATTAAGTCAAATGGACAGCTACCAACAACTTCTCTTTGCCTTTGCCATCTTCGTCACCAGCAATGATGCTCTGAGATGGAGAAATCCATGAGACTGGGAACTCACGCATTTCCTTAGACCTCGCTTCCCTGGTCTTCGACAACATATGTCTCTTATGTTGAACGAGAACTCCGTCACGAGACTTTTTGATCGCCGTGCGCTATACCACCAGCGACGATGAGATGGGCAGCATATGCTGGGGTATGCGATATCCACAAATCAACACCGACGTTGTACTGATTCTTGCAGGTCTCGACGACCCTGGCTGCAGGAGTTCTGGTCAAGGCGCTCAGTGAACGACCAAACTTCTACTCGGCCGCCGTTTATCTAGCGCAGAGCACTGCTAATTTAATGGTACGTTGCGCAAGCTCAGTATCGTACCGTTTATCTTAAGACGCTGATGATGCTGAACTATGTGCCAGATTCTGACGAACTTCATCTTCCTCTGTGCCTGCGTTATACTACTTGGACTTCAAAAACTCTTATACGGACCACTTCGGCCAATCGAGATAGAGCAGCTGTACGAACGAGGATGGCTGTTTGTAACGGAGACATGTCTTTCCATGACTATATTCCGAGGGTCATTCGGCGCCTGGTTCATGGTCATGTTCTTCAGTTTGCTGACAGGCAAGGTATGGGGCTGGATTGGCGAAGGTCGAGTAGAGATCTTGGAACAACAACCTCCCGCAAACCCCCGGCTATTCCATACCCGACTAGCCATATCGCTCTCACTGTCCGTTCTCTTTGCTACATACATGCTAGAATTCTCCATCAGGACCGTCCTTGCCCAGGCCAAGCCGGACATGATGGTTATGTTTGGCTTCGAATTTGCCATCCTTAGCATTTTGTCCATTTCTACTGCTGCGCGCTACGCGATATGCCTCGCGGAGATCTACATAGTGGGAAAGCAAAAGACTGCGAGACTGAATGAGGTGCGCGCAGAGCGGGTTGCTGCCAACGAGGCAGCTAATACGGCAGGACAGGGGATATCTTCAAACACGACCGCTGAGCCAACACCCGCCATCGACATTGATGAAGCTGACCTTGAGGTTGAGGGTTGGGATGGTAAAGGGCGATGGATCTTTTACCTTGACCTTGTGACAGGTAATTGGAACATTTACAGTTCCCCACCATGTGCTCGCTGACGGTCCATGCAGATTTTCTCAAACTGACCGTATATGTCGCGTTTTTCTCAGTCCTCTTGGGTTTTTACGGCTTGCCACTGCACATAATGCGTGACCTGTTTCTCAGCTTCCGCTCATTTTTCAAACGCGTTGCCGATTTTGTCCGTTATCGTAACGCTACGCGAGACATGCACGTTAGGTATCCAGATGCCACTCCAGACGAGGTGGGCAGAGAGGACGTCTGCATTATTTGCCGAGAGGAGATGCGGCCCGTCGCTCAAGCTGTTGACGCCAATGCACCACGACAGAGGACGAATCCAGTCGCAGAGCGAATGCGCCCTAAAAAGCTACCGTGTGGTCATATCCTTCACTTCTCCTGTCTCCGCAGCTGGCTAGAAAGGCAGCAGAACTGTCCTACGTGTAGACGCCCAGTCGTTGTGGCTCAGCGAACCCAAGGGGCAGCAGCCAATCGTCCTGCTTTGCCAGACAATGCAGCTGGGGAACCTGGAGGGGCGGCTCATCCCGGAAATGCCCCAGAACAAGCAGCCCGGAACAGAGCAAGGGTTATCAATTTTGGACCGCTTCGGATTGGATTTGGTGCTGGTGGCGGAAATCTTATTGACGACCTTGCTCAACAAATTCACAATGGAGAGCAAAGGCCTCCAGCAGAACAGCCAGTCAATGTAGGTGGCCGACAACAATTTGGATTTGGTTTCGGCTTCGGCCGACGACCAAATACACACAACCCAACACAAACACAGACGCAGACACCGACCCCAACGGCACCCATACAATCTCAGTTGGATCAGATTGAGCGCAGCCTTCAGCAACAAATCAACAGCCTGAGAATGGCGAGCAATGAATTGCATCTAGTGCGGATGCTTAATATGGAGCTTCTCAGGCTGCGAAATTTGCAAGCAAATACTGGTCACGTTGAAGCAGCGGTCCCGCAATTACCACACGTGGCTTCCGCGCCATTACCGCCTTTAGGTCAAAATCACTTCCCATCCACGGGACATCAACCACCACCGACAATGCTTTCGAGTCAGACCCAGCAGCCCTTGTCGGTTGATAATCATACTTTGCCAGAAGGAGTAACGTTGCCACCAGGCTGGACTCTTATGCCACTCCGGCGTTATGAAGGACCGAACAGAACCGCTCCCAACGACAATGGCGCCACAACAGCTCAACCTGACACCGCCAGTGTCCCCCTGTCAGCCCAAGCCACCCAGCTTCCTTCGCAAACTCATTCAGCTCCTGCCTTTGTAGAACCTTCTACGCAAAGGTCACCACCACCACTACCACCATCCAATGGAACACCTCATGAATCACCTGCAGCGTATCAAGGTAATCCGTCTCAAGCAGGTCCAGATTTACCTTCTTGGGGCTCTGCTCCCCTACAGGTTAATGGCCAACACGTGCGCGAGCCAACAAGGGCGGGTTATCGAGCTAGAAACGGTCAAGCAAACACAGAAGTAGGGACGAGTGCAGCTGATGTAGCCGAAGCAACCACAGATAAGGACAAAAGCAAAGCAGCAACCGTGGAGGATCTGGTTGACGATGTAGATTAGCCTTATTGCAGACACCTGAGATCTGTCGACAGCATGGCGATGGCGTTACGAGTCAGGTCAAACTGCAGTCTCGGCGGTGGCATTTCGTGGTGGTGAATGACCATCATCATAAATCAGTGTTTTCAACAACGAATTCTTTGAATGCACACTACTCTTTCCCTCGTGGGAGAGACGGGGGTACCAACCTTGACGAAGCCACGAGTACTACTCGAGCAGCGAGCTGATTCTGGTCGTTCATGCATTGGACCCGCGTTGAATGCACCGAGCATCAGTATTACGGAGTACTTGGGCTAACTAATGTAGGGTAGCAATCAAGAGTACGCGCGTGGGATGTTTCGGTAAGGACGTGCCAGGACATGCCGGGACATGCCGAACGACAGTCATTCTGACTCGAACAATCCCTGTATCATCCTGAAAGTTGAAGCTCATGCAAAGTAAACTTAATAACAACATTATTGATCTCATTGTTGCCGACTAGCTCGAACAATCATGCCACCTAGTCTATTGACTTACTCACGGGTCTTCCTTATCCGAGCAACAAAGACTGTTACCTACCGAGGAGCAAAATCGAGATCCGGAAAGAGCACAATCACGGCATGGCTATCGAAGAACCCATTTACGTACGGAGTAGTAGACTCCTGATATCCTTAGGATCAGCCTGTAACCAATCGATGGGCAAATCTATGCCTGAATCGCACCGACTGATCGTACCTGCATCATTCCCCTCGTACCGGCCAGCAGTCTATCGGGTCCACGTGAAGCCCAGCATACTTACCACACGATATTCTTATCTTGTCGGGAGAGTTCGTTTCCCATTATGACTATCATGAATCGCTTAGCAATAGCGTACGGAGATGTGCTGGGCTAATCTCAGATCGATAGTCCTTTTTCCCCAAATAAGTTGTCGATGCTCTGTGCGGAGGCTTACGTAGTAGTTAAGGGTTGAATCTCACGTAGGTCAATTAGCAGTAGGGTTGCAGCGAGCGAAGTTGTACTAACTATGACCCGCTTGAGTCAAATAAGTAGCCCTGAACATCCTTGTCTCCATTTCCTTTTCCTTACTACGGGAGGAGGCATAAGTATTGTTGGGCTGGTGCTAGGTGCGGCTAGTTCTTGTTACTCTATCCTAGCGCCGTCATCTGTATTGCAAAGCTTGATTTGAACATGTCTACTCCCTATTTAAATGAATTGAAAATTTACGCTTGATCCAATACGGACTTAGTTGTTTTGTACAAAGGGCACTTTCATAAAGATACTAACGCTGAACTAACGATAGTTCATGCCCCCCGGAGTAGTGGCCCGCAAGCCCGATTTAGTAAATAGCTAGGCACAGGAACAGTCCACCAACTAACTACTAGCAGTCTAGTGACCACGATCGAATTGGAGCAGCTCAGCTTATGGGAACACAGAGAACCCTTAATTTAAACCCGTTAGTGGGGTTTTTGCGGAGAGCTATTTCGCTTCAGTGCGCATCATCCATTTCTTCTCTGGAGTCTTCTCACAACTTATGCCATTCTTTCTATTCCGTCTTCTCCCACGTGTCTTGTGTCTCGCGCTCCAAAGAGTGAGACTGTTCTAAACTTTATTCCTATGCATGTACATATCTATCCATTGCCTAGGTGCCAACTACTGATCCTTAATTCGTGGTGATCGGCGCCCGAATCTATAAATCGTGTTCTTGAACGAATTGTACATAATCTTATTCCCGCATCTCACGGATTCTTGCAGAGGACGTCATTTCCGACATGCCTTCCGTGAATGGCGCCCTAAATACCCCCGCCCCTCCATGGTGGACGTCAATGAGTTCGCAGCCCCCCTCGAGAAAGCATAACGGTAGTGATGTGCAATCGCAAATTCCCGAACACATCGAGGACAAGCCGGCGCGGAATCTCCCTCAGCAATCACACTCGACAGCACACGATTCGATGACTAGATCACGTTCTGACAACAGTCAATCAGGAATGAATGGAACAGTAAGAGAATTGGCACCCCTACAAGACCAGGATGGCGTGGGTGGTGCTGGGTACGACCCCGTTTCAGAGGATAATCCAGCCTCATACGATCTACTCGCACCTACGGAAGAGGAGCAGAAGAAGGAATATTCACTGGAGAAGAGGTCTCAACTTCTCTTCTCGCGGGAGCATCTACAGGTCATCTTTAACGACCCTTCCCTTCTATTCAAATTCACCGCCTTCTTGACCAGCCAGCGTCCTCAGTCGCTTCCTCTACTAGTATATTACCTAGACACTCTCAAAGCAATTCGTGCCATTCATTACGCCAACGCCATCTTGGAAGGACTAGATTCTGTTAAAGGGCACGACTTCACTTGTCAACCGGTGGAAAAAACCACCAACCCTTTGTTGGAACAAAGAGCGAATGAAGCATTCGATGTCTTGGCGCGAGAGGATTTACCAGCTTACATTACGTCTCTGTATATATCAGTTGTAACTTTAAGCATCACGAAAAGAGTCACAGGCTCCTTACCACCACACTTGAGAGAAGCTTCGGAAGGGCTTGCAGAAGTCTTCTGCCTTACAGATCCCTCAAGGCCGGACAATCCCATTGTTTTTGCTTCTGAAGGTGGGTAGCTCCTGCTTCTTGAAATTGCCTGATCTTTACTAACATAGACTTAGAATTCAACAGAACTACGCAGTATGGCATGACATATGCTCTGGGCCGAAACTGCAGGTTCCTCCAGGGACCGGGTACAAGTCCAGACAGCACTCGCCGCATCCGAGACTCGGTCAAAGAAGGCCGACACCATCAAGAAGTATTTTTGAACTAGTGAGTACTCGTACACTAAGCCATATGCCAGCACTGACAACTCGGCAGTCGGCGGGATGGCTCACCGTTCATGAATCTTCTCATGACAGCGCCTCTATGTGATAGCAGAGGGAAGATACGGTATTTCATTGGTGCTCAAGTTGACGTAAGTGGACTGGTCAAGGAATGCGCAGAGCTAGAATCTCTTCAACGGCTTCTCGAACTGCGTGAAAAAGGTAACACTGCTCCGAATGTTCATAGACCATCACCAGAGAAGAGAGACGAGTTCCAGGAGCTTTGCGAAATGCTCAACATGAGCGAATTGTCTACAGTGCGAAAGCATGGAGGCAAAATGCATTCAGATTCACAGGACGATTCAGACACGCAGAGTATACACTCACAGCAGCCACGACTACTCTTAAAGGATCCGTATGACAACGTAAACTCAGTTGCAGCAAGAGTCAGTGGAAAGCTAGGAGGAATATACCAAAATGTGAGTCACAGTCACTATACATACTCTTAGTTGGACTAGACTAATATATGAACAGTATCTCTTGGTTCGCCCTCACCCATCGCTACGTATACTTTTTGCGTCGCCATCACAAAGAGTGCCGGGCATCCTTCAATCTCCCTTCCTTGACAGAATCGGGGGTTCGCCTAGGGTGCGGGAGGAACTGACGGCTGCTTTCGCCGACGGCCGAGGGGTGACTGCCAAGGTTCGCTGGTTATCTCGATCACAAGAGGAAGGCAGAAGTCGGTGGATCCATTGCACGCCTCTCGTTGGAATTAATGGTCAGATTGGTGTCTGGATGGTTGTGATTGTTGATGATGAGAGAGCTGTGGTGACTCGGAATTGGAAGCCGGCACCACCCGTCCCGTCGAGCATAACACGAAGCACACGGAGCCGCAGTGTTAGCGGCAGAGGTCAGCAGTCGTTTGATACGAGTATGAGGAACGGCTCCTTGAGGAGCGAGTCACCAAATTCCCTCCTCATTGGCTAAGTTGAGGGCGGAACGGCAAAACCGCAGAACCGGTTATGTAATAAACCAGCGAAATCACAGCTGCTTTTTTCGGAAAGGGCCTTGTCACTCGCCCAGTGATCCTCAAGGCTTAGGAACCTAGCTTGCAGTGTCTCGCATTATCGTGAGACCGAGACTCAACTCCACGGTCCAATATAACTCTACTTGGAGTTGTCTTGGGAAAGAAGACCAGGTCATTTACTAAAGAAAAAGCTCGAAGAATACGAACGGGCACCATAGAGAATTTTCTTGTGGATGCTAGGGGACTCTGGGGGACATATTTCAGTGACGGTTGGATATCGCTTCTGCAGATACGGGGTCCTCGTACCGATATTCAGCGTGAATACGGTCTTGCGATTCTTATAAGTAATACTTGTAGATGAAAAAATAAGTGACCCATAGAGACTTCTATCATCATTAGGCTGTTTATCGTCTACTACTTACCATGAGAAGGGGTAGCTAAAGATATGAGCTAAGTGCCGTTAGTGGAATTGACAGCTATTCCGTCAAATGACCACCATACCAACATGATAAGAGAAGTATATTTTGACCATACTGTGACCATATTTTGTTGAAAATATGTTGTAGATAATAAGATTGGAGTGGATTACGGACGATTAAGCCGCGTATCCTTGTGCTCTCTAAGCAATCTTACGGTTAGGCGTAGTCTACGTAGTAAGCGCGCTTTGATGGCTCCCCTAGCATTATTTTAAGAGGGCCTCTTCCTGCTAAGTGGTACTACTGTAACCCAAGAGCTCATGCCGACAGCCAAGGTCGTGGTGCGTTATAAGCTTTTTTCCCTCCCGTGTTCAAGATCTCCCCTGCAGTGGACGTGTACACTGCTAGCGGACATGCCAAATATCATTGGAGACACAGCCTACCAAACAACTCGCCTGTGCCCCTGTACTCCGTCTCCAAGTGGGTCATCACATACGGCTTCTGCTTTGCCTTCCGAGACCCTACCTCGCAAAAGCATACATCCATAATATATGCTTTGGACGAGAAATTCGTTGAACCTGAACATGGACATTCAGCCGTGGCCTACTTAGCCAGAATCACATACAGACTTGTGGTCAGACCATCTCCGTCTATTTTTGATTGCTTGCATTCGCGACAGCGAGCGATCAACAGCATTGGTAAGTGTTTCGTCCCGCCTACTGGAAAGACGACCGAAGTGTCAGTTTTCTCACGACCTGCATTGCTGTAGCTGAAACTTCTCACAGTTTCTCTTTTGAAGAAGAAGCTCCTCTGTGGGCTTGCCATGCTTATACCCCGAAAAATTGCGCCGCTACTTGCATTCGCAGCCTTCGGCTTCATCATCCTCGTCCTCCACTCAGCAGTAAGACAAAGGTCCTGGCGGGACATACCACAAGTCGTTGGGCTCGGGGAAGTGGTGGCGGGTGACTCTCCAGCATTTGAAATACCATCACCCACCTCCTCGCTGGACGATGCAACTCAAACAGGTAATAAGCAGACATGGAAATCGAGGCCGACATTTTTACCTGGGGTACCGCCAAGCCCGGGTCACAACTATACAAAGGTGCTCGTGATCCCAAAGGTTCGGGACGAAAAGACGGACTGGATACATGAAGAAATCCCGGATCTTCAAACCGCTATCTACGTTGCGGATGATCCCTCGGCTCCTCTCCACCCACCCAAGAACAAGGGAAACGAGGTGATGATTTATCTGACCTACATTATCGATCACTATGAGGACCTTCCGGATATTATCATGTTCATGCATTCTCATCGCTACAGCTGGCACAACAATGACATACTTAACAACGATGCCTACGAGATTATCACCAGGCTCAGCAGCGAAAGAGTTGTCAGAGAAGGCTACATGAACCTTCGGTGTCATTGGAATCCCGGCTGCCCAGATTGGATACACCCTGGCCATGTGGAAGTGGATCGAGAGAAGAAGGAAGAAAGAGAGCTCGCAAGGGTTTGGAGTGAGCTATTTCCCCTTGATGCTATCCCACAAATCTTGGCTCAACCATGTTGTGGCCAATTCGCCCTCTCCCGAGAACGAGTACATGCTATTCCTAAAACGAAGTTCTCCTTCTACCGCGATTGGCTTATGCGGACCGATCTTCCCAACTATCTTTCTGGCCGTGTTTGGGAGTACCTCTGGCAATATATCTTTACTGGAAAGAATGCTTTCTGTCCTGATCAACATGTTTGCTATTGTGATGGATATGGGGTCTGCTTCGAGGACGAGCAGGCATTTGACCGTTGGTTCGAGCTCAGATGGAAAACAAACGACTTGGAGAGAGAGCTTGAAGCTTGGCGTTCAAAAGCCAAGCTAATTGAAGACGCGGCAACAGGAGTACTAGATGAGGCGAATGACTTAGAAGTGCCTGAAGTTGGCAAGGATGCAACTCTGGAGCATGAGATTCAGCAGAATAAGCGGCAGTTGGGCGAACAGCGAGACGACGCCATTAACAAAGGCAACGATCCCCAAAAGCGAGCGGCGATTGCCGGAAGAGAGTGGCATGATGGGGATTGGTATTGAGCATGCTCTTATGCAAGAAGACCGGTGGCCAACGATGTGGAGGAGCTAATTCCTGCTTGTGTCGGAAGTTCCAGCTTATGTCTTCAAAATTTGGCTACTTGTCCGTAGACTCTAACTTAGCTATAAAAGAGGCCTGGTTATGCATATGGAGCACCTCGATTTAGGCATGCTATTGTGCGTGCGGGACACAAGATAGAGTACGTGTTGCATGTCTACATTAGATGTGATGTCTTGCAACAATCAGAAGTCCATAGATTGTTGAGATCATGTACCGCGTTCTAAGACGCATGCGCTGTAAAAGACATTTTTCTTACTATCGCCCATCTTGGGATACTTTTTCAGAGCTCCGCAGGAGACTTCAAGTTTTTGTTGTCGTTCATAAAAAACTTTAAGAGTGCTACCTTACTCCATTCATGCCATGTGGATGCGGACAATATTTGATAGTTACTACTCCGCCAATGCTGACCTGCAAAAACCCCGCCCGTGGCCCACCCAGATACAAACAAACAAAGCAAACACTCTGATCCCATGCAAAGCCTTGTCCCTCCTATCTGAAATTCCGCATAGAAGAAGCACGCTGCTTCCGCTGCCCGCGCGGGCTTCCCAGCTGCCGCAGCTGTAGCGGGACCTAACACTTATTATAGGATTCTCCGAAGTTCTCACACGCGACTCGATTCTGGTGTCATCGAGTGCATGTTTAGGCAAGACGAATTGCCCTGTTCAGTCGCGTCCACCACTCTTCTATGGCCACTTCGGTTTATCCGGTCGACAACCAATTCGCGGGCTTAGTCGAGGCAGCAACCGCAGCCGCTGGTCAGGAAGTCGAATGGTCGCTTAACGATAGCGCAGGCAGTTCTGCCCATCAATTCTTTGAAGGCAATGAGGGTCAAAGAAGGCCGCCGCCCCGAGATACATGTACAGGTCCACTTGCTGGCCAGTACGATCCTAGCTTGACGAGTCTCCACAACAGTATTCCATCTCAAGGCACTACTCACATTAACACTAAAAAGAGAAAGAGAGCAGCAACTTCAATTGGTGCAAAAGAGCACTTTGCTGATGAAGAGCTTACTAGTCGGCCAACGCAGCAGCTTACAAGTGTTCATTCTGCAGCTGCGCTGTTCCGCACTTCCTCAACCTCGAGCAAGAAATATACTAGGCCACCCATGTCCAAATTATTTTCTTCACTACATTTGCCGCCAGAGGAGTTCTTACACCTTCAGTCTGCAGCCAAAGCATACATGTTGGATGATGGTCACCCTGAGCGACGCGACTGCGTTGGCCAGCGTGGAAAGACGGACTCCGACATGGTCAAGCTAAAATTGTGGCACTGTGTAAAACAGTTCCTTGATGAGGAAGGCAACGGAGAAAGGTTTTTCGGTGTCAATGTGCCCAAGTTAGGTGGTGAGGAGGAGACTCGCTCGATGACCTGGCCTGAGAATGCTCAGCAGATTATCAAGATTTGTATACCTCTGCTGAGACGTATGGTGACCAATGAGAGACAGAGACAATATGCTGTGGAGTCAAGAAAGTGCGGCGGAGACAGTAAGCGAGAGAAACAGGTTCAGGATGCCAAACAATCGCCATACCAAGCATCGACGGCCACGCTTGACGGGACGGACAATCCGGACACCTTCACGACGGAAAAGATAGACATGTTCGGTGATGGACTGATCTCCAATTTAGATGAGGCAAGCGAATGGTATACTGTCTACAATTCCAATGCTGTTCTCGATAAGATTTCCATCAAAGCTGGCTTTCCCCGTGTTCTGTTTATGCCTTTAGTCACCAATATCGACGCTCATTGTCGCCTCTACCATGGCGATGAAGGACATCTGTGCAATGAGTCATGCAGAACTCGCCTCGTCGAGCGACTCCTTGAACACCCAATCTACCAGCGGCATGCCCCGGGTGGGAACCCGCGAGAAACGGTACAAGAGGTGTTCCACGTAGTCTTGACCCACTTGATCCTAACCAACTACTGGAAGAATGGCATAGCTGATCACACGGCGAGATCAATCCCTGCAAGCATCACGCCTACGCAACCAGAGCCCGATATGAACAGCTCTGGACCTCGAAAGAAATTAACATCAAGCAGCACAGGAAGTGTCGAGATGACCTACGGTCACAAGCCAGACAAGTCACTGCGGCTCCTCATCCACATAGTGCATCAGGATAAGTGTGTTCTACCACCTTTCGACATTCCGTCCAATGAATGTCGAGACCTCGAGGCATTGAGAAAGGAGATACAGCAACACTACAGTCTAGTAACATTGCGAGACAAGCGTGTGATGCCCCTCTCGGAGGCCACCTTTAAAGTATGGTTGCCGGATGGCCTGGTCAGAGTTGAGGATGATGGACAGTGGATGGTAGCGCTGTTGAGCGCTGAGTCGGTGGAGTGGATGGGTGGCCAGATCAGAGTCCTGCTGGAGACATAAGACGATTGGTTGAGGATCAAGGCCCTCGCAATGTTCGGACACTCGAGGATGAGAGGTTATGGAAGCAGGACGGAGTATTCATTAGTAATTTGTACATAGAACAATACTACTAGTTAGTACTACTACTCTGTACTAACTTACTTACTAGTAGTACTACTAAGTTAGTAGTAAGTAGACTGGACCTGTGCCAAGGCCATATCTTCAGGGACCTCGGGACCAGAGAACTTGCCAGGGACCATCGGACCCAATCTTTACTGCATTAGGTGATCACGTCAACTTTTCGAACACCATAAACTGCTTACTGATAGTGGTACTCGCATGACATCTGTCATCCTAAAACCATAGCACCCTTCACAAAACAAACATTGCTCGAAATCAGAAAACAGTAAAATCCCGTCCTGTCCCTTATCAAGATTCATTACAACCTTCAAACTGTTCTCCTCAACCTTCCGCCGCAGGCTTCACCCCTCCCTCCGCTCTGGCCTCCCCTTCACCCTCGCCGCCTCAACTACCTTCCAACAGAAGCCTCCTGCTAGTGCCCGAAGCTCGCCTTTCTCCTTCCCTAGCTCCTCCACCAGTACAATCCACCACCGCACCGCCACCTCTACACCCCGCACCATGAAGCCCGAACCGCCGCCCCACACCAAAGTCGCCATTATCGGCTCCGGCCCAGCTGCTCATACCTGCAACCCGTCCTATATGAAGGCATGCTCGCCAATGGCACCGCCGCAGGAGGTCAACTCACCACTACCACGGATGTGGAAAACTACCCGGGCTTCCCCAAGGGCATTAGTGGCCCAGAACTCATGGATCAGATGCGCGCCCAGTCCGAACGGTTCGGCACTCAGATCATTACCGAGACCGTATCTAAACTGGACCTGAGGGAGAGGCCGTTCAGGTTGTGGCGGGAAGATGAGGACGGGGAGGAAGATCAACCAGCGCATACAGCGGATGCGGTGATTGTAGCTACGGGAGCGAATGCACGACGGTTAGGCCTACCCGGCGAGGAGACATATTGGCAGAATGGGATTTCAGCTTGTGCCGTCTGTGACGGAGCGGTACCAATATTCCGGAATAAACCACTTGTCGTCATCGGCGGAGGGGACTCGGCAGCCGAGGAAGCAATGTTCCTCACGAAATACGGAAGCAAGGTCATCGTGCTGGTAAGAAGAGATGTGCTGAGAGCAAGCAAGACAATGGCAAAGAGATTACTAGCCAATCCGAAAGTGGAGGTCCGGTTTAACAGCGTAGCAGTGGAAGTACACGGCGAGCAGAAACCAAGGGGTCTCATGACTCACCTCCGCGTCAAAGACGTTAAAACGGGCCAAGAAGACACCCTCGACGCCAACGGTCTCTTCTACGCCGTTGGCCATGAGCCGGCCACCCAGCTTGTCAAGGGCCAGCTCGACATCGATGAGGATGGCTACGTGGTGACGAAGCCGGGGACGAGTTATACCAGTATACCCGGCGTGTTTGCGGCGGGGGACGTGCAGGACAAGAGGTATAGACAGGCTATCACAAGTGCAGGGTCGGGTTGTATTGCGGCGTTGGAGGCGGAGAAGTACTTGGCCGAGTTGGAAGATGATGATGGTGCGACAGGAATTGAGAAAGAGAAGGAGGCTAAGAAGGGGGATGTGGAAGTCAATGGGGCGGAGAATGTGCCGGAGTATAGGAGTAATCCGTTGTTGTAGAATGGTTGAATCCCCGAAGGATAGAAGGGCTGATAGAGACAGGTAGAAAGCATTGCTATCCCATGGCACATCCTCATACTAGACATGAAGGCGGCTTTACGATTGGCTCAGTCTCGCGAGATCGCTTGATCTTGCATCTCAACTTCGTGAATTCACCTGCTGCTGATCTGATATACTTATCTTTAGGTGCGCCCTCATTGCAACTTGAATCTCAGCTCACCCAAGGCTTATGTTACATTTCCTTCGATCCTTCCATGCGGATGCTCAACCCCATGAAGAACACCACGACTGATAACGACGACAAGAAATTCTCACCTTCTCCCTTCCACTCGACTAATTTAGGTCAGAAAAATCCTCTCCCTTTAGCCTTCCACTGCGGGTATACCTTCTGACCTCCTACAACCTAGACAGATCAATAGTCAAAAAAAAAACCAAGGAAAGAAAGCAATGCCTAGACTCCACAGAGGTCGTCGACGCGCCAGATCTCCAACGAGACGGTTTGGTCGCATCGATCAGCCTTTCTTTCTTCGACGTTGTTTCGGTAACCTCAAGGTCGAACCGTCATCACGACGCATTCTCTATACTGCGCTCATCCAGTGGTGCCGGAAGAATTGCCCTGAGAAACTGGCTGGACATCTGGGAGATGGGATTACTCTTGCAGAGGTGACGAAGCCGGCACGTACGAGTGAGACTGGTAGGAGGTTCTGGGGCCGCGATGACAAGTGTCAGGTTAGGAGGGGAAGGGTGCGGGCTTTGAGGCGGCCTTGCCGTAGAGATGAGTATGTACTTGCGGGCTTCCCTCGGTTGTCTGTTGAGGTGCTTTGGCTAAAGGATCTAGGATTCTTATTGGGCTTCGGACCCTGCTGGCTGGGATGGCGGGGGTGGACGATCTGAAGGGGAGGGAGAGGAAGAGGGTAAATGCAATGGTACGTATACAAGAGGCTTGGGGCACTCCAGAATGCTTTTGGGTGGGTGTGGTGCTTATGTTGACAGGGTCTGCAGGTCAAAAAAGGCCATTCCAATGAAAAGCCTGAGGAAGTTGCTGCCGCTGATGAAATTGAGATTGCACAAGGAATACAACGGCTTCAGTTGGGTCAAGTGATGTCCTGGGCATGATTGATCATCTCAGATCAATTGAAGCAGGAGTGGTTGAGTCCGTTCATGAATGTTAGTACTTCAGCTCTCGAGATGAGAGCTTCGATATGAGAGGAGATGATGTTGTGCTTGAGCAGATTTCTAAGTCTCAATCATGACGAGCGGCAAAGCTTTATATGGGGGGTTTTGAAGTAGGTCCTGGAGATGTTGTTGGTACTGTTGGATGAGGTTTGGGAAGTTGCAAACTTTGAACCACCAGAACGGGGTGCTTGCTTAGTCAACCGGCACAGTCAGCATTGCCTTGGCACCAACGACGTCCTATCAATCACAAACTTTGTCTCATCTACCAGAATGATACTACAGTCTTCAGCCGGTTACATTTGACTGCCCTGGTCAGCGTATGGACTTGTAATAGACTCTTCATGACCCTTGCATTACCATTTGTATATGGAGCCATAGAGCCATAGTGTCTGGCAATGCATATTCCTCTTCTCCATTTGAGTCAAAGCTCTGCCACCATATATTGGTCCTTCGGTGCGGTTTTATTGCTACTACTATGAGTGTAGCATGGGCAGAGTTCCGGCTTATGAGAGCACAAACCAGCATGCTCTCCGTCAACGCTGGTACATTTAATTGCAAAGTACAGGAATATACTAAGCTGCCTACCAGCATCGATGTCTATGGCTTTGCCAGAATGGGCTCCCATGGAAAACCTGCTGGAGAGAAGGATATATGATGTCCTGGCTTGCCATCTGGCATCTGTCCCCCATTCTCTGGGCAATCTTGAGGAATTCATCGCATGTGTGCAGACTGTCTACTTCATTTTCCAAGCAGCATGAAGGCGGAACTGTTATTGGGCAGAAGTTGTGCTCACAATACTATTCACTATGGGAAAGCTTGTGTAGGGATTTGCTTGACATCTTTCTGCCCGCTGAGCATGACCACTTCGGACGTTTGTGTTCTGGCCATGTGTTCTCTGCAGATATGGCTGTTGAAACTCAGCAACCTTTCCAGGCACTTAGTTGTAGCAGCCTGCTGTTTCTCACTGTGTGCCACCACCTTATCCTTCACTCCATATACCCATCATCCTCCTGGAGAAGTTAGACATCTTTTCATCAACGGGAAAGTGTCGCTCTTCCATTCATTCAGTGATGACGCATGAGCTTCTGATAAGATGTCTGAACCACCACATCTAGGCCCTTCTGTGTTGTTACCAGAGATGACATGTCGTACAGATGCTGCATGCCAGCCTGCTTTCCAGAGCCAGCCTACTGATCAAGGTCAACCTGGCTTGCGTCATCTCGGTAGCACCCAGGTACGATTGCGTACAGGAGCACGTATGACGGAGACCATAGGTGATTATCGTGATATCTTTCAGGAGCTTCAAATTGACCCAGCATTTCAAACCTCGTTTTGGACTGACATCATCTACCGATACCGTCAGTTTGCAAGACATGCCACGTTCCTCAAGCGTGGCACACAAGCATCTATCAGGAACATGAGCGATGAAATTCTCCGTGCATACGGTGAGCGAGTCTGGGGACAAACTTCGTCATGGAGAAGTGGGCTAGAGACAGGAGAGAAGATGTTGCTGTATGAGAAAAATGGAGCCAACGAAGGGTAAGTAGTATATCTAATCCCCCATCTTAGCGGCTATGCTGACAGCTGACATTGGTAGACTGCACGAAATTCTTGCCAAGATGTGGTGGAGAATGCGAGAGCTTCTATACGAGGAGAAACCCAAACCCAAACCCACACCCAAAAAGCGTGGTAGAACTACGTTGGAAAGATTGGGAAATTATGCAGTTGAGCCTTCCTACTTTGAAGGTGACGAGATCTATCTAGTAAGTCTTGCTATGTGTTTACCACGTTCTCCTTCTGACATCTCTTCGTGAAGGGAGACATCGACGACGACAGAGACAACACCCCTGTTGGGACCGACTCGGACGCTGGAACATCCATAAAATCGTCTGGGAAGGCTCGAGCTAAGACTGCCGCAAAGCTGGACAAGCTTACCGGGAAACTGCCAGCTCCCGAGCCAGGCCAATTTCTCACCTTCCAGCAAACTGAGCAGGAGATCATGAACTTAATTGAACGACTCCATGATCTACGTCTTAGCAGTAAACCAGACATCTTTGAGCGCCTATGGCTTGCCCATATTGGTCGTATCGAGGAGATTGAAGCACATACCGAGCCGTATGAGATCACTCCGATTGGGCATCAGGTGGACGAGGAGGGTAGTCCGCTGGGCGGTAAAGCAGTTGATTGCGGTGGTGACCAGGTCGAAGAAGACACCGTCATGGAAGATGGGGAGGAGACTTTCGCGTTTGCAAGCAAGGTCAAACGCTTCAACGCCTCTACAACACAACCAGGCGACAATTTCCTGCGAGCCACCACAGATGCAGCTGCTATCCCCTTCCCAGCCAGTCTTCTCTCGGATGATGCGATCAGAAGACGCATCTTTCCAAACTACTCGGCCGAGCCTTTCAACACTTCGGGCAATCCCATTCCTCCAACCCTGACACAAAAGCATGACATACCACCCACTCTTCCTCAATTGATGTCCATCTACATCATGACTTCACTACCACGCTCTCCCTACCACAACCGTGCGTATCACCACCCCGGAGCTCCGGTGCAAGAACAGGACCAGGTGGCCTTCTTCACTCAGGTGATGAAACGAGTCGACCACATCGTAGACAAGGATGTCAAGGGGTATGCATTGAGCTACGGCTGGTGCGATACTAGTCGTTGGGTTGAGAAGACCGTCGGAACTGGCTGCGGCGGAGTTGGTAAGGGAGAAGAAGCAGGGGAGAGTGAAGGAGAGAGATTGGGGTGGGGAGTGTTTCAGAAGGATCTGCTCGAGGCGGCAAATTCAGGAGTGATGATTTGGCGGATGAAGGTGCTTGTTGTGAAGAAGTGAAGGTTCTTCTGGCGGTGGAGATGTGGAGAGAGGAGAGAGATCGACTTTGCAGGGAGAATCAGTTGGTATGGATGAGCACAAACGGCCTGTCAGAAGAAGGGGGCTTGCTGTTGAGTGAAGTTGGCTACACAAGCTCAGCAAATTCTAACATGGGAGTTAAGTAGTAGCAACTGGGTCACGCTCATCCACCTGGCCGGAGAAAACCCTCATGCCTTGCTGTCATTGAGCAAGATATCAAACCCCTGTATTCATGCCCTTGTCGTACTCTTCGCTTGTTAAAAGCCGAGCAGACTCGCACAGTACGAGTTAGGTTACAGCATGGGACACTCACATCACTTATCTTCCCTGCCACCGCCATCTCACCGCCCACCCCGGACCCAGCACGAGTCATTTTGATAGTGACCCAACCACTCCCTGCTGCAGATCTCTCCTTCTTCCAGTCGAAGCGAATGAGAGAGAGGTAGAATTTGCTGAGTCATCTGCTTGTTGGGGGTGTTACAGCAGATACTGAATCGCCCAACGTTTCGTCCTTCTTGCAAATTGCCATATTCTACCCAAGCAATTCTCCTCGATCGGCGGAAGGGATGGAGTAGTCGGATGTTTGGCTGGCTTGCATGGATCATCATGTGTGATCAAAGTAGTCAGCATGCACGCGCCTCTGCATATTTGATACGGATAACTCGATAATCACCTGTGCTCCATTCGAAAACATGCAGCTAGAGGTTGAGGAAGGTTTCTGCTCAAGAGATAGGCGAATCGGCAGATGCCCGCTGGATGGGGGATGCTGTATGTCATCATTCGAGAACTGGGAAGACAGGTCAAGGGCAAAAAGCTGCTTGTAACCCTCCGCAAGTGGCGGAGTACAACGTGATAGCTGTTGCCCCTGGAAAGGATCTTTTTTGCTCTTTGCTGGTCAGAGGGTCGTCAAGGATGCTTTACAGTATCGCCGGACTTTTTCTCGCTCGTGTTGTGTCTAATTGTTTCTTTCTCAGGGGCTTCTCGGCCGAGACTGACTACTTGCTGATGATCGTCGCGTTCGACAGCACTGATCCTCACCCGGCCATTTACGCACACCACCTCTCTCAGGTCTCTATCAGATCAGGCACAACACCCGTTGAATCCGAACCCTGTTCGTCTCGTGGGGAAGGATCCTAACGGGCCCTATTCTCCGGGCTTCCTTCCTTCCTTCCGGCCCGTTCCCTTTGTTCCCCTTTAACTCTCTCTTTTGGGCAAGGATTTCCCCCCCCCCCGACTGGTCTAAGATTGAGCACAATTTGAGTCAATGCTGTACCATCTCCATAATAATCACAATCAACGCTCTTTTCTTGTCGATTCTGATTTTATTGTGCTTTATCGTTCCATTTCATTCTGGACAACCCTTCACACTCATTTGTTGCAGCGGTAATGGCGGATGCAGTGGGTGTCCGTGACGGTGTCGAGAAACCGTCAGTTTTAATAATTGGAGGTTTGGGTAAGCATTGCTATTCTCAACCATGTATTACCGATGCGCTTGTGTATCTCAATATCCAATGACTACTGTACATCACTAACGAGTATGTGAAGGTTATATCGGTCGTTTTCTTGCAAAATACATTCATACAAATTCCCTTTGCAGTACTGTCCGTCTGGTCGATAAAGTCCTCCCACAGCTCGCCCACCTTGCCCCAGAGTTTACCGAACCATGCCACCAATCCATCTTCCTCCAGGCCGACGCCTCACGAGAAGCATCGATGTCCCGCATCTTCGAGCGGCCCGACGGCTCTACAAAACCTTGGGATTACGTCTTCAACTTGGGAGGAGAGACCGCCCTGTCCCAAGCACTGGAGGTGTACAAACTACGAAGTGTAGCACTGAGCGTCACACTGGGAAGAGAAGCAGCAAGGAGAGGAGTCAAAGCGTTCGTAGAAGCAAGCACAGGCATGGTATATGCGCCATCGCGCAACCCTCGAAAAGAAACCGACAAGCTCAAACCTTGGCTCAAGCTGGCCAAATGCAAACTCGAAGCCGAAGAAGCCCTGTCCAAGATCCCCGGACTCAACCTCGTTATCCTCCGTCTCGCACACGTCTACGGTGAATACGATGCCGGATTCATCGCCAAAGCCCTCTGTCTGGCCCGGGTATACCAAGAGCAGGAGCGAGAGCTGAAATGGTTGTGGACCGAGGATCTACGCATCAACACCGTGCACGTCGAGGACGTAGCAAGAGCGCTTTGGAAAGCCGCGGAATGGAGGGCGGTGAACAGCACCATACCCGCCGATGCAGCAGCAGCCGCGCCAGAATCTCCCACCTCTCCACGACGAAGCGGCGCCCAATTTTCAACCTAGTCGACCACGGCTGCACCTCACAAGGCACCCTTGCCACCATCATCTCCCAAGTCTTCGGCATCAAGACCGGGTTTCAGGGTTCTCTGATCTCGCAATTCGCCAAGATGCACCTCGAATCCGTGGTTGATGATTTGAATGAAGATATCCTGCAGCCCTGGGCCGATATATTAGCGAAGAAGGGGATTACACGACCGGGGCCATTGAGTCCTTTCCTCGAGAAGGAGTTGCTCAAGGATACGGATCTGAGTTTGGATGGAGGGTTGTTCGAAAGGGTCACCGGGTTTGAGTATCAGCGGGGAGATGGGCTGAAGAGAGAGGGCGTGGAGGAAATGGTAAAAAGTTACGAGAGGATGGGTTGGTGGCCTTAGGGTGGGTGAAGCCGCCCATATGATGAATTTGTGTGATTGATTGGTCCGAGTACTGCGTCTATAATAACATTAGCGATGAGGATGAGGTGGATGCCGACAATGGTGATGAGGACTGGATGGGCAGAAGACCATCTGCAAGACGAAGAATTGGTATCACTATCGAGAAACGATCGGCATTGAAAAATTCTACGGAAGCAAAAGGCTGGGACGAGTGCACAGACGGACGATCAGGCCATCGATTCAAAACCAAAACAATGCACACATGAAAAGAAAGATGGGGAACAAAAATACGGGCCTGTTCTGACATGGACCATGGGGCATCATGAGCGAAATTGGAGTTTTTTCTTAGCATCAGCATTTCCAGGGCATCGTTGGAGATGTTTATCGTATCTGAATACGAGTGTAAGATAGGGCTCTCATATCACGGCCGCAAAGCATGCATTCCCTCCCCCCGTACAAATAGCCTGTGCTATGCACCGAAACGCTCATCGTGTTCCGGAGGCAATGTATGTATTTATCTTGCCCAGGTGTTCATTCCGTCCATCAGTCTGTCCCTCCCTTTCCCCGAACAAGCAGGCAGCAGGCAGTAGGTAATTAAATTCCTCAATCCTCAACGCTCTTTTGATTCGGATGCAACACTACTCCATGAGCATGATCGCAGCAACAACAACAACAACAACAACACATGTACACAGAGAGCACAATCGGATTCGTTACAATACAGACGCGCGCAAAGAGGTTTCATTTTTCGGGGGGAAGGGGGAGGGGTATATAATGGTAGAAAAGGAAAAAGGAATGTGGCTGGTAAGAGAGTTTGACAGATGAGTACGTTGATTTAGAGAGGACCAGAAAAGAAGAAGAATGAAGGGTACAGTGAATGGCATCCGAGATGTCTCGGGGTGGATGTAGGCATATATACCCTGAAAAATGTCGTGAGTCGAGGTGCTCGGTTGGTCGCCCAGCTTGACCTCCCAGTTTAGTGAATCTGTCCTGTGTCAGTACTGGATAGAGAGTAGCTTGATCGGTCATGCTGTTTGTCTCTGGCCAAGTAACGTAGCGGCCAGCAGCAGTCCAGGTCGGTCAACAAGTTCGCTGGAGATTCCAGTCGTGCTTCTGACTGCTCGTACGTCACACCTGCAGCTCGCAAGCTTTATATCTTTCCTCCGGACACCACAGATCTCTCACGTTCCTCACGACCCTCACTTCCGCCGCCTTGGTCTCAGCTAGATACCTTCTATTTCCTTCCCCATCATCACCCACCTCCACCCCGCTCGAACTCGACATGCCCTTGCCACCCTCCGTCAACCCAGCCAACTCCCGATCTCTAGCCTGCATCGTCTTCTCAAGCACCATCTGCATACTCGCCAGCACCTTCTCCGTTGCCTTCGCCAAGGGCAACTCCGTCGCGGCCACGTCATCTTCACTAACCCAGCTCTTCCTATCCGTTACTCCAGCTTCAAGACATGCTTCGCGCAGGCGGACGACCATGAGCGCGGCGAACATGTCTCCAGTCCCGGAGAAGAAACAGGGGAGGGCGGGAACGTCGACTTTGAAGAGGCGCGGTGTGTGGTTTGAAGGGCGGAAAGTGCTGCCGATGATGGAGAGAGTGGGGTTGGAGGGCGTAAGACGGATGGAGGTTACGATGATGTGAGGGATGAGGTAGGTGGTGTGGAGAGTGGAGATTGCGGTTGCAAGGGAGGGAAGGGAATGGATGGGGATACCGGAGAGGGTTCTAGATTTCATGGAGCAGGTTAATGATTGAGATGGGAGGAGGGAAATGGGAGGCGGGAGGTATATATACTCGGCTTCGAATTGGTTGGGTAAGATGAGGTCTGCCTCTCGTAGGATACTCTTGTAGGCTGGGACGACATCTTCATTGACGTAGAGTCTGCCTTGGTCGCCCATTACCGGATCAAGGACTTTTTGAGGTTTTGCTCAGCAACGGTTTCTCTCAACTTGCTCAGCGGTTCGCCTTACCCCAGAAGAAAGACCCTGGCTTGTTTGTTGACCTGAACCGGAGATCACGAGCGATGACACCAACGGCCTGGACTGTTTCTGCGTTCGGCGAGTAACCGGAAAGAAGCATATCAAAGTCGGTCAGGTAGGACTGGCAAAGGCCGTCGTAGATGTCTCGTATCTCCTGAGCAGATGCTTTTGTGCCCCTGACTTGGCAATATCCGGTATGGTTGCCTGCATATGCCTCGGTTGGCTCGAAGAAATTGCAGATGAGTTGCGTCGATGAAAGAAGAGCAGAGAAGCTCAGGCAGATCAGATGCAAAACAAAAGTGGAGCATACTGAAGTGGACGGTGTTCAACGCTGCAACATCACATCCTAGAGCCTGCATAACAAAGGTGGCCATCGTGTTACCGACGTATCTTTGACAGTGAGATCAGATCCAGCTTCTAGGCAATCCAGTGTATTCAAGTTGTTCGACTCACCCATACACCACCTTAAGCCATATTGGTCAGCCAGATCGATCAAGGATATTCGAAACCCTACATGGCTAGCGATCGCCAGGACCTTCGTCTCTGGTATTGCAGGCTCGAAATTCATGGTTGCTCCCAAGTTATGAAATGATGGGAGTATAATGGAAAGATAGAAGATGAGAAGCAAATAGTCTAGTTATCGTAATCTGCGCTAGAGGAGTTGATGATCCCTCGATAAGGCTGACGCCAAGCAACCACCCCTGCTCCGTGACACTATGGAGTACACGTTGAGGTATTCTGCACACCCATCAACCGCATAGAACTCGTGGAGGAAGCTGCCGAAGAGGTACATCGTGTTCAATGGCGCTGGAAGCTGTGCAGAGCCCTCTCTACCTACGAGTACATCAGACTATCCTGGAAAAATCGCAGATTGTCGTTGGCACTTGTAAGTACCTTCCGATTGACTTTGTGGCCATGTTCATTCATCGTCGCCAATCTGTAGAACACAGGTGTCAGCAGTCATGCCTAGTAAAACGAACAGCACAGTCTTACCTTGGGCGCCAAGTAGAATCGTAGATAGCTGTTTCCAGCCAATGGATACTCTACCAACAACGGTACTTCTTGTGATAGACACAGCTTGACTTTCGCAGAGAGGCCGCTTGCCTTGCAGAAGTTGACCAGGTACTTAAGAGAGAAAGTCAACGCGACCGGCTCAGATAGCTGGATCGAAACATCATGGTCTGGCTTCTCGACGTTGCTGTGTTGTCGGACTGTCACGCTGCCGCTACCAATGTCGCCTTGACAAGAAAACCGTACACCATCCTTGGAAGCCTCGATGCTGACTGCACAACTCATCAGTATTATTCACTTTTGGGAACATCCTCCATTGTCCTACCTGATTCGGACATCGCAATAAGGTCCCTGCAGATCCGTTGAAATTCAGAACTAGGCATCTCGATGGTGGCTGCGTAGTCTGTGTCTGGAATACCCAGATGTTCTTGATCAATGTCCATCAATTTGATATCATATTCGCTAAGCCGATCGGTCTCGCTGCTCTCAAAGACCAGGTTGACAACGTCTGGAGCATCTTCTGCCTTGAGTGTGAGGATATCTTCGTTCTGCGCCGCTCGTAGGACTTTGGTGAGCGAAGTCAGATTGATGCCGAGAGCAAGGTTGCGGTCACAGCGAAAGGGCGAGAAGCTCTCGGCTTTCAGGATCATGGAGACCAGAGCGACGTGGGAGTTATCCATGGCTTGAAGGGCAATGCCGGAGTCATTGCAATCAAAATTGCAGTCTTGAACAAGGTCCTTGATAGCATCGACAACCTGCGAACACCATAAGCGAAAGATTAAGAGGTCGGTAGGATTGCTAGTCGCACCTTCTTGAGCAGACTCGCCTGCTCTAGTCTCGCTTCCAGCACTATAAATCGTCAGTCCAGATACCTTCTTGCAGTCCGACCGTGCATACTCTTGACGTATGGTTGACAGGGAATAGGAGGTCAAGGATATAAAAGGTCTGATTATTGTAGAGGACAGAATTCGGCCTTGGTAACGTAGAAGCAGGTTTGAAGCAGGAGGATCAAGATGGTTGCCTTGGACAATCTCACAGTTCAGAGACGATTATCCGCACTTTGCAGTCGCGTGGAACACGCGTTCTATTTATCCTATCTTAGTATAGTCAAGAATATGGACTTGGCATGGATTATCACTGCCAGTGGCAGCAACGAACCAACAATGCAATAAATAGCCATTCCCATCACCTCAGCCAATAACACTTTCAGCATCGTCCCAGCTAAGAAAAGCATATGACTCCCCCAAGGCTTCATATCACTGCTTAGCTAACGAGTTGTTAGTCTGCGCCCACGATAGCTCTTGATTTGGAAGCCCCGCCCCATCTTTCATGCGAGCTATACCAATCCATTCGAACCACCTGTGACAACAATCCACTATCCGTAATCAGTCGATCTACCGATACAAGTCACCCTCGTCACTCTTGTCATTACAGTATATCGGGAGCAAGCTTGAATGAAGCTGTAGATAGTGGGCTTGATGCAAGTGCAGCTTGTGAGTCGGTTCTGCTTCCAGGATAGTGATATGCAGTTACTATTCGAGGCCTCCGGCGTTATGAAAGCCTGAGCAAAGCGAGGTATAGCCCGTCGTAGGGATGGCTGTTTTAGTTGCAATATAGATGAGGTCAACGGGAATGGTGGAGCACAATGCTGCTAGCTTTTGTGGCGCGAGACCCGACCCATTACAGTAGGCACCAAGAGACTATCTGCAAGATCATTATCGCAGCAGAATGGATGAGATAGGATTGTTAAAAAGTGGAGCGAATGTTGGTAGCTTTATCGCTAGTAAATGCACACATCATGTCTACTTTTCGAGAGAGGAGGCTGTGCTATATTGACGCCATGCAATGGCATCCATGCAGGTATAAATTGAGAAAAATAAATCATGCACCGCCCATGATATCGCCCTGCCCCTTGCTAGCTTTTGTAATTCGCACGTCATGAAATCGGACGACCATTGGCTAATCGGCTAGCCTGCCATAGTCTTCAAGGTATCTATTAATGCGTGAGTACAAAGAGGGAGGACTGGGGTAGATCAGTGTCACCTCCGTAGGTAAGGGCTAAGTGTGTACCCTTGGATCTGACTCGCCCGACGAAGATATGCAAGCGCTTGCCTGAAGTATTGCTCGTTGCCAGGTGCGTAAGAGACATTGCCAATGCTCATATAGGCCTCTGCCGCCTAAGTCAACTCGTTAGCTAAGTCTTCTGTGAATTACGGAACACCAGGAACGTACGAGTGCCAGCAGTTGTCCCCGAAGAACTCCATTTCGTTCAGCAACGTTGACAGCTCGGGTCAGGTACTCGGTGGCAGGTACCAGCGTGCCGCGTGCTTCCACATAGTTAGCTGTGTGTCGCCAGCTATTTGCTTCGGCAGTGGCACGGGCGATCTCTGCCGCCTCATCCCAGGAACCGTTGTACGTGGATCGAGCTTGACTATAGTATGAACCGCTTGAAGGACTTCCTTCCTCACGCTGTATTCTTGCTAGAGAATTCTGAGACCGTAAGAGCCAACTCTGCCCGAGGCCTGCAGCTTCGTTAAATTCCTTCTGCTGTCACAAGTAGTTTGGTACCAACCTTGTAAGACGCCAACATCTTCAGGGTACTCCTGTAGAAGTCTGAGCCAGTGTCGGACACACCACTGTGCAATATCGAAAATGCCTCCAGAATCGGGGTCATGATACGCCAAGTCCTGCAGGAGGGAGATGATGAGCACTTGGTCTTGAACATAAGTCGCACGTTGCAAGATGGACGTTTGATCAACATGACGAATGATGGATCGAGCTAATGTTATTTGCTGGTCGAGCTGGTCTGCGCTTGGTTCTGTATCAGGGTTGAACCGTCGCAGCTCACGAACGATAATAGCTAAGCTTTGCGAATCGGTAGTGTTGCTCATGCTTGCGAAAGGGACGGGCAGAGTGATGCTAGGGAAATGGAGCGATTTCAAGAAATGGCAGGATATATGAAGCATGATCTATAGGTATGAAGAAAGCTTGGGGCGAAGTGAAATACAGCGTTGGAAAGGCGCAAGAGACGGATACAACAAAATCGCCTTCTTTCATATGCAAGAACTGGGGCACAGGCCGCACTGTCGCAACAAGCAATGGAGAAGACAAGGTAGCGATTGAGCGTAGCAGTTATGCCCAAGAACTGCTCCTTAATCTCAACTATTATCCTACCTCTTCCAGGTGGCAAGCATTGATTAGAGGAAGGAGCTGAAGTAGATCTTGCTATGAAGTGAGACAGACGCATTTAGAAGCTTGAATTCATTGTCCGGGTACGCGACCTCCAAGCCTCTTGAAGTTCGACGACCGTAATCAAAAAAGGGGATAGACAGAAACGAAGGCCGTGTTTCGGGGGACAGGTCATTAGAAGTTCTCCAGAAGCTTGTCGATAATCCAAAAAGTGTATTTCATGCGGAGCGTTATGTCAGCTGTATCTTTAGTGACAACACAAAGAGTGGCGATGCTTATGCATAATACCAAGTACACGGGGATCCCATCTATTGAAAGGAAATCATGCGCTGAGGGACTATGAACGGAAGAATTTGATGCCTCGGGAGAATGCGTCAGCTTGGAGGCGGAACCAACAGGAGCAGACTTAGTGAAGGTTGTTAGTGCACATTTAGATCGCTGCGCCCAAAAGTCAGCATAGTTGGGAGCAGTGCATCAGCGACAATGAGGTTGTAAGTCCCATGAAACAACGTCCTAATTGAAACGAGGAAGACCAGGCTTGGCTTTTGCATGACAAAAAATCAAGGTCCGATGGGTCCGTAAGGCTGAACTGCGCTTGCTCCGTAGTGCCCACAATTACTTATGCTTATAGAAATGCCACGTTGCGATGGCTGGCTTGCTGGCCCGCAGGATCAATGTAGATCTGTCTCCTCCAGCAGGATCACGGTCATACAGCTTGATTCGTGATACAGATGGATGTTGTAAGGCTAACATATATTTAGCAAGCAGTAACCACGAGGTTTATAGCTGAAATAGACACATAGTATCGGGCGTACGAAGACCAAGCAGCTCATGCGTAGACATGGAGCGGTATCAGCCAAGTCGTTGAGAGTAATGTGGAGACTTTGGAAAATTTGGGTTTGAGTAATCCTGCGCCCAGCGTATTACGGAGAGGTCCGCCTTGTCATTCAGGAGGATCGAGCTACCACTGCATAAAACCAAATCAGAACCAAATTGAAGCCTCAGTAAGGCTGAAACGCGACCGAAAGGGGAAGGCCACCCCCGCCAGCAAGAATCATGCACCAGAGTAAGAGGTCTGGATTCTTCAGCCGCTTTGTTCTTCCCTGGTATGTTCTGTTTTGTATAATCTCGCACGAGCAAAAATATTCCACTTGGACGGTGCCACGGTACAAAATTCACATGCAGAATAATATTATATTATCTTGAACCAATTGACGATCTCCGTTATCCAAACGGACTCTAGAAGCACGCAAATTGAGTCAGGTAGTCACCGCTGAGTATCCCAGAGCAGCTTTTGCAGGTTAACATCCCTCAGGCCGATCCTTCAATCCTTTTGTCTCCTCCATTCTATGTATAGGTCCAACTTGTATACGTCATACTCGTCCGTTACGGCGGCTCTCAATCCCTGGAACGCAGCTTGGATTTCACTCAGCTCACTAGGCTTGTTTTCACTCAGCTCAAACGGAAAACCCCGCCACTCGCGATTTGCAAGGCAGTTGTCCAGAGGTAAAGCGTTGACCTCCCCGGTCATGGTGAGGCACAATTGGGGTTGTATAATGGCCTGCAATGCATCCTTTGCCAAAAAAAGAGTCAGAGTGGAGCCGCTTCAGAAGCTACAAATAAATGAGGATGCGCAAAACCTGCAATTCTCACGTCCTTGCCTGTCTTATCGCCTAAAACAAGCGATCCTGTCTGTGGATATGGATGTCGCTCGATTTCCAGAAATACGTCAGCAAGTTGTTTCATGATCTTCGGTTTCTCCGGCTTCGAAGCAGAGTTCCAATCGAGCATTTTGCCTGGTAGCTTTTCCATTAGAAAAGGTGAGTCCGATCTGGTTGTCTTTGTCGTTCTTGTTGGCATAATGGAAAACTTTGAATACTCTAGCCTTAGTGTTGGCGAGATCACATATCGTAGCGACCTCGCTCGCAAACACGTAGCTGGCTACCTGCGTTGGTGGGAGAGTTGGATCGTTGACAAGTCTCAACCTCGTAAGCTATGTAACACCATCATCGAACACGGCGTCCACATGGCAATTTTTGCCTCCCCTTTGACTCATGATAGCGTCCGTAGCCTTGTGAGTATTCATCTCAAGGACGCGTTGCGCTGGTACTTTGCATGGCATACCGTGCCTTAATCTTGTTGCAAGTTCTGTCAGAGCAGAGACATTCACTCCCTTCATTAGACTCAAAAGATGCTGCTGCTTGGTTGTATTACAAGCGGCATGATATTTGTAAGGGTGGTTGTCCTGATTATTGATTACTCAGTAAATGCTCTGGAGCGGAGTCTCGAGGTCGCATAATCAACTCTGAGAGACAAGTATGGTGCGGTGGTCGCAGATGTTGAGCACAAAATGGGTCAGCATAGGTCATGCAACTACCGTTCCTTTGTTCAGCAAGCTGTCGATTACTCTGTGCGTTCTGACATTCTCAAAGCGGCATCTTTACTTAAGGATAGTTGTTGGAAAATCTCAATTTAACGGTAGATCATGAAGAACAAGAACTTTAGCATTCAGAAATTGAGATAGAGGATATTGGGTTCGGGCTCTGCTTAAGCGGGCAAAGGAGCTGATCATTAAACATCACTATTGCCAATGCTTCCACATCTGCTAAGAGCAAGCCATCCGACATCAGCACCACGGGCCTTTGGTCTTTGTAGTGGTTGCGTTTGTTCCCCATCTCTCAACAAAGCACGGGCGCGCAAGATCACATGACCCACTGAGAACAAAGTTCGGCAACGATTATTGTGTTCGGGAAGTGATCTGGTATTCGACGTTGCTGCGATAATGATCCAAATGTGTCAAACAGGTAGAAGAAATGGCTCTGTTCTCTCTCAAAAAGGCACAGGGCGCGCAGAAATAAGTGCAAATTGCAGCGAAATTAGCTGCGGAATTGGGGCAGGAATTGACCAATCAAAGGCAGGTGAAATGCAGGGATTTGCGTACTACGGTACCGTAGTAGAAATAGCTTCTGACAAAATGGTATTTGATAATTCTGCATGTACCAAGCAGTGTGTGATAATCCAAAAGCCAAAAGGGGAATTCCAACCTAATAGCTGGACTTGGAGCTCATATCTAGAATCAAAAGTGCCAGAAGCATAGAACCGAGTGATGCTCCAGCCACACGCGGGATAAGGTTTCTGAGTTGCAGTGGTTTGATGAGCATTAGCAAGGTGTTTTTCAGGCCTCTCCAAGTCATGTACTATTTAATGGCGAAGCGTCGGATATCAGAGTATCAATACCTCTAGTAGGAGAAGGTCGTTCTAAGCACAATGTTGGCTAGTTATCAGACTTCATGCAACAGTAGTTCTTTGTCTCCGTTGCTCCGATAGGGTCTCATGCCTTCGCAATGCTTGCCATGTGAGTCTTTACAGAGACCACAAGCTGCTAGAGTCTGGCTCCAATCAAGGCCAGCAACTCGTAAGGCTGACTGACAGTAATGACGAGCCGTCTAATCAATCACATTGTCACGGAGCCTCGGTTGGAGGCCCATGCTCGGTTCTCGATCTGGCTATGTGGGTCAAGTTGCGCTAGCTTTGCGCTATATCCCTGACCGCGTAGCTTGATTCGCGTGACGTTGTTCCCAGTCGATCTGAACCTGCTTAACCTTTCAACAATTCTTCAATACTTTACTTTGCGAGAGCTTCTGCATGAGCTTCTGCGTATGGCAGAGACTTCGGATCACTTGCCTATACAGCCACCTGAAGGACTTACTGGTTTATTGCACAACATTAGTGTCCAGTAAACAATCCAAGTCGATGAGATGGAATCTCTGACCTCACAAATGTCACCGCTTGGTGAATACTTGGAAGGTGCGTTCCAATGTATCACCTTCCTCCAAATCATCGGTCTGACCATATCAGGACATGGCGAGGCTTTTCCAGACTTCCAGACAACCGAAGATGATTCGAAAGAATCCTTAAACAAGCCATCATTTGCCCCCAGTTGGCCTCTTCTACCTGCACACTTCCCGATGCAGAAGTTCTTATCGACATCATTGATACTACCTCGTCGACGCTCCAAAACAGAGAAAGCGCTGCAGAACATCTGCTCCGTGAGTACCTTCCACTCTGTACGCTGACTTCACTAACCATTTCTCCTAGGCAGCTATTGGCGTACCAACCTCGGCAAGCAAGCATTTCCTGGAACAATTTCGGTATCCTATAGTCGCATCATCATTGTTGGCCCACGAAGCGAAAATTCCTGTTGATACGGCTGCATCCAACCTAGTCGAACCTCAGGAAGCATTGCAATACAGCATGAACAAATCAGTTAGCTTGCAAGGTGCTGCGGTTACTATTTGGATATCTTTTCTCACTGTTTGGATGCTTCATTGGGTAGAAACACAATCATCTACTTCCACCAGATATTGGTTTAAATTTTGCGTCTTGTCTGTGCTCATGCTTGGTTTGGCAATTGGAATATTTCGACACGCCCGCAGAAGTATTTCGTTACAAATCAGACATGACCCGATGCAGGCACTTTTGGATCTGGTCACAAATTGCCATGCTTTGGACCAAGTTATGCGTTCTGCTTTGAGCCTAATTCAGGAGGCTGAAATTGTCTCCAGAGGATATGAGATGTGAGCAAGCCTTCTTCTAAGTGTATTGCACGTTCTGATAGCAGCCTAAAGCAGCAATTCGCCACCACCTATCAGCCGTATTGACCCGAGGGGATCAGACCGCCGCTGTCTCATTGTTCGACGTGGACTTGCTTGTGTCATTTGTTCAACGATTCAGCGCTACCTCGAAGCCCACAGTGCAATAGTCCCCTTCATTGACCGGACTGACATGCAACGATATCACGACCTTTATGAGCTCGCGCCGCAAGACTACCAAGATATGATGCAAGGTCGGCCTACAGATTTCGAAGAGGACCCTAAGTCCTTAAGAGGTCTGAAGTTGGCACTCGAGCGGGTCTTCATTGCAAGACAAATTCTCTTGTGTGACCTTCTGGCATTGCCCCCAGAGTCACCTATCGCCGAATGTGAACGATGGTCGGTGATCTCCAGTGAAATACGAGATCTCTCGGGCTTTATCGATCGAACTGCTACATTTATTGAAAACCTGATTACTGATGAGGCCAATCGGATCCGAGCTGATCAGTTGAGAGCACGATTCCGAGACATCGCTCAGCCTGGTGAAGGCCTGGCATCTGACATGAATCCACCAACGACACCGGGCAAGCAGAAGACTCAAGCACAGCTTCGTCGGCTCAACGAAATATCGGAGAGTATTCAAAACTTGTACACCAGGATGCTCGTAGTGCAGAACGAAGCGCATGACCTTGCTAGCAATACAGAAACGAGCGCGGATATTACTTCTGTGCTCGCTAACCAGTATGATCTCCTTGGACGTGAGCTACGAAGCCTGATGTCGGAGTGGGAGCATGGCAGAAACACCATGCGCCTTTGTGTCAATGCAGCGGATCGTTCGTCTCTGTCTAGGTCTTCTAGTGGTTTCACAACCCCCCATTCCCCAATTGGGAGCTTAGGAGGAAGTACTGCTATTACCGAAGGCAGTCCTGCTGAGGCATTGAAGCGGCTTACTAGTCAAGGCTTACAAGGGCAAGTCAGCGATGGATTAGGGTCTGATGAGGAAGTCTTTGAAGCTATCTCGCTTTCTCCCAACTCAAAACGTTTGTCCATGACTCGAGAGGAAAAGTTAGCCCGAATGCAAGAAGACCGGCGAAAACGAGCAACACTTCAGGAAAGCAGAGCTACGACCACGAATATGCTGCGGGAGCTTGAGACTGTCATGAAGCATCGTCCGCGAGGGAGAACTACTTCGCGTATCACCAGTGTGTGATGTATAACACCATTTCAGTACACAATTCATCAAGACGGGGGATTTGCATGAGAAGTCATTGCCTTGGTGCATTGTGATGTTACGGCGCTGGGAACAACAAAACGTATATTTGAATTGGGCGATGGGATGAGAGATCATTGTGTTGGTGCATTGGGATGTTACGCCGCTGGGAACAACAATATTTGAATTGGGCGATGGGATGATAGATCATTGTGTTGCTGCATTGGAGTGTTACAGCATTGGGAACAACAAAATGTATACTACGTCTAGATTCCTGGGGCATTAGCACACACCCTCTTTTTGGACAGGCTGTGACTAAGCATTTTCTTACCGGCTCAACTTCGGCTCAGCCTCCGCTCAGTCTTCATGTCCTCCGCTCACCCGCCGGCAGTGAGAGCCGAAAAAAGGGTGGTCGGACAAGGCACGTACCGCTTTTTTTGATTCCGCCCATCCTCATGTCTGGTCTTTGGGGAGCTTGAGTCCACCAGGTCGCGCGCCCATTAGAACCCTCCGCTCATTGACCGACTTGCGTCTGATCTAGCAATATATTGGACTGCCTGCTGCAATTTTGAGTGCGGCCTGGGGTCCCGCTCGCCTCTCACCTTCTCTTAGATGCGCAGGGGGCATGAGCCGCAAGGATGACGTTTGACTCTCTCTCTCTCTCTCTCTCTCTCTCTCTCTCTCTCTCCCTCCCTCTCCCTCCCTCTCCCTCCCTCTCCCTCCCTCTCCCTCTCTCTCTCCCCCTCTCTCTCCCTCCCCCCCTCATTCCCCTAGATACTGGGGATCCCCTGTTGATAAGCTGCACTGGGGTACCTAAGTATCAACCGCCATTCGGCGCGTGGCGGTGCGTAAATGGGACCAAGATGCATTTCCTTTCAGAGCTACCCAGCATCCCAGCTAGCTAGGAGAGGAGACATGCAACCTTCAGCGCCTCTCTCTCCTTCTGTGTGTGTCAGTCCGGTAAAACAAGTAAAAGTGGGGAGACTACTGGGAATGGTGAGGATGGTATGTCTCTAGAGCTCGTCTGGCTCGTTCCGGGGTTCTTTAGGAAACAAGGCTGACGTGTTTAGTGAACGTCCGTGTGCAAGGCCAGCTTCGAGGAGCGATCTACGCGGTAAGTACTGAACTACGATACAGACAACAAACAGCTCTTGTCTACTAATTAACAACTATTACTATAAGGGTATCATCGAGCTTGTAAAGGGAGGGGTTGAGAGTCAAAGAGCGTTCGTTGGGTGAAATCAAGGAACTTGCTCGCGGATGATGAGCATGCCGCCGTGAGGCATCTCCAAGAACCTGGAGGACCTGTTCTTTCATTTTCCGCGATACTTTTATATGCAAAAGCTCACCGGTCGAAGCACTGATCACCGCCAAAAAGTGAGTATGTAGTGGGATTGAAAGCAGGAAGGTCAGATCATTTTGCTTGATTTATCACTTTGAGTAAGTACTGGCACGTTAAGTGAGCTGTAGAATGCAACGCTTTTGCGGGAGGTGCAGAAGCGGATGGTGGAATAGCATCGTTGACTCGCAGCTTTTCATTGCGCCGCCGTATTCCGCTCCTCCAGTCTTGTAAAGAAAAAAAAGCCCTCCCTTTTCATGTGCTCTTGAAGTAAGGCTAAGAAGCAACCCCGCCCGCGTCCTCACCATCTTTTACGGGCTTGAATCGCGCTCGAGGAGTGTAGCCGTTTCCACACTTATTATCCCTCACCCAGAGTTAATTCCTTGGGAGTAGATTCCCGATGGGAAATCCCTGGAAATGCTGAGTCAGTCCTCTCCTGCCTACGTGTAGTGGCAGAAGCAGCGGATGTAGTTTGCTTACGATATACACCAGAATTCTGATGCTGATGCGCCACTCTCCGGCCTCATCTTGGACCCATGTATCGCGGAATTGGCCGCTGAGGCTGCTAGCCTGGCCCTGAGATCAGCCAGGTGGAACGTACAGGGGAGATCAACCCCGATAACCTCTCACATACCAATCCCTGCCAGGGCCCAGAAACGCCAAAGAACGTAGTGGTGAAATAGGTCAAACTCTTGGCCAAGCACGGATTTTGAGGGTCCACCTCGATCAGCGGGGAACTGATGAGGTCGTGCCCGTCTACTCCCTCCCCCGCCGTCAGTACCTGCCTGATAGCTTGTTTGATGTTGTCTCGTCCCTTGACGACGCCGATCGGTGCCGACAAGTTTGCCACGGCGTCCTCGGTGAAGACGTAATCGAGGCCGTCAAAGTCCTCTCCGCCCAGGGCGAGAGAGTTGAGCGCGAGCTTGTTGCGGATTTGACTTTCCGAGACCTGGGTGCTGAGGAGTTCGGACGGAGATTGGCGCGAAGGAGGTTCGTAGTAGTATTCGACCAGATCAAACAAAGGGAGAGGGTCAGGTGCTGTTTCAGGAGCTGGAGCGGGGGTACATTTTTTGGGAGAAGCCGCAGAAGAGACGACGGTATTACAAAGGATGAGGGTTGTAGAAAGTGCAAATGATAGGAGTGATTTCATGATCAGAATAGGTTGTAGAGAGATTAAAGGACAATGATGAAAGGAATGTTTAGGTTCTCGGGGTAATAAGCACGTTGTTGGAAGAATTGCAGGTACACTGGCAACAAAGGAACACTCATATATATATACACAAATACACTGTCGTAACTGGCTTCAAGATCAAAACACAGGTGTGGGTGGCTACCTGTTCCGATCATAACAAAGACTATTTTCATCGTCATGTTTCCCAGCTAGAAGTCATATTACTTCGTAATAGTGCTCCCTGATTCTTGATGACAGCGGCTGCTGCTCTTTCATGCATATTGATTCTACAATAGCCTGGTTCGGATCTGGCTCGATCCTGGGCTTTCGCAGAGTTCATCAAAGGGATTTGGAGGTTAATTCTGGGCTAAGGTGCGGTGACTCAATCAGACATATACGACAGCTGGGCTGAGGAGCTTTCTTTTGCGGTTGGCGAGTGGTCTGTTTGGAGAGAAGAAGTCAACCTGTTGAGTTATCTGGACATTCGCCTGTAGTACTTCGATGAAAAGTTAAGTCATATGAAATAAAGAGCAGCATCTTTGGTCCGATTGAAATCGTGTTGTACAGTCGATGGGTGACACATGTGAGGCACTACTAGTAATGCTTAGAGCCGGGTATCACCGCAGAAACGACAAGTATCCACCCGCGGGCAATGCCTCAATTAGCGTATATCGCAAAAATTAAGCTCAAATAAGGTTACCTGGAAAACTTCTCACAACAACCTCTCAATAAGCAGACATCTAGCTAAGAATATCTGGATCAGCCTACTCTTGATGATGTCCTCCCTCGAAGAAGATGCGTAGAGATGTTGATATGCAAGACTTGTGGCAATATTAAATCAATAAGATCGACAGCGCTAATTGAGGCATTCCAACCCCCTGTTTGCCCGCGGAGTGGATAGCGAATGTTAAGGGCCGAAGCTTGGCGCCAAAATTTACGGGAGTTCTCAGATTCCTGCTATGCTACACGCCCCTTTAATAGGGGATAGGACGCCCATTTCGCTCATTTAGGGCAGCTACTCTATCTGGCGTTGTTGAGATAGCCCTATTAATCTCATCCAGAGTTATTTTATCCCACTCCTCCTGGATAGCCCTGCGCAGAACAGCCTCTTCGAAGATAACCCCCCTGGACTTCAAGCGCTGCTTTATTATTCTCCAGATCGTCTCAATGGGGTTGAGATCAGGCGAATTAGCAGGGTTCATCTCCCATTTGATCCCTAGAAGGTCCTTGAGTGCTTTAACCTTGTTAGGACCCTTGCCCTTGGTACCATGAGGCCTGTCATTATCTTCGATTAGTACGTGATCTTTATCCTAATTAAGAGCGACAATTTCTTTCAAAATAGCTATATAATCACTCTGAATAAGACGTCCCCCTACTCTGGAGCCTGTATAGAAGTGGAGCTGACCCTTGAAATTCTATCTAATAACTGCGTACACATGGATACGATTTCTTTCAAAATAGTCATATAATCGCTCTGAATAAGACGTCCTCCTACTCCGGAGCCGGTGTAGAAGTGGAGCTGACCCTTGAAATTCCATCCAATAATTGCGTATACATGGATTGACTGATTTTGACGCTTGAGCTTGAATTGGGTCTTTGATAGGGCATTTCGTGCTTCAAGCCCTAGTCGACGATGAATTTAAGCCTGTCGTTGCAAGCAAGTAGCAAAATGAGACTCCTTATACTATCAATACTTCTTAAATTAATCTAATTGCTAATACTAGCGCTTAAATCCCTATATAATTCAAGCATTAATATACATTTATAAGAGCAATTTTTTTTGCGCGGCCATATAGGTCCTTACGCCAAAATCCTTTATATCGCTTGAGCTTGAATTGGGTCTTTGATAGGGCATTTCGTGCTTCAAGCCCTAGTCGACGATGAATTTAAGCCTGTCGTTGCAAGCAAGTGGCAAAATGAGACTCGTCACACCATCTATACTTCTTGAATTGATCTAATTGCTAATATCGACGCTCAAATCCCCATATAATTCGGGCATCAATATGCGCTTGTAAAAGCATTTTTTTCTGCGCCGCCATATAGGTCCCTACGCCATATTTCTTTGAATAGCACGTTCAGAGCCATTAGCTATACCAATAGTCTTTTCTACCTTGAAATAACTAGAAGAAGCGAAGCCAAAATTAGCATCTTCTACTGCCTTAATTGCTTCACACTTATATTGAGTAAGTACTTGATTTCGACCTCGATTGTGGACTTTCTGGCTGCGGCGCGCAGTTCCTTCTTTGATGATTCGATAGCCAGTTATTTCAGATATATTATTTATCTTAAATAGCTCTGTACGAGGTAATTTGCCAGCTGTGTGGCGTACATCAGCGAGGAGGCGCGCGCGGCGCGGCGTGTCAAGCATCGTTTTAAGCGTTCGTGGGGCCGCAGGAGAAGGAGGATCTATCGAATAAGACTTTCGGCAGACGCGTCGTCTATTTCCCCGTTCAGAATCCATTGTTCACTAGATTTGAGTGAGTATTGGTAGAGAAATAGGGGAATGAAGAAGGGGGGGAGAGGAAGGGGATCTGAGAAGTCCCATAAATTTCTGCGCCAAGCTTCGGGCCCAGAACCTGGCATCTACGGAGAGTTCAGGAAAGAATTCAGTCGATGCCCAGAGATGCTCAGGCTCGGAACAATCTTGCACAGCCACAGCTCAAGGCTGCTCATCCATCGCCCAGGTTACAATCACGTATTTTCAGATCTCAAAGCGGAAATGGAATTTGGAGAGAGCAAGATTGGTGTGCGAGTATGGTGGCATACCAGATGAATAACTTCGAACTACCTCGCCTCGCTCAACGTATTGAGTTTGCCCATTGATTCCTCCCTAGAGAATTCATAGCACAATCACTTGCAACCAAAATATCCACTTCTCTGGAATACGATGCGCTCATCTATCATTAGCTGATCACTCCATGTTCAAGGCCCAATCTGTTAGAAGTAGTAGCAAACAGCGTACGGAAGTGCCAATTCACTTGATTGAGTTACTCCTATCAAGAGGAGCATTTGCTCATACTAATAGCTTAGAAGCGCAGTACTGTAACAGGGCAGATACAGCATTTGGCGTTCAATTCGTATAGCGATGCTCACTGCCCTAAATAGCAGGGCGTAACAGTTACAAGAGCGTTTCGTGCGTTTTGCATGCGGGGACCCTTGTACCATCATGCTAATACGTAACAGATACGTATCATATACGCAGGGATTCTGACACAATCTACCAATGAAAACCCCATATAGAGAACATCAACACAATCATGGTCATCTTTACAGCGTCTACTCTGGCTGCAAGGCCAATCATATATCGTCGCACTTTACAACGGGAAAGGTGGATAGTACCCACATGTACGGAGTAGATCTTGTTACTCTCGATTCGTAGAATTTCTGCAGGATGTTCATAGCTTTTCCAGCGGACGACCTCCTTGATCCCTTTTCTTCTGGACTATTTGTGTCACGGCTGCCATGCTTGTCGGCCGCTAGCGCTAGGGCCGCCGGGGATTGATTGGCACTACGCGTTAGTAAGGGGCATGCTCGCTATATAGGAGCGACCCCAGTGCCATCCTCGTCGGCTCTGCAGTCTTAGGATAGCACTCAACATGGGCTGAAGATCTCGCGCACTCGTCGCCTGCTTCCAACGTGACACGTGACAATTTGACCAACCGTTTGTTATTACGGTGTGTTGTATCTTCCTGTTGCCTGCATGACAGCCAATGAGGGAAATTCTGCTCCAAATTATCATCTCTTTCCGGGAGTAACTGGCCTTATATAGACAATTAGAGATAGAGTTTAATCTTAGTGATGTTGAGATTCAATCTAACGTTCTTTTCGCCAAGACTGCAGCAACATCATTACACTGACTTAAATCGCGGGAACGTTATCTCAATCAGGCAGTTGTGGGGCCTTGGCGTCTGCGGAGGGTTTTCACCCGAACTTTTGTACTCCATTGACAATCTCCTGCACCAGATATTTCCCATCCTCCCACGCCTCACCATACATGATCCCATGCATATATACATGTGTCACAAGCCGGTACACAACCTCGCCCGGCCCATCTATCTCCACCGGTCTCAACGCCAACCCCGCCACGACCGCAATCTTATCCCCCGCCTTGATCATATTTGCGGCTTGGTTGTTTTTAGATACTACAGCCGGTGCAGTACCCATGTATCCTTCCTCTGTGGTGAAGAGTGCCCTTCTGTTCGCAAAGCCAAAGACGAGGAAATGGTATTTCGAAGCTTCGGTCGTCATCAATAAAACGCCCGGCGAAGCTTCAGGTACCTGCTGTGTTATGGATTCAAGTGCAGCTTGGGAAGGAGTGCTAGGTCCGTCAAGTCCTGCCTGTTGCAACCTATTGTAGGACCGCATCAGCAGATCGGCGTCGCTGAGCGTCATCGTTTTGTACCAGGCGTCAAATGAGAGGTTCTCGTTTGGATTTCGGCGTGGTGTGTCAGATATGAGCGTGCGGAAGAGTGCTTCCTGGACTGTCCCACCCATCTGGTACTCGGCGTACCAGGACGCGACGTCGACCCAGCTCTTGAGAGTCTGAAAAGCAGTGTCAAGCATGCGGCAGGCGTCTTGCATGGTATGTACACCAACGGAACCGGTGCGACAGAACTCGGATGTTGGATTGATGCTGGCAATTACTTGCATGTAGATATGCAACGATTCGGCGCAGTATACGACCAAGTCGATGATCTTGCCTGATACTACTAACCGCCTCTGATCGTGCGAGAAGCTCCATTTCGGATCCGCTGGGCCCGCCGCGCAGAACCGGTCTCGTGTCACAGCGATTCTCGCGTCCGGACTATTGTATCGCCAGCCTTCATCGCTCCAGTCTGGGACCCAAGATGATAGACTAGGCCTGGCATGACGATGATCTGACGGCGCATCAAATAGGAAATAGAGATTTTTGTCGTGATTGATACAAGCCACGACAGCGTCCCTGTAAACGTCCTCAACTGATTTCTCATAATCAGGTTGTGGAATCTCGATTCTGAGTTTCTTCAGTACACTGAACAGTGCAAAAATCTTGTCTTTGGGATCTGATGACTTCTTTCCTGTGACGTCAAGCAATATCGACCAGAGCAGAGGCCGAACAAGTCACCGCGCTTCTTCTCGAGTATTGCTCGAAGTTCAGGTAGATGTTCAGTCACAAGGAACTGGAAGAGGGCTCTCTGAGACTTGACCGATTTCTCGATATGTCCAAATGGGTATTTCATGGCTTTTGAGTGCGTCTGTTGCAGTGATCCACGTGACCCATTGGAGAATCAGGTCTGCATTCTGTCCACCATAAACGAAAAGTTTGTTTGCTTGGGCGAGCGTGACTTCTTGGATCGTCCACATACGCGTGAACCATGACCGATTGAATAATGGAGCAAAGGGATCATCGGCCGGAGATCTTAATCCTGATAGACAAAAGATGTGGTCAACTCGGACGCACAAAGGTCAGTAGATTCATCATATCGAGCATCCCGCAGCTTTGACCAAGTTCCTCACATTCTCGTGCATTTCTCGTTGTAGATTTGCCGCATGCTCCTCCTTTGATAAACCAGCGGGGGGCGGACTCGACTTTCCCGTATAAGATGCATGCATTTCCATTGGCAAAAGGCTCTTCAGGCTCCTCGCCGCCTCAACCATCGCATGATCCCATTCGCCAAGCCATACCATCGCGGAACTCGCCAAAGAGTATATCCGCCTCATCAGTGCCACCTGCATGCTCTTCTCTGGTAGATTGCTCTGGTAGATTGCTCTGGTAGATTGCTCTGGTCGATGCAGATACTGTCGATCCAGAGCGTGAGGGTTTCGTCAGTTTTCCGAAGTGCACGCATCGCGGCGACACAGTTTGCTGTGATGAGTAGAACCCCACCATCGCATTGAATTGGCTGGGACACGATTTGAGCATCCCATGCATAGGACAGGGCTGTAAATAGATGAACAGGTGAAGTGTCTAGACAGATTTGGACCGGTCTACAATGAAGCGGATCGGAGGGAGTGGATGTAGGACTTAATTTGAGGATGCGAACAGTATTTGGGCTGGTAAAAGGCGCGTGCCTGTATAATATAGGGTGGTCCATTCCAAACATAGATATTTCCTAATTCAGCCCTGCGTTAAGAGTTCTGAGGCACGAGATTCAAGTCGAGAGGAAAGCTTGTCTTCATTGGCCATTTTCCTGTGAGCTGCGCCTTTCAAGTCTTCTTCAACTTGGAGTAGTTAAAGTCGCAGCCTACACATACGCCCAGGTGCTGGAGCCCTAGATGGACACAAGGTCTGGAGTCGTGCATCGAAGTCACCAATATCCTCTGTCACTGAATGCGTCTCCTTCCTTATTAAGTGTAGTGTTCCCGCCATCCAGTACGTAGTACGGAATTGTGCATCAAAAGTCATCAATATACGGAGCACACTAAAACTAGAGCGCCACTAGCGCACTCGATCCCAGCCTCAGCGTGAAGTAAAAGATGTGCTATCCCCTCCGTCCCTGGGTGTGCCTATTAGCGTACTTGGCGTAAAATAAGGTTTTTGAGCCGCATTTGATCGCCATAGCTTTCCGCAGCTGGTTTTTAAAATGAATTTTCAACCACCTCCAATGCTACGACCACGTCGAGATACACAAATTCCACTGAGATACAGAGATAACTCACCTCCGCAATTACTACAAAACAACAACCAGCGAAAAAGATGCAGAATTGACCCAAAAAAAGTTGATCGAAATAATGTCGATCAAGCCTTGGCAGTGATAGCACCTGCGCCAGAATGCGCAAATGAACCACCAATACTCATTTCAACAGAACTCCCTCATTTTGAGGCCAATTACGTTCAAAATCGAACTGGAGCTTCACGATACACAGGTTTATCAGAATTGGGCTTTTTTAAGCTCTTTTTTAGCGATTTCGTGGTAGAAATCCTCTCTAAAGAGACTAATTCATACGCTGAATCTCAACTTCAGGATCCTTTATATCCTCCTCTTTCTCTCCCGTTTAAATGTTACTAGGTACTTATTATACCGGCAGAAATATATATATTTCTAGGTATAAATCTCTATTTTAGCTTATACCTATTAATAGTACAAACGGACTACTAGAAAATTCATAATCTTAGTTAATTTATAAGTCAAGATTGATTCGAACTTATTCATTATTATTTTAGCACAAATAGTGCTCCTCCTGCTCTAAATATACCTTAGTTTTATCAAATTCAATATATAGCTGACCTTATTCGAAATGCCTGTCAAGATACTTATTATCTCTCCTCTTATATCGCTATTAATAAAGCTATAGTTGCCTTTGCAGGCTGTTTAAGAGATATAATTAAGCTAAAGAATAAGCCTATTAATATCAGTTACAAACTATAATATATTAATAATTATAATTATATTTAGAGCTAGCTATTTTATTCTTGAATAAAGGGTATTAAAACGCTTAAAAAGGGTAGAAAAATAAGCTAACTATATTTATGCTCTGTAGGCAAAACATATATAAAGAATTTAGTACTTATATTTGTACTTATTTTATGTCTTGCAGAATAGCTTTTAAAATAGCTTAAATTCTGTATTTATTTAAATAATCTGTTTCTAAATCTGCCTGTTATATAATGCTTTTTAGCTTTAGGAGTCTATTACATAAATACAATACATAAAAAGGCTAATAAATTTCCTTTATATCTTTAGAGCTATTTTAAGAAAAATAAGCTATTATAAGACTCTACTATAGCAGAGATTATTAATAATAATATTCTCTGCTTTATCTAGCAGAATAATAAGGCTGTTAGCGCTATTTTGACTACTTATAATCTTTATAAGGCTAAGAATAAAGTTTAATATATATAAAAATGCCTAAAAATAACGTCTAAAAATTAATAAATTTTATTACTTGTTTTTAATAGTTAATTATTTAAAAAGCTTTTTATTCTAATGACTATTAATAACTATAACTATTATATAAAGGGCGTGGATTAAGCTAATTAATTACGTATAGGCTTTATATATTATAGAAAGCAGAACTATTAAACGTAATAGCTCTTGTTTTTCTTTCTTATTAATATTGCTTATACTAACGCTTATTTATTATAAAAATAAAGTAATAATATACAGAATTATAATAGCTATAAGATTTTTATAAGCGCCTTATATAATTAATTACTATATTCAAATAATTTGAAGAAGGAGGAGCAAAAAGAGAAAAAGAAAAAACAATCCTATTCTTAACCCACAATAGTATTTCAGCGCCACTATAAACTTATATAACTCAAACAGCGTAGCCGGTGCGAATAGGGAAAGCGTTATTCATCAGGCTGTTCGCGTAAACGGTCAAATAAACGCAAATTTGGAACCGACATTACAGAATTAACTACCAACGGCGCCAACGAGGGTATTTTAGGAGGCTCCTTCACTCATCAAAGATGCAGTAAATGCCAGATTTGGCTCTGTATCAAAGGAGACTGCTGGCAACAGTATCACAGCTCAATTGAGGCCAATAGCTAGATAGAACAGTCTCAATTCGCCGAAAATAGACGTTTGTTGACGTTTTTGGACCCCTCATAATGATCGACAGCGCTAATAGGCACAAACTACACCCCTGTTCAGGGACGGAGGGGATAGGGGTGGAGCCCTAGAGCTGCCGCTATGACCCCCTTTTCCCTTAGGGCTCTTTTTAGGCTATTTGATGTGGCTCAGAGGTCTGTGTCAGTTAAGCTTCAGCCATCCGCCCTCTCTGATCATGCTAACGTCCCCACAGACTACTAGCACTATGCTAGCACAAGAAAAGCTAGCTTTTACTCATCCTAGTTAGCGTACATTGTAACTTTTCTGCACGACTCCGTATGTAGTACAATAATTTTGCTGCAGCTTTAGCAAAATGAATACTAGTTAAACTCAATTTGCTCTCTATTGCTTTGGCGCCTGCATTACGGAGTACTTATGCCTCCTACCGTAGTAGTCACCGACCACTTCGCCTAGCTACGAGGTTGAAAACGACGCGATATCAATGGCTATTACTGGCTGTATTCGGTGCCGCAATGACTGGGGTGGATGTCCAGGATCGGCAGATGTCAAAGTAATATTGCGGCGCTGGTGGAGCTATTTTTGCCTCAGTCACTCAGACTCTCAGCGGTAGCAGGTTAAATCGAAGCTACCCGAGTCGTGCTACATCAGTTAGGAAGAGAATCCTTTCACAGGCCGATCTTTCTCGTACGGACGCGCGGTCTCGAATGTGACATGGAGCTTTTAAAGAGCTAGCCGTGCATGTGGGGTCGTCATGGTGCCCAGTGTAAGACAGCAGCGCTATCCTCACAACTGCGCATCAGATCAGTCATGGAGTGCCACATTACATTAGGCGACACAGCCTCGTTGAGAGCCATCATTCAAGCGAGGCGCTCCACTTTTGCGAACTGGCAGGCCGAGACTTTGCACAAGGTCGATCTTTGCTTACTTTATCTCGTCTTAAGATGGGCAAATTTGTCACCAGACCTCTCCTATCGAAGAGTGTCAAGCTGTGAGGGTGTCTATTGGTCAATTTTTCTACATTTAATTCCTTGCTATTTGCCTACGTTTGATTGGTCATTTTCTACTGCAATTTCGGAGCAAATTTTACTGTACCATACAACCTATTTTGCATGTGTCTACGCGCTCAGCTCCTTAATAGATACCACAACTTGCTTTCTACATATTCTAGCAGGCAGTTCGACAAAGAGAAACTTGACCAAGGTGACGGCAACCTTCTGCGAGGTATAAGAGCAGTCCGGTCGCTTGCCGCTTTGTATCTCCTCTTCACCTATCGCGGCCCTCCAAATCCTGTCTACGCCAACTTTGGTAAATCACGTTGACGCTGTTTGACTGATTCGCAAGTGGTTCAACCTCCCTCTAGCTAAAGGTAGGACTCGGCATTGTCGACGGGCCACGAGACTCTACTGCTGTCTATTCTTCCTGCCGCGCAGCTTTGCGAGCCTTGTCTCTCTTATCATCTTACCTGTGTCCATGTGACCAGCCCATGCTACAATGGCCCGCGGGGCATCACCTCCGATTCACACCTCTGGCCTGTGCGCGAAGTTATCGCCACCAAACCTAGCCGTCACTTTTCGAGTGCGTGAGGGCATTCGCAGAAACGAGCGTGGGGGATATTGGGCCAGTCATATTGTTGACGACCGAGAGGAAGTGGAAAGTGGCTGACTGGCAGGCGGAGAGGGAGGTGACGGAGAAGGTCAGGGCGAAGGAGGAGTTGATGATCTAGAGTGTAGGCAAGATTGGGTGAGGACTATGGCGGTTCATTTGGGGATTGCCGTTGCGAAATATATTGGCGTGAGCATTGTTATCGAGCATATAGTATTCAGAAAATATACTTCTAATCGCTGCTGGCGATTCTTCAAGACACCGGCTGCCTGTAGTCGCCCTGCATTTCATCTATCCAACATCACCTGCCTATATCATAGGTGGCAGTAGCCGAACCCAATACTCCATAAACACCGGCGCCAAAGGCCTCGCTTCCCAATCCATGATGCACCCAAACCCACTGAACTACTTCATAAAGAAAAGCTTCTCGTTCTTATCTTTCGCATAGATCTTGGACTTGTTTGTCAACTTACCGCAGTAAGTGAATGCGTAGCTGTCAGTAAATCCCATGTCATAGGATCGATCCAAGTTCAACCAGGTGTCGTCATGCCATCCCTGCGTCTCATGCTTGATCACATTAACGGGGCCCAGTTTCGCGCCGGTTGATGCTAGAGCACTCGCTGAAGTTTGTTCCTCATCGTCATTCTGCACTTGCACTTTCGCATGATAGTGCCTGAAGTCGTAATCTGATGTACGGGGCGTGTACCTGATGATCTTGCAAGTCGCCCAGCTGTAACCCTTCTGGAACAGTACAGCGAATGTCCCCAAATGCATCACAACATCATCTGGTTTCCATATTCTGATGATATATCCTTCGCGAATCTTGCCAGGAGCCAGCTCTATATAGTGTTTGGCCACCGGATCAGGTTTGGGTTCATGCGGGTCTAGACTTGAGTGCAACTCGTATGTCACAGCGTTTTCAACGCACTCATTCATCTTGTCTTGATGCGTCTGCGGGTAACTGAGCCTTTTGCAATCCAAAGACTCTCCTGGGGACGTTTGTGTGTCATCGTCCAAGACGGACGCGCTGGTCTCTGTCTGAGCATCATCTAGATACAAGATTAGCTTCTGTCTGACGAAACACAACGCAGAGTATATTGTATCACCTTCGGGTAGCTCTTGTTTCTTTCCCCCTCGTCGACTGGAGGCCCGAGTCTCGCGCCGTGTCATATTGTTGACCCCCTGGAAGACAGCCGCTTGGCCCTTTGCGACGCCGATACTTGACCTGTTCACCTTATACGTTCCGTTAAAGTGGTAGTCGCCCATATTCAAGCTTTCTGATACGTAGTTTGGCTTTTGAGCGAGGTGATTGGATGCTTGTGGAACAGAATACTGACTCTGTTCCACCTAACAAAACCAAGAACGCCGGCCTGTGAAATCACCTTTGGAGCACAACATGCCAATGCTAGTTGCACATCGCGACTCAACGTTTCAAGACATCTGATGCGACTGCGCCCCGTTCAGGCTCTCAAGCGTAGGCAACGAGTGATACGGTAGTGGAGAAGACTGCCTCACCTTAAACGTCCAATGATCCACCATCATCAAGTGGATCTCTGCATAAGAGGATACTTACTCCCCTACTGTTGTGCGAGCTCAGAAGTGGCTATGCCACTGCAGAAGAAGGCAAAATACGACTGAACTACGGAGTACAGTACAGTAGCCTTGAAGAATTCAACCTAACCAGTAAATATGTATTCAACCTAACCAGTATGTAATCAACCATCCTTCTGACACAAATGATGCCCAACTTTCGCATGGCCAAACGATAGCCCATTGCCTCAATATGTCGCTTTCTTGCGAAATCCCTATACTCCTCAGGATACCTATACCTGAGTTATGGCGGAAGCTGTAGGGCTTGCGTTGGGGACCGTTGCATTAGCTTCTCTGTTCAGTGCCTGTGTGGAGCTGATTAATTATTTCGAGCTGGGCAAAAGCTATGAGTATGACTATGACCTGGCATGCTTGAAATTGTACGTACTCAAGGCCAGACTCGACACATGTGGCAAGACACTGAGTATTGACGATGCTGCTCATGAGTCACACCGGCTCCGACAACACTGGTCACAAGAACAAGATGTCATAATTCGCAGCTTGTTGGGGATCAAGAATATCATCGGTAACGCGGAAGTACTCAAGGATAAATATAGGCTTGTGCCCCACAAGCCCAATGGTTTATCCAATTTTCATACTATACGCACCAAAGACTACAACTCATTAGGCTCCTCGCGCCCACCAAAATCAAGTCGTCGCCTCTCACTATTCCGTCGATCAACCATTTGGGCCATTCGTGACAGACAGAAGTTTGACGCGCTGTTGAACGACATGGAGTTCTTCATCTCAAACGTTGAGCTTGTTGTTTCGCGGTTGATGGCGAAACAACCTAAGGAGAAAGACCGAAGACCGGTGGACCCTCATGTCGAAAGCGAAGACTATGAATATACATCCGATATCGTTATGACCGACGAGTCCCTCCGAAATGGGCAAGTAGGTACAGTTTTCTGGGATAGGAAGAACCACACCAAAGAAGAGCAAAAGAAATTAATTGCCGATCCCAGAGACGGTGGACGTTCTTGGTCAAAAGGTGGACGTGATTTTAAGATCGAAAGGACGTCTGGTCATGCCATATATGCCCAAGGCATTCAAGGCGAAGTGAAGGTCACTCCTACAGCGCCAGGGCAGCGCGACTCATACACAGTTGCAAAAATGGAAGACGAGTCATATGGTGCACAGGGTTACAACAGCGAGCAGAGCCTCCGGGACCTGCAGGAAGCCCGCCTAGCAATGATTCAGGCTTTACGCTCCGACCAATCAAATGGCTCGCAAAATGCCAGGCAGGCAAACAATTTTGGTGGTGCAGGACGACGTCTGGATGAATAGTTAATCGGACATGCCGACAGTATATCTCGGGGGCCTTGGAATTAGCTGGTGGTTGAGTGGGCTCACAGGGAAAGAAAAGGTGCAATAGAAACTGAATCGAGAAGCTTTGGGAAGATTGCGGCAGCTTTATGTAGGAGATATGTTGCAGAGATGGACGAAGATATGGAATATGGCTACAGGCATTCACGACTTCACATGTTTATTAGGGGTTGGAGCACGAGGTATGGAAAGACAAAGCTGGAGCCTTCAGCTACTGGGTTAGGCAAGCAGTTCGATGGCTTAGGCAGACAACTAGGGGTTCAGCAGTGCCTCACTGCCCAGTGTAACCTATCGGGACTGAAATAACATGAAAAGTGATCCGTCCCGCTTGATCGCGGAAGGATCCGTTCGCTTAAGGATCCGTTCGCTTTGTGATTCCACAGACCCTTTTAGTGTGTAAACCGTTGTAGATTCTTTCCTCCTTTCTCACGTATTCGCATTTTCCTTCTATGCGATGTCTAAGCCATTGCTAGATATAATCCTTGTGAGGTAGGGAGACCGAACAATCTGGGACAAGCAGCATTCGTCAAGGAACAAACTGTCAGTTAGGGTTCGATCAAGTAATCCCAGCATAGCAAAATGCTGCGCAAATACTGTCGTGGTTCGTGATGACCGTCACTAAACTCAAGGCTTTGCTTTGCAGAATGGATATTCAGCGTCACGACCTGGGGCTTCATTGATGTGGTCAGAGAAGCGCTGGAGACCGAACTATCGTCGTCAACCCAGAATTAGATCGCACTGGAGGGCAGATTATGGAACTGATGACTTTCAGTCTTTTTGCACAAGTGTCGTTCGTGAAGTCCCTTTCGCAGCAGCCGAGCCGGTTGATGGAGGTTTAGGAAGCATCTAGACAAAGGAAACTTTTGCTAATGCTTTTTGATGGCTCGCCCCGATCCGCCGGGTAGTAGTTGACGCTTACTTACTGGTGCTCCTGTTGCAGGTGTGGATGTGTATCTGGACTTGGTCGTGTACGGCTGAAACCGTGGTCAAGGATGCTTCATAGATAGGATCAGGGGCACGACATGAGCCACAATAGGCATTCAGATGGTCGTTTACGGCGGGGAGGCCTGAAGTAATGTTGATTCAGCACTAGTATCCAAATCTGTAAAACCTCTTTTCCCAAACACCTATGTGCAAAAGAAGCTAGATGCAATTTGTTTGATTCGTCCGAATAGATGAACGTAAGACAAGCTTCACAATGACGAATCACAGTATTGTGTTTTCGTAACAAAAACAAGGCGTTACCAGCACCAGAATAATATCACTATTTCAGGCCCCCTCATACTAGTGTGTGAGTTCATTGGTGGGAAGAGGTGGGCTCTTCTTGTCCTGCCCTGAACCAATCACATCGTGTCTTGCGTCCCCAAAAGTTGTCTTCTCAACACATCAGACACAATTGGGTGTCTGCATCAAATATCTCCTCTGGGTGATCTCAGTGGTTTGATATCGCAGTGATACCACTCACAATGCTCTATCAATTGCGATAGTGTGCTTCGGTGCACATATCTGTACACGAAAGAAATCAAGGCAATCGTTTTAGGGGGCACCTGGAAGTCCATCTTGTCTCTCATATCCACGACGGAGTTGGGATCAGCCTCGATCCGCAGACATGCCTGCAAAGTCGAGATTCACAAGGCTAGATGCCTTCACAAAAACTGTCGAAGATGCGCGAGTACGAACTACCTCGGGGGGGATAGTGACTTTAGCATCCCTACTGGTTGTCGTTTATCTGATATGGGGTGAGTGGACGGACTATCGACGAATACTGGTGCAACCAGAATTGATAGTAGACAAGGGACGAGGTATGTCCATATCCCTCGCCTCCCGTGCCCTACACTAAGTCGACTATAGGTGAGAAAATGGAGATACACCTGAACATGACCTTCCCACGAATACCTTGTGAACTCCTCACACTCGACGTTATGGACGTGTCTGGCGAGCAGCAGACTGGCGTTGCACACGGAGTGGAAAAGGTACGGTTATCGCCGGTTGCAGAAGGGAGTATGCCAATTGAACGCACGAGTCTGGCTCTCCATGCGCAGGACGATTCAGCTAAACATATGGATCCTGACTATTGTGGATCCTGCTACTCTGCACCTGCACCGGCAAACGCGCAGAAATCAGGCTGCTGCAACACCTGCGATGAAGTGCGCGAAGCCTATGCTTCTAACAGCTGGTCATTTGGAAAAGGAGAGGGTGTTGAGCAATGCGAAAGAGAAGGCTACGGAGAAAAACTTGATGCCCAGCGTAAGGAGGGATGCCGCATCGAGGGCGGTGTACGCGTCAACAAGGTCGTTGGAAATTTCCATATAGCTCCTGGCCGGAGTTTCAGCAACGGCAACATGCATGTTCACGATCTGAACAACTACTTCGATACTCCCGTGGAAGGGGGCCACACCTTCTCACATGAAATCCACGAACTTCATTTTGGGCCAAAGCTGCCGGCAGATATCGTGGACAAATGGAGTGACCATCACCATGACAATCCATTGGATGGAACATCACAGCAAACCGACGATCCAGCCTTCAATTTCATGTACTTCGTGAAAGTGGTCTCCACCTCATTTATACCCCTTGGCTGGGATGCCAAGTTATCGTCCTCGATCCACACTGCATATCAAGACATTGTCCCTATAGGCACCCACGGATATCTGGGCCATGGAACCATTGAAACCCATCAATATTCCGTCACGTCTCACAAACGATCCTTAAGAGGTGGTAATGACGCAGCCGAAGGCCACAAAGAGAGGCTGCATGCTCGGGATGGCATTCCAGGGGTTTTCTTCTCCTATGATATCAGTCCGATGAAGGTTATCAATCGCGAAGCAAGGCCAAAGACCTTTACTGGCTTTCTTACGGGCATCTGTGCAGTCATTGGGGGCACGTTGACTGTCGCAGCAGCAATCGATCGAGGTGTGTATGAAGGCAGCACGAGGTTGAAAAAGCTGCACCAGCGGTAAAGTTGTAGGGTTTTCCCTTATATTCGATATATGTTTGAATCTCGAAAAAGCATTAGACCGTGGGCGTGGCCATTTGGATATCAGCTTCAATTTCCAGTTATATCTATAACCTATATCTCGTCTGAAAGCTCATAATCTTGCTTTTGTGCTTTGCCTTGTCTTTTCTGCCTCCTTTTCTTTCTTCAGGTTCTCAACCATACCCCAAGCCCATTCCCCATACGGCCCCATTTGCGCGACATACGTCTTCGCGGTCTTTCCACTCGCCTGCCTTAACGCATATCTCGCAGCAATACCCTGCATAATCACCGCCCCTCTAAATCCCCCAAAAGCATTTCCCCATCCCAGATCAGGAGCAGGATCCCAACCGGCTGCTTCCGCATACCACTTCAAACACTGCTCCAATGTTGGCAAACCAGGTATTACTCCTGGCGTGAATTCTGGCTGCGCAGTCCCATGGCCTATCTCGATGGATTGCTGCGCTGATTGTACGGAAGGTAACGCAGGGGTCCTCATCCACGAATACGGCCCCGTCAGGTTCACCAAATCGCTCAGCGGATGTCCAATCGTCGCCATCTCCCAATCTAGGATCCCAATCACCCTCGGCTCGGTCTTATGAAAGACGAGGTTGTCAATCTTATAATCACCGTGTACCAACGTGGCACGGTCTTGTGGTTGGAGCGGCTTTTCGGAGAAAAAGGAAACCATGTCGTCGAAATGCGGGATCTTGCCCACGGGAATTTTCGTGTCTACATCTACAGCGTGAGATTGTGCTAGGGAGATCGTGCCAAACGTTTTGAGTTGACGGTCATAGAAGCCAGAGCTTTTGCCGAAATTGGAGAGATTGACGGATGAGGGAGGAACGCGGTGGAGGGAGGCAAGGGTAAGAATTGCGGATCGCCACCTGTAAGAATTGTCAAACGAGCTGTTTCTTCGCGAGTGTTGGGCTTAATCAGATCATACATTTCCGTCCTCTCCTCCACGCTAACATCCGGGAACCACGCCTCCGTCACAATCCTCCCATCCATGAACTCCATGATGTAGAACGGCGTCCCCACCACCCCGGCATCCTCACATAGACAGTACGCTTTCGGTACCGGTACGTCCGTCCTCTCAAGCGCGTGTATTATGCGGTACTCCCGCTCAACTTGGTGCGCTGTTTTGGAGAGGAGTGTGCCTGGGGGCTTCTTGCGCATGACGTATTTCGCGCCATTGGGGGAAGTGAGCTGGTAGGTGGGGTTGGATTGGCCGAAGCCGAACTGCGTTGGAAGAAAAAGGGGATCATTGGTTGAAAGGTAAGCTTAGGGGGAGGGAGGATAGGGTTTACCTGCTTCACTTTGAGAGGGGTCTTGATCTCCGGTACGTTGTCCTTGACATACTTCTCCAAGGCGGCAATGTCTATGGGCTGGCGGATCTCTCCGGCCATTATTGCTGTTTACCGCATACGGGCTTTGATGGGGACGTAGAATACTGACTGAAAGTAGTGATCAAGGTATTGGGAGGAAAAGCCCTCTGGGGGGGGTGTCTTTGGACATTCGGGACCTCGGCTCAAGTAGCAAGCCGAAAACGGCAATAGTGTTGGCTTTACTCCGTAAGTCGCGTCTGAAATCACTCTACGCGTCTCCCCTGCAAGAATCTAAACTATTCGTAGGCCGGCCAGATTTCTCAAGAGAACATCTTTCTCCTACCATGCCCAGGGCATGACCCGACCAACTACCCCTCCTTCTCACAACCACGCTCCACCCTCTCTCCCAAATTCCCCACTTGCCAAACGCCCCAAAATGTCTCCATCAGAATCAACAAACGACACTTCCTCGACCGCAGTCCCCAAACTATCAACCACCTCCCAGCCCCCACTCCTGATAAAGAAACTCTCGCCCAAAGCCACCACACCAACCCGCGGCTCCGCCTTCGCCGCCGGCTATGATCTCTACTCCGCCGCCGAGACGATCATCCCGGCCCGGGGCAAGGTGTTGGTTGATACGGAGTTGGCGATTGCGGTGCCGGAGGGGACCTGTATGGACTTACCCTTTCACAACTACACATCACTGGTGAAGAAGATGCTCTGTCGATGGAGGTTGACTGTTCCGCAGATGGACGCATAGCCCCTCGGTCGGGTCTCGCGTCGAAGCATTTCATTGATACGGGAGCCGGGGTGATTGATGCGGATTACAGGGGCCAGGTCAAGGTGTTGCTGTTTAATCATGCGGAGACGGAGTATAGGGTTAAGGAGGGGGAGAGAGTGGCGCAGTTGGTGCTTGAAAGGGTATGTTACGCTTCCGTTCTGGGTTGGTGATTGTGATGGGAAGGGAGTAGTGAGGGTTGGGCGTGAGAATTTGATGCTGACCGAGATGATCGTAGATCTATACCCCGGAAGTTGTTGAGGTAGAGAGTTTGGAGGAGAGCGTGCGAGGGGCCGGTGGGTTTGGGAGTACAGGATGATGCATTGTAAGGATTGCGCTGGGCCACTAATTGAGGTCACGGGAGCGGTGATGGCGTATACTGAGCAATAGAGGCTTCACGGTAGAGTAGCGGAGACTCCGCCTGAAGCACCGGATACACTATAGAACCAAAAACACCAAGCGAGTCATTGGCGTTCTTCCTTGATTGGGCACCAGCCAAGATGTCGTGCTTCTCATCCTGTGCAATTTCTTTGCCTGTTTTCCGGTCTGCTGCCTTTCACCTCCGCCTTTCGAATTGAGTAAGCGTTCCCATCCCCAGCAAGATATATTCGGCTACGATTGGTGGCATGTCGAAATCTACCGGCCTCGAGGGGGCTTCATCCACACTTGATTCTACTGCAAGCGACGACGAATCTGTCCAAAACTATCCACCTCCTTACATAGTGGAGCCTACATCTCCCCATACCCATACCGCTATTCTGCTGCACGGGCTGGGATCCAACGGGCGTGCATTCGGGTCTTTCTTCCTCACAGCGTCTGTTCTTTCAAATGACAAGGACTCCCCTTATTCACGACCTCTCAACGTTCTCTACCCGTCCATGAAATGGGTCTTCCCTGGTGCATCTTTGAGACGTAGCAAGCGATTCAAAGGCATCAAGCTGTTTTCTTGGTTCGAGATATTCTCGATTCAGGACCCTAGCTACAGAGAAGAAACGCAGACTGAAGGCTTGATTCATAGTAGTCAATACCTAAGAGATCTGATCTTTGAAGAAGTGAAAATGCTGAAGGGTGCAGTGGGTGGAGAAGAAAGGGTGGAGAAGAGGATTGTATTGGGAGGGCTGAGTCAAGGTTGCGCCATGAGCCTGACTACACTCTTGAGCCTCGATTTCAGTCTGGGGGGCTGGGTTGGTATGAGTGGGTTCATGCCGATGAGAGGGATTTTCGAAGACGCGCTTAACGCTGACGCTCAAGACGGTGACAAGAGAACTGTCCTTCAACGTGATACTGAGCAGGACGAATCCGATGTTGAAGCATTGATAGACACCCAAAGCATTGATCCTACGGTTCAAGCGTTGAATACCTTTCGACAAAATGTCCTGTCGCTACCCCCCCCAGATTCGAGGAGTCCTGCCAATGTGTTAGAGACACCTGCGTTTTACGGTCATGGAAATGAGGACGAGAGAGTGGCTTGCAGGCTCGGCGATGAGCTTGTAAGGACACTAGAAGGAATGCATATGAGTGTCAAGCATCAAGTTTATCAGGGGTTAGGACATTGGATTCAGGCTCCAGAAGAGATAGATGACATGATTTCAGTCTTCTCACAATATGGTGCCTGGCCAGATCATGTAGATGAACACATTGCATCATAGCGAGATACTTCGTCCGTTGGGGACGATTGCTGTGAGCCCACCAGAGGACAAATGGAGTCATGGTGAAAGTAAAGACAATATGCTTCACTAAACTCCTTCCGGCACTAACCGCGGTTCTTGGCATTTCAGCCCTATCACTTTAAAAATAACCGTGACAGATGCGTCGGATCAAGCTAGACATTCTTTGTCCTGCATGCGCAACCTCTATTAGAGGTCCACCTGGACTTCGCATCGCCCATTCACATTCGAAATCATCTAAGCCGCCATCTCGATATCTACGCTACAGCTTATACGATAGAGATGAATCAAAGAGGACGAGGGAGGGGTTCTTGGAGAGGTGGTAGAGGCGGCGGGCACAATCGATCACAACAGTACTCTTCAGAGAGCTATTCAGCGGGTGTAAACGGCGGTCAGTCGAAAGGAACAGACAATTCGCATGGTGGACTCGTCAACATCGGTGTTAGAGGCTGGAGAAATAGTAAGGCAGCGGATAGCAATGATGGGGGCATTGGCAAACTCAGGGAATTTCTTGAGAGAAAAGGATCTTCGTCGAATGGACCGCCTGCTAAGATTACAAAGGTACATACCGGTCTGCTGCAAGATGTCCTTTTCGTCTAGCTAATGGAAGTATAGTCAAGAACTGAAGGAGATGTATTCATAATATCGGTACGACCGGAGCTGGTGGAAAGGATGCTACATCTGAATGGCTTTTCATTCGCAGGAGCATCTCTAACGGTTGAGGGATGGGGCAACGATCACCTACCCGTGCTGAGTATCTCGCCTTTTGACAAAGGTGTTGCCGGACAGCCCCAGGGGCAGAACGGTTTCGCACAACAGGCTCAACCAGACCCCTCGCAGATCGGACCCAGCAGCACAAAAGCCGCTCTCACGCAAGTCCTAGCCAAGCGATACGATCCCAGCCTCAAATTACTCAACCTCTCTGCCTTGAAACAAGATCCCGATCTCCAACAGCTGGGCGTTTTTGCGACACCAGCCACCGAGTCCAAGTTCTTCCCGGTGCTCATGAAAATCTGCGATGAGGTTTGGGATACACCAGCAAAGAAAGCCGAGTCCGTCGAAAGCATCACCGTTAGTACCAATAACCTTACCACGGTTCTTGACATCACCACACTAGCCGCTACCTTCCCGTCGCTAAAGAACCTCGACCTCTCCAACAACTTGATACCAGATTTCGAAGCCTTAAAATATTGGCGGTGGAAATTCCGGGATCTCGAGCATCTAGTCCTCACAAACAATCCCATCGGATCCTTACTAGACTTCAAAAAGACCCTCATGAAATGGTATCCAAAACTCCTCAAACTCAACAGCGCAGAGGTGCGGACTCCAAAGGACGTCCAAAATCAACAGAACCCCATCCAAGTGTTGCCACCCTATTTCCAAGACGAAGCCGAAATTGGGGCCAAATTCATAACCGATTTCTTTCCCTTATTTGACGTAAACCGCGACACCGCGCTCCGCAACTTCTACGACGCAGCCTCCACCTTCTCTGTTAGCGTCAATACGCACGCCAAGCGGGTCCAGCACGAGGAAAGCAACCGCAGCGGTCCCTCTAACTGGGATCAATATATCAGGAAGAGCCGCAATCTCCTGAAAATCACCCATCTCTCTGCGCGCCAGTCGCGCTTGTACCGCGGCGCCCAGATCCGCACAACCTGGGAACAAATGCCGCGCACCAAACACCCATCCCTAAACCAACACCCAGCCGACTGGTTAATAGAATGCCACCCCTTACCCGGCCTTCCGGACCCGAACAACGGAGGCGTCCTCTCCGGTGGCGTAGGCGGCCTCATCATCATGGTGCACGGTAACTTCGAGGAAATGCACCCCCAAACCGGCAAGACCATCGACCGCCGCTCCTTCGATCGCACTTTCGTCCTCGGCCCCGGATCAGGCGTAGGCGGCATCCGTGTCGTGTCGGATATCCTCGTCCTACGCGGCCCGGGCGGCTCAGAAGCCTGGGGCGTGAGCAGCACGTACCAGGATCCTTCCACCATCGCCGCGGCGTTAACCGAGCCGAGGATCCCGCACCCGGAGGTTCCGCCCGGTAGCGGGATCGGAGAGCCGAGACCGGGCAAATCGGAGTTGCAGGTCCAGCAGGAGGTGTTGGCGATCGAGCTGAGTTTCAAGACGAGCATGAAGCTCGAGTGGGCGGCCAAGTGTCTGATAGAGAATGGCTGGGATGTTGCCAAGGCGTGGGTGAATTTTCAGGAGTTGGTGGCCAAGGAGAAGATTCCGGCCGAGGCGTATTTGGTGGTGAATTAACTAGATGAATGATTGGGATGGAATGGAGGATGGGAGAGATCGGGGAGGCGATAGGTGAGGCATAGTCTGGAGGGAAATACTTTTTATATCGGGCTTGTCTGGGAGGGCGAGACGTTCCGAGGGGCGACCAATTTCCGGGCATGGCGATGGCGTATTGGGGCACTCACTGGCCGGAGGGCCTTGCTGCTGGTGCTGAAGCTGCTGGTACTACTGGCTACATGGGAGCAAAATGGAGATGGTTGTTTCCTCGTCACTCTAGCAACTGGCTGGGCTGTTGAGATAGGACAGGATGTAGCGTCTGAACATGAGCATGAACATGCACAAGAGTGAGAATAAGAATTGCCGAGTCAGTCAATGGCTTCTTCTACCTCGCTATGGAAGTGTGTTTCGTAACGCATGTTATATGTGCAGCGAGGAATGAGCAGTGGTAGCAATCAATGCTCTCTGAAGGCTCCTCTGTAGAACCTGCCCAAACACCATGCAGAGGCGGATACGACATAGTACTCTAACCATTTTTCGTGCTTGCCAGGTTGTGTGAAGCTGTGATACACTCAACTAGCTCTTGTATTCTTAACCAAGCGCTAAGGAACCCCTGCATTGAATCCGTCTTCCACCTGGAACCCGCTGCGTTCAACATCATTAACGTTCGCTTCGCAGAAAGTGGCCGAGACCACTTGGGATAAGCTGCCAACACAGCACCTGGTCCTTGATCATTTGCAAGGATTTCGATAGTTTCCATCACAGATATTGCGGTTGGCAGTTGAATATCTTGCGGGGGTGACGGATGCAAACCAGGGTCGGGATGTCCCAGAGCAGATGATGCAACAGTTCCGGACTGAAGGTCGATGACTCGGAGATTAGCCTCTGAGCCTCCAAGATCAAGGGAGCGTGAGACTGGTCCGCTTCACCAGGACCTCTGGGACAGTCCTTGGGAGCACCTCTTGCACCATATGTGTGGCTGACCGAGAGAGAGATCGATGTCAGCTGTAGGAGTACCACCCGAAGAGAGGAAGTTCAAATGCTGAATGACAAGCGTGCTCAACCTCATCTGTCTCTTCTATTCTTCCATTTCCCACCTCTTCCACCACGACCTCGCCAACGTCCTCCCTCGCCGTCTCTGTTTCTCCCAAAATCTCGCCTTGCATCGTCATCGTCGCGTCTATCCGCCTCATCGGCTCTCCTCCTCCTGGCCGCAGCGTCATCTGCTCCTTCTCCCTTGCCTTCCTCTCCAACCACCTTCAAATGCACTCCTTCAGTACATTCCCTCCCATCTGGACAGAAGCCCGCGAGGTAGAATCTGCAGAGCTTCCTTCTCACATGCCTCTTGCCACACTTCGGGCCCCTTTCGCAGAAGCCCTTGTTGTAGTCCTCGCAGAGTGGCAGTCTTGACTCCTCCTTGACGTGGAGATACAGACACTCGTCACCGTTCTGGCAGTATCCGTTTTGATTGTAAAACTGGCACTCACTCATCTTCCGCAGGTTGTACTCGTGCAGGTAGTCGCAGTTGTCTCCCTTCATGCAGAGTGCTTTGAGCCAATGTTTGCAGACGTAGTTATCATTCTGTCGGCCGAAGTGGTGGTAGCTGGAGGACTGTTGTTGTGAGGGTGTCGGATGCCGGTCCGGGCACCTTCGACCTAGAGGACAGTGACCAGCGGCGAATGCTGGGCAGACAGGTGTGGTGGCTATCAGGGCATGGCCGTAGGTGCTGCGAAGGAAAGGGGTGAATGAGAACGTGGGAGGGTCTTTGGGAGGTTCCGAGGAGAGGAGGACTTGTGCTGCACGCGAGCTGGGCTGTGTCTCGGTGGTTGTGGCCATGTTTTTGTCTTTCAAGTGATTCTGTGATCTGATGAACCAATTGCGAGGCGTCGTTGTTGCTCTATGCAATGATGATACCGTACGCCGCAAGATATTCTTCTACCGTCATCTGGCTCTGCCGGATGGATTAATGTCCAGGTCCAAATGTACTCGAAAATGACCGCCCCATGTTTACACAAATAGGGTGGAATCTAGGAGATCTGAAAGAGGAGCTGGAAGGTTCCGGGCCTTCGAAGGCTTAGTCATCCAGATTCACTTATCCAAGGGTGTCTTGTCGTGTTTTATAGGTGGGCTACACTCTTAGAAGGATAATGAATTAGACACCATGGTGGCATTAGTATTTCCCACACCTCTTTTTGATTCCAGTCTGCCGACATTATATCCTTTACCATGGTGCGGTGAGCGGTAACCAAGTTCTAGTATGCAAAATTGGGTGGTGGTTAGGAGAGGCGCTCTGGTAGCTCTCGATCAATTCGCATCTCAACAGCAGATTTTCTACGTGTGAATGCACTTGCGTGTATGTGTTATTGTTCCGCGCCAGTCATATCTCAACTGTCTCTCCTTGGAGTCTTCCTCGAATGTATCTCGTTTTGCTGCGTCTGAGGGATCATCAGGCAAGCAGCTCCTTGGAACATTCCTCATTTCCCCATACCACTCGCTCCTTCTGTCTACTTCGAGATCACCTGCTTCGATTTGGAGAGGCATGATTCTTTCCGCTGTGAAATGTTCTATCACTCATGCCATGCTTCTTCTGTTATCCCAACAGTGTCTCTTGTATCTACCACTTGGCCCTTTTCTTATTGTAATCGTTTTATTTTATCGAGTTCATTGCAGATATCAACATGGGTGCTTGCTTGTCCAAGATCGGCCCTGGCTGGCAATCTATGTCCCGTTCTTCTTCGACATCCGCTGTCCCGAAGGAGGAATCTTTCGAAGGACCTACGCAAAGGCCTGCGAACTTTCAAGAACGACTGGCTAGTTATAGGAGTACTCGAACAGGCCCCGGAGAAATGACAACCACAACGAGTCAGCCAACGGACCAGAAGAAGATCATCAACTTCGTCAATGCCGTGTATTACCCCAATTGGCGGGTATACAATGGGCAGACTCCGAACAATCTGAACCTTGACAATGTGTCGCATGTATTTTACGCGTTTGCCCAGTAAGATCTCATGGTCAGACAAGACGGTCGCAAACAGCTCACTTTCTATCAGCCTCGATAAAGATGGTTCTGTGACTGTGAGGTACCCATTATGCACTTTCAAGAATCCTGTTGATGTTCCTATTCACAGCTTAGCGACGAGCATGTCGACCGTGAAATATTGATTGATGGCACCCAGGGCTGCGTCAATGCCTTGAAAGTAATACAGAGAGACAAATACCCCGCTCTTAACCTTATACTATCCATCGGTGGAGCCGCCAGCAGCGAGAACTTCGACGGAATCACATCAGATGAGACCCGCCTCCAGAATCTAGTCACCACTGCCCGGGAGCTCGTCGATTACCTCGGGCTGAATGGCATAGACATCGACTGGGAACATCCTTCGAACGAAGTTCAGAGTCAACAGTACACTCAACTCCTTGCACTCCTTCGTGAGGCTATGCCGTCTCCGCAATACATTATCACAACTGCTGTCCCTGCGGGTATATGGGCGTTGAAGAACATGAATCTTAGCGAGGTCTCTAAAAGCGTGGACATGATAAATCTCATGGCATATGATTTCGTTGGACCTTTTCCTGGTATCAGCGAGTCTGGCCACCACGCGCAACTGAGATGCCCACAAGGAGGTGAGGAGTGCAGCGTTGCGACCAAGACGTCAGGAGAGGCGGCAATACACTACCTTCTCGAGCAAGGAGTGCCAAAGGGAAAGATCGTACTCGGGATACCATTATACGGCAGATCGTTTCTGGGTGCCACCGGCCCTGGCCAACCGTTTGATGGCCATGGCGGACTAGAAGGGGGCGTTTTCGAGTACAAAGATCTGCCCATCATAGATCGAGGCAAGGCATCTGGAAGTGAAAGTTCTGACCCCGATGCCATCACGCCCTGCGCAGAGCAGTTCGACAAGACTCGAGTGGCAGCGTGGTGTGTGGGTCCTCAGACTGACGAAGGTGGTGGGTTCATCACTTACGATAACGAAATGTCGGTTGAGGCGAAGGCGCGGTATGTCAAGGAGGAGGAGCTAGGGGGCCTGTTCTATTGGCACATTGGGTTTGATAAGCCGAAGAACGAGGGAAGTCTGGTTGATGTTGGTGGCGAGGTGCTGGGCGTGGGTCACAAGAGGAGTAGTTGGTTCGCTCGCGCTCGGTGACCAATAGAATGGAATGGTTCTAAAGAGAAGGCTGGGCTGGAATTTGGATAAGTCAATCATCCATATGACGATCATTGGTCGAAAGAGTACAGGAGTAACTAGAGAATAGACTAGATTTTGTTCCCTCTAAAACACATACGCCCACTGTTTCCACTCTTGAGAGGGGAGTCTTTTCGGTGAAGTGTCCCTAGAAGGACACCTAACCATGGTTAGGTCCCCGTTGCTGGTACAGTGCCATCCCGTATTTGATTGATACATATTCGCCAGGTCAGCCCATTTGTAGCATGGGCGATGAGAAGGATGTATTCACTATACGCCCAAAGAAGTTTAGAGCTTTGATAATGACGGTCACTAAGAAGACACGATTGAATGCATCCTCGAAGGACAGAGAAGGTCCCTTAGGATATATCACATGGATGGTGTGCGAACTGCTATGCCCGCGTATCCTCACGGTAGAAAGCTCTGGAGGTAGCACGAGGTACACTACACTGTTTACTGTTCCGAAGCTTGAGCGCTCCTCCGGACCGTCTTGTTTACACTTCAACCTTCGTTGGGATCTTGATTGCACCTCTCTTCCTGTCCTGACTCGGCACGCCATACCTCCTCCCGGGACTCGCGGTGCCTCTCCCATCCAATCCAGTCCCCAGCCTCGTGGTCTGACAATCCCTGATCAAGAATTCATACCTGCCCGTATCCACCCTCGTCGTGTGCTTCTCTATCTGCTTCCTGCGCGCCTCTTTCTTCCCGGCTCTTTGCTCCCTCTCTTCCCTCAATCTGGCATGGTGTCGCTCGTGCCGCTCTAGGGCGTCCAGCTCGGGATCCAGCTTATCCTTCTCGTAAGCAATCAAATGCGGGTGTGGGATTCTTGCGTCTGCGGCTTTCAGGACGGGCCTCTCGTGGCCTGGCTTGCCGACGATCTCGATGGAGGTATCTTTCCATGGTTCCACGCTCTGCCCGCCTTGCGCGATGTCTGCTTCGTCCGGAAGGCGCGGTGCTCCAGAGAAGATGCGGCCGGCGTCGACGCGGTTGAACTGGCGGGATTCGGATGTCGGGTAGAAGAGTTGGGGGAGGGTCATGCTGTGGACAGGAAGGTCGTTGACGGTTTCATGCGGTACGGGGGGTGTTTTGAGAGGTGTAGAAGGAACCATGGAGTGAATGGCTTCGGCGTAGGGAAGTGCAAGAGGCTTGTTCTATCAAGATATATGATTAGCTTTGTGGTGCAGAATGATTGACTTTTTTGATTCACTCGTAAATGCTTTGTTCAGAGAGTTGTAATTTGCTGTAAAGATCACCATGGAGTAAGTCTGGAAGACTAATCGAATTTTGTGTTGTTCATCATAAGAGACCAATACATGGGGCATTAAGGGTGAGCGACCGCTTACCTCTGCCCTCCATTGCTTTTCCAGCTCCTGTAATCTCACCACAGCACCGACTCGTCTCATCTCCACGCCGAGCTCGACCGAAACATTGCGTATAGATTTCTTGTCAACTTTGACCCGTCTCCAGATTTCCTCCCTCAACTCTTCGGACAGTATAGGTTGGGAGAAGAAATGCTCGTTGAGCGGAAAAGGGCGTCTTGGCTCTTCGCGGGCACCTTTCTCTCTTGCTGGTGAGTCTGCCTGCTCACCTGCAGCATCAGGCTCCTTGTGTCGCCGGAAACCCCTCTTATCATAGTCGGTCAAGTAATTAGTCTTCCCCTCGACAGGATCCAGAAAGTTCTTGCCGTGACTGTTTAGCCAGCTAAACATGTCAGTGCGCAATCTGGTCATATCACACGATCGTGTTGATGAGAATCGCCGGCGCCATGGTCTTTTGCACTCCGGACAGTGCTTTGCAGCAGTTGCGCTTGGTGTGAGAGAAGCTGTGAACGAGGACAAAGGAACCTGAATGTATTGCAGAGCACGGCGCGTCATGATGCCATGGGTTTGCATGAAGAGGGTAGAAAGGTTCTAATGTGACTGCGTTGAAGCATACTACGTAGATGCATCCAGTCTGGTGTCTGCTGCAATTGAAGGAGAGAAATCATGCCAAGCTTTTGATATTCTTGGCATTCTAGTACAGAAAGTTGCACGTTGAACACTGAACTCTTGTCATATAAAACTATGTACCCATTTCCGGGACCAAGATCCTCTTCGCCATTTGGAAGTTTACCTTAGGCCAGGAAAGGGGGCTGTTGACACGTATTTCACGCCACAAGGCGGGCTGATGACCAGACTTCAAGACTCACCAATGGCACTTTGCTAGATCAATATGCAAGGCATTGGTCTGTATGAAAGTCAAGGACCTCGAAGCTACCCAGTGCATCATTACAATATACTCCTACAGCCAAATGACTGGAGGAGGACGTCCGCGCCTGGTTTCTACAATTGTTCCTGTACAGCCCTCCTCGCACAGCTGGCTAGAGCCATGAGCACACGTGCACCATGTCATTAAGCGATGGCCTCCTGCAATCTGTTTTCCCATCTCATTTTTCTTCTCAATTCCTTATATCGATATTTCTGCTGATTGCAGCCGAGCAGACGGAAGGCAACCAAAGCTCAAGGCATTTCAAAATATAGCAGATCACATGACATCGATTTAGGAAACAACAGCCACACACCTACTGTGCGATGAGGCGGGCAGAAATGTGGTATTTGATCTGTAACTGAAGGCGCACGGCCGCGGCAATGGTGCCCTGAAGTTTGCCCATAAGATATTCAAGCGCTTAGTACCTCGATCGGATCCCTTAGTCCTTTCAAACTTCGCGCGCATCTGACATGCGGCATCCGTCTGAACACATCCTCTGTCTCTGTTTGTTGCATGAATTCTCTCCATTCTCTCGTTGCGATCCATTCCTCCCTTGCCCTTGCGCTTCGAAACTTTACCAGAAGCATAGTATCATGGACTGTCGCTTCGGGCGGCCTGTTCCGCCGTTTTGATTGCGCCACAGCCTCCGGTATCTCTACAGGGAACGTGTCGAAGCGCGTAATGAGTGGGGAGAATGAAGCGTGGATACCGATTTTGGCCAGCAAGGTGTCGAGGCGATGGGGCGAATGGTTTATATCCATAGCAGCAGATCTCCCATTAGACGGCACAGGAGCTGTCTGAATATTTCGTCCCATTTGGGATGCGAAGAAATATATCATGCAAGTCAGAGGCTCATCTTGCTTCAAGGGAGCTGAAGACGGAGCGTTTCCGTCTTTGGGCAGCCGACTCATGTTCGTTCTTTGCAAAAGCATTGTTACGTTCTGAACAATGCGATGCTTAGGGCGATTCAACAGCAGGACAAGAAGCACAAGCACGATGGACGAGACATTGCCGTTTCTTGGAGGAGACAATATTGCTCTGCATACTAGATAGACAGCACAAAACTGGCCTGACTACTTCCCCCGCACTCGTTGCCTTTTTGTCACCAATTCTCCCAGATGAGAAAGGTTAAAGCAATTGCCACTGGAGCTTATGCACCCCGCAAAACCATAGTGCTGTTGGTAATGAGCTGAGCAATAATTGGAGACCATAATCTTTCCGGCTAGGCTCTATTATTTGATGTTGATGAGTTAAATATGTCTGCTGGGCGGTTTTCTGACTTGAACAGGATTAGTCACAGTGGACTTGACACTTTTAATATGATGAATGCACGCAGTGTCAGTTGCGGGAGGTTAATTAACTGATACTATCGCCCGGAAACATGGACTACAACTCGTTTGATAACTGTCTGGATGAGTACGTTTTCAAAGGCTGATTTCCTAGGTTGATGTCCTTTATATGTTGTAACAATCTGGGCCTGAAAACTTAGAACGAGGCCTTCCGGCCGCCTGTTCCAGGCCTCCGGGCCATTGAATTAGTGAAACAGTTAGCGGAAGAAACGTCCCGGAAGCTTGGCTCTGCGGGCGCCATGTGCTCCCTGCTCTACCTGCGCCGGCATGTTGTCATCTCTTCCGCGGTTCACAGCTCATTAAAGGAAGAAAAGAGCACAGAATTTCGAGCCCTAGCGGTCAACTCACCTCTTTATCCAACATGTCCCTTCTTTCGGACTTATAGAATCACTCTTCCCATCGCCGTCCCCCCTGCATTCATTGTCTCTGCTCCTTAGCAAATGCGAAAATTCTACCTAAATCGGCAGACTTGTTGAATATGGACGCGGATGGCATGACCACTTTATTGGATGTGCTCCAATTGAGTCCTGGAGATGCTCAGTTCTTGCTTCAAGTGGGTAACCCAACCTTGCATTCAGCAGTGTCATAGCTAAAGTCACATCAGAAATACAACAACGATGCATCCAGAGCCATCCAAGAATACTTCGAGAATCCTGATGTCCTGAAGCAAACGGTCAGCATCCTCGTGCATGTGTCGGCAAAATTAGCTCACTACTGCTGCAGCCAACAAGAGGCTGGGAAGAGCCTCCACCGTATCATAATGCAGATTTGCCAGGTGAAGCTGGGTCTCTTACGGCGAGAGCTTGAACTACGCTGACTTGCTTTTGGGAAGGGTTTCGCATAGACGCCAGCGATGATGTGGCAAATAGTGTTCGTGAAGCTGCTCCTTCGCGGCCACCAACCAGGGCAAGCTATCGAGAGGAGCCAATCGACCTGACGCCACAGCATCGTGCAGGTATCAGAACATCCATGAACTTGATGCTGCCTAGTCATTGACATGCACGTACTAGCCGATCCTACCAAAAGCCTTTCCTACCAAGAAAACGATCGAGAAGAACGAGAGATGCAAGAAGCAATAGCATTGTCAATGGGCCAGCCACCGCCGGGCCAGGAAAATGGTGTGACCGGCACTGGTCAACAATTCGGACCCGCGAAAGGCGAATACTCTGATACTAAGCGGTGGGCTATGACAGTATCAAAAGCAAGAGAGATCGTTGACAATCCGCCACCTGCAGATCGTCAACGGAAACCTGGTGAACCGGCTTTCTTAAGAGCGTCGGATCGCGACGGCTCCGAAAGTCTTGCTGGGCTTCTCACGATCTATCATTCCATACCCCTTGCTAGAGAGGCTCTTCTGCTTCCAAGCTACCAGCAATTTAACTATGGCTGTGATCCCCAATGGTGGACAGGACATCGTATTGAGGCGCCCAGAATCGTCTCCATTGACGACCGGGCAGCGCATCGCAACCGTGATGATGTACTCATCGAGACGCAACGTCTGATGGCCTTTTTGGACGACACTCACCGTGCATATGCTAGTATTGATGCATTGGCAAACCTGCAAAGCTACTACGCGAAGGAGGCTGGATCAGAACTGAGCCGTTTCCTGGAAGCTTGGAACGATGGGGCGGTAATTAGAAGCCGAGACGACCCATTGACTCAGATCTTTAGCTATCATGGGATCAGGGGGGACCCAATAAATGTACTGGAGAGGGACTTTTTCACTTTGGAACCAATGGTCGACCCTGAAGTTGAACAAAGCTTCACCGAAATCATTGACAACCTCATCTGGTCTGACCAAGTATCGTTTGACGGTCATTTGCACGATGTTTGGATAGACAAAATCGGAGAAATTATGACCTTGAAGTTATTAGACCCGGAGAGGAAGCAAGGCAAATTAGGCATCGACGTCCCGACTGTTTGGTACCCTGATCGGTACATGCAACACTTCAGAGATGCCAGCCGTGAAATGCGCATTCGAAGATGGCATATCCAGAAACAGATATTGAAGTTGGAGCGCTCGAAAGAGGACTTATTGACCTGCCCGCCAAGTGCCCGGCCAGGGAGGTTAGATATCAGAAAGGTGTTGTTGGATGCAGCAGAGAGGGCACCATTGATGATCAAGACCCAGCCACAGCAGGGCATCATGAGTGGCGCAATGTCCAGCCCTGCCCCTTCAAGCGCGGAAGTCAGTGACTGTGTCAAATCGTTACGAGATCTTGTCTCCAGCATCGAGACCAAGCTTGCAGAATTGGAGCTCATACGAGAAGAACTTCGTGCGAGATTCAGAGCTATGACTGCAGAACTTACAAGCCCCAAAGACGAACCGTCGTCATTGTCACCATCTCACAAGTATACGCTTCGTGGTGTTTCTACGAAACCGCATATAACTTATGTGCTGCGACCGATAGCTGAACCTTCACAGCAATCGGAAGCGGATTGCTCAGTGTCAGGACAGTGGCAATGGTGGCGGATAGCGTTGTCTAGTGAAGAAGCAAAGAGCAAGAATTCTGCCGCGTACGGTCCACAGCCGCAGTCTGTCCCATTATCCGAACAGCAAAATTCAATTAATTCGAGCGGACCCTTTTCGCCGTGGCCACCCAGCAACACACAGAACAACCGATTGTTGTCAGAAAATACGGGCAGCGTTGTGGCTTACACAATTCATAGAGTGGGCGAGGAGGATGTCCTCAAAGCTGCGCGAGAAGAACATGACTCACTCACATTAGTCTATGCATCGGAAAAGGCGGTCAACTTTCGAGGTAGCGCCTTATCAGGACCACTTCAGGCGTTTGTCAAAGCAGATAACAAGATGTTCGACAACGAGTTGCGCGGTATCACACAGTCACAAGGACCCGAGGGTATATCCGATGGGGAAGAGATGACCCAGCTGCACTTCTCAAATCTGGATGGCATGCAGGATGTGCCCTTGATCGACGACTCGGATGAAACATTGAATGGCGAAAGGGAAACCTCTACTCCCGCAACCGTGGGCTGGTCCGCCAGGCGCGAAGCCGACGGCCAGCCGTCGCCGAAGCGCGCAAAGGGAGACGATGAACCGCCACCCTATTATGACAACGGCCGCAACGCGCCAGAAATGCAGGAAAGAGCTGGAGGTATGGGGATCCTAGGCACGGCTCCACCGAACCGCATCGGACAGCATGCCGAGAAGATGATGGACAGGGTTGAGGATGATACAGACGCGGATGCGAGGGGGACAGCGCAGCTAGAACGCTCTACTAGCTAAGCTAGAGGCTGAAAGCATGACTTGTGCGTGTTGCGCCCGTGTGTCGATACGGACGCCTGTCATGGCCTCACACAATGTACAGCTAGCTTCAATCTTCAAGAATTGATAGTCAGTCGAGCTCATAGATTCATGTATTGAACTGTATGGCATAGCACCATGGAAGTGATGGAAAGGTAGCTACCAAAGGACAAGGTGACTTTTGATTGAACCCTCCTGGAAAGATGACTTCTTTCTCCTTCGAGGGAGAAGATCGCACGTCTTATCCGCTTTCAGCAGACTGGTAACTACTACTCCTCCGCCACGGTTTGGAACAAAAGGTTTTCAATATGCATACCGGGTCGCACTCCGAACATCACATCTGGCGCTTGTGCACAGCCGGGTTGGTAGGAAAATCCTACATCTCCTGATCTTGATCTTGAACTGATGCTGGGGCTTCCTCTGTGCCGACTTCCTCTATGCTGACTCCATCTGTGTCGACTCCTTCTGTGCCGACTTCCTCTATGCTGACTCCTTCTGTGCCGACTTCCTCTGTACCGACTGGTTTGAAATATCCAGCCCAACGAGTTTTGACCCAAATTGGCTTGGGGGCCTTCCCGTCTTCGAACTCCTTGAGCTGAGCGTTGTAATATTCGAAATCCTCCTTCTCCATGTGGGTCTCGATGACATGTTTCAGGTTATGTGTCAGCTCCTCCCTTGCATCCAACCGCTTTTCATACCACTCAAGAAACTCGTCTATGGATCGTGGTCGGCACTCGTATATGAAATTGTCTTCGTAGTTATCGAACTGATGTTAATAGTTAGCAGGCTTGTGCATGCGAGACGGGGAGAGCTAGAGGGCTTACCCCATCAGCGTTGATGACTGCAGATATGTACGTGAAAATGCTAGTGAGTTTTTCCGTCAACCTGACACCGGTGAGACCCAGTCAGTCAATCAAATGAGGGTTTTGGAAAGGTGCGAAGCTTACAGCTGCCGGAACCACTTGTGTCTAGTTGCAAACAGTTGCCATGGCCAGAATCTCCTGCATTCTTTTTTGCGGAGGAATTGCTCGGTCAGTTCCGCAATGGCGACAGGATCACCGCTCCAAATGAAAGGTAGGCCTTCGGGTCGGTTGACGACGCGGTGGAGGAGTATTGCAAACTTCTCTTCATGTTTGCTACTGATGTTTAATTCTTTGTAGATGGTAACGCCTCCGGGTTGCACCGGGTCACGGTTAAGTAGAGCAATGAGTTCGAGGGCATCTGCTTCAGAGCTCTGTCTCGTTCGCGGCGACATGATGGCAGCGATGTATGTTTCCCAATGTCAGCTGCGGAGTCTGCTTGGATCACGGTGGAAGATGAATGGCCTGCACCCCAAGATATCAGTTTTGAAGATCAAATAGACCTTTGTTGTGCGGAAGGCGGAAAAGAGCGGCAACTCTCCAGTGTTCCTCTGACAAACACCCGCTCAGCGAAGTGTTCAGTCGAAGCCAAAGGCCACACAATAGGTTCTGGACATGGAATATTTGACTTTTCTTGTGTCTTCCAAGCATGCCTCTTGCACGAATCCATAACCCCAAACCTGATACCAATACACACAGCCAAAGCACATCATGCATGCCCATTGCACATTTCTCTTGCCTCTGGGGTAGGTGTTAGATACCTTCCCCTTTGGATCAGATAAGTATGGGATATTTCCCTTCTGGGCTTCACTGCACAAGAATGATGTACCATGAGCACGGTCAGCAACAACGCTTCTGTGCACAGGGATTACGTGCCACCCCTGTCACTGGAACAGGGTGCGACATAGTTGCGATACCTCGACTTAGGATGGATCGGCACTTCTGTTCCTCTCGACGATGTCTAGATTAATCCCAGGCTGCACGCTTCGATTAGATCTCGATTCTTGGATGGCGACAATGGGCGTGCTGAGATAGTTGTAACGGGATCACGTCCGTATCACGAGCATCTCACCCTTGTCATCCTGATTGCGTCAGCTGAGCTGAAGACCATCTCTTTCCAGCCATACATTGGCGCGGGTGGTGCAGGCATCGTACAAGGCCGAGGAACAGAGTACGCTTACACATGGACAGCACAATGTATGTCAGCATTGGGTCGAGCTGACGGTCTTCCCTGTCTTTGGCCTTGGTCTTGGGCTTTGATCTTGGGGCAACTGCCTACTCCAACCCACCGGTAGAGAAGGTACGTTGGACGTTGGACGGGACTTGCACGTTCTTGAAGGGGCCAAAGCTGAGCACAGCTTCTGAATGCTCGATTCGGATGCATGGGTCACAAGGAGAGCCAGATCGGAGTTACGAGATGACCAGCTTCAGCGTGTTTACACAAGACTCCTGTCAATGACGTTGATGGGCTATTGCCCCGAGCGGCATCGCAGCAAGTCTGAAAGATGTATATAGAGTACGTCGCTTTCTGTTCTGAAGAATAACGCATGACAGGCCTGTAGCTTGATCCCAGTAAAGCCGTGAGAGCTGGCAGTATACGGTGTCTGTTCGCGTTCATATGAGAGAATAGAAGTGTGCTGCCAAGATTATGCCCAGAGGAGGTGGATTTTCATTCACTGGCAGTTCAAGTTCTTGCCAGGCTGACCGTTCTCCGTCTCCGAATTTGTGGTCAAATCACGCTTCCCACTTCAACACTCTGGAAAGCATAGTCCTTCACGAGAACTCTCTCATTAATCGAATCTCTCATCCTGAGTTGCCCTAGTGTTTGTCAGCATTCTTCGCATTTCAGTACTTCGGTTTTACCATCTGTCACCTCAATACCGCGTCGAGAAATCACTGTCCCCCGCACCCAATCTTTTCGAATTCTGGTTGTTTTTCATACACGATCTAGAGTGAGTTGATCCATCATATTTGATTATCGTCGCCTTTTCACTGATGTATGGAATTCTACCAGTCGTGTCTTCGCGCCCATCGGATCACAATATCCACCACATTTCTCACATTCCTTTCATTTTCTCACATCAGTTTCGCACACCACCCCGGATATCCCAGCTCGACATCTCTCGGACAGATATGGCTACGGATCTTCCACCTTCTGTCAACGGGTTGTATGGCAGTCAGTACGGGCAGCCTGCCGAGCTTGCCGCCTCTGTCCCATCTTCGACACCAGCTTCAGTTGCTTCCCAAGGACCAGCTGAGTCTGCCTCAAATACAGCTAAGGCGGATCCTCAGGAAATTGGCTGGTACTTCGTTGAGCAATACTATACAACCCTCTCCAAACAGCCAGACCGAATACATCTCTTTTACTCAAAGAAGTCGCAGCTGGTCACTGGTGTAGAAGCCGAGAAAGTGCTGCCATCTGTGGGTCAAAAGGTCGGCTTTCTCAACACATTTCCCATTTCCCCTGTTGACAGAAGCTGTTTTAGGCTATCAATGAGAAGATAAAAGAACTTGACATCCAAGACTGCAAAGTCCGGGTTCTCAACGTCGACTCCCAGACCTCGCTGAACAATATTGTCGTCCAGGTGATTGGTGTGATGTCCAACAAATCTGCTCCTAGCAAGAAATTTGTCCAGACGTTTGTTCTCACGCCGCAGACCAATGGGTATTATGTTCTGAACGACATTTTCCGCTACTTAAACGATGAAGAGGACGAGATCATAGAAGATGAGCCTGCACAGGAGCCGACACAGGAGCCGACACAAGTGGAAGAGGCCAGCGCCACTCCCCCTCCTGCAACAGACACAGAACAGGGTTCAGTTAACAGCGAGGCTGCTATTGAGCAGGTCGATGCAAAGCTGGAGGAAGTTGTGGAGTCAGACGCTCCTCAAGCTGTCAATGGGGCTTCTACCGGTTCTGCTATGGAAGAACCTGTTCAGCAAGAGGCTGCTCCGGAAGTCGCTGAAGAAGCAAATGTTCCTTTGCCAGCAGAGAACCCCCCTGAACCAGAGCATACTCCTGCCGTAAGCCCACCCAAAGCCGCTACCCCTGCACCAGCTGCAGAAGCACCGCCCTCGAAGAAAACCTGGGCCAACTTGGTGGGCTCTAAAGCCACCGCTATCCCTGCCGTTCCGGTCCCCACTGCCGTAGTCCCGTCTCAACCAAAGGCACAGAAGTCACCTCCTCCTCCTTCCGTTCAGCCACAACAGAACAGTACCACCAATGAACCGGGTACCAGTTCAGGATCCCAAAGCAACGAATGGCAGACCGCAGATCACGGCAAGAAGCAAGCTAGGCCTCAGAATAAAACTGTTTCCGAAGGCAACGTTCTCGGCTACATCAAGAATGTTACACAAAAAATCGAAGCCAGTAGGCTGAGAAGCGTACTTGAGAAATACGGAGAGATCAAATACTTCGATGTGTCTCAACCCAGGGCAAGTTCTCGTCGACTCAAAGCTATATTAGATATGCTGACTCATCGTCCAGAATTGCGCATTTGTTGAATTTGCTACACCAGCTGGATACAACGCTGCTGTGGCCGCAAACCCTCACCAGATTGGGTCTGAACAGATCTATGTGGAAGAACGTCGACCACGACCCAATGCGTTTGGTGGCAGTAACTCTGGTTTCAGTCGAGGTGGCGCTAATGTAGGTCGAGGTCGTGGTGGTGCTGCTCCTCCAGGACGCACTGGCAGCCAGAGCGGCAGTTTCCCCAAGGAAGCTGGACGTGGTACATTCCAGCAACGTGGTGGGAAGACTGGCAGCGTCACTCCAAAAGGACGCGGTCAACCCCAAGCTTCCTGAAAATAGAGCACCAGCGATCAGACCGTTGTCTTTCCGCTTCTCATCCCATTTACGGCGTTGGAGGTCTTCACGACTTGACACATGGTGTTCAAAAGCAGCCTAGGCCGAATGATGAAGTGTTAACCGGCTTCCTTTCGCGTCACTTAAACGTTGTGCCCATCGTCTCGAGGCTGAAAAAGTCCCAACGTATCGTGCACATTGTGCATAGTGAGCTGGGGAACGTTTACGGTTATTTCTTTTCTTGTTGTGTCTCCTGTGCCATTACATATTAGCGCGAGTCCCTTATCATGAGCGTCTCGACCAGTTTCCACGAAGTTGACTTGAAAGTCCAATACCTGGGACGTGTTTCTTCAGGGCTCCGAAGCATGGGCAGCGGGTTCCGTGTGGTAGAAAGTAACTTAGAAGACCTGTTATGTATTAGTAGCGTGCGATGAGAACTGTCAAGTGCAACCAAATATCGTTCGGAATATCAGCTCGTTTACACCCACATCTGTGACATTTCTAGGCATCAACTCGTCAAATTCAAGTTGCCTGGTGCGTCGTCACCAGAATCTACCCCACCAATGACAATGTCTGCTGATTAGCCATGCCGCGTGCAGAGGTACCACCTCTCTCTGTCACCACTTCTTGACGCCCAGCAGTGCTACTGAGGCCTTAAGAGACTGTGAGAGTCGGTCCTGTTTATTCCTACGGCTATTCCTTTGCCACTCTATCCCCATGCTTTTACGATGAGACCTCTCGCTGGATCCGAAGCCTTCCAGCCCCGCAGTCGTAAAGCATCCGTTACTGAACCACTCCCAGCTCCCAGCATACGAAGTGCTTCTCCGGTCACTTTCTTTCTAAGACGTGGGAGCCAGGGAAATGGAGATGGCAATACTGCAGAAATTCCCAATAATCCTATCCCCTCTGCACCAACGGTTGTTGCGAAAGCCCATCCAGACGAAGCTTCGCAGAGCCCACGACGACGTTCCACCTTGAAAGCACGAGAAGCAACCACCTCACGAGGCAGCCCATCCGCCGAATGCCAGACACAGCTACCACAACAAGAGCCCCTTACTCCCCTGCTCGTTCCTTCAGACACGAGTTCTCTACCCAGCAGCCCCAAGTCAACCTCGACGCGATCCTTGAGACCTTCAGAGGTAGGATCTACCGCTGAAGAAACCGGAAGTCAAGCTATACTGTCAAGTGGTGATGAAGAACTTGAGCCAGAGCCATCCTCGCAGTCGGCCGAAGGAGCTCCACAACTTATAATGCCAAGTATAAAGATACCCAGCCGAAGACCATTCACAGAAAGAGGAAAGCGGATTGGCAATTTCAAGATCCTGATCGCTGGAGGCAAAGGTCTGTCATCAGCGTCTGTAGCCTTCATTCTCCTGCTAACAACCACAGGGATCGGCAAAACCTCCCTTATCAAGTCAATCGTGCAAACATGCGAAGATATCGTCCACGTCGATCCCCTACCAGTCAGCAGGTCGTCTGCTATGCTATCTTCGCCAAAGGCAAAGCGAGTACTCAAGAACTTTGAGCAGCCTCGGATTTCTGAAGTCAGCGCGAGTACAAGGCCATATCCCCCCTGGTGGGCTGAGATAGAAGAAAGCAAGATACTTCGAAGGCGGAGGAGCACGGGCGACACAGTATTGGACCGTAACTTGTGCTTTGTCGACACTGCCAGCCGTGAAGATTGTAGCACAATCTATGAGTACATGACGATGCAGCTACACAAGGCTTTGAAGGCACCAATTGAGGCAAACTCGGATTTCGTATCGCTCCTGAGTGGTAGCGGCGGGTCACAGGTGGACTTGGTGCTTTACATGTTCTCAAAGGGTAAGTCTTCTTCAATGAAGATCTGTCCGTCAGCGTTCTTACAGAAGCAGACACAATGGATGCCGATATCTCGCAAATGAAAGCTCTTTCGGAGCTGAGCGATGTAGTTCCTTTAATATCGAAGGCCGACCAGCTCTCACCTGATCACATTGAAGCCCTGAAACTCGAGTTCAAATCCAAGGTCGACGTTGGGACGCTCTCAAAGTTACCGGCGTTCAGCACATCTGAGACGCGAAAGGGGACATTGGATGTTTCTGGCCCATATACAGTATCTTCAGCTACTGGGCCAGATCACGAGACTATGGACGCCTCGCTGTTGATGTCTCCCGACTATGTTCAACCTCTTATGCCATCTGAGCTTGTTTGGCTTGTGCAGCACATATTCGAGACAGAAGTCGTATCCTATCTTCGTTACTCTGCCGCCAAAAAGCTCATCGCCTGGCAAAATGCTCAACCTCCTCCCACGAAGCCTACAAATTCCCCCTTAACCTCTCGTTCGTTCTCCCCTCGACCATCTAGCCTTGGCTCTCCACTGCCACGCTCCACTACCAATCCCGGCATGCTTGTACCTTTCGCCTCTGATCTAGCGCTAACCACGACCTCGAACATCCAGGCCATGACCAGGCTAGCTGAGCATGCACAACAAGAAGAAAGATTGGCACAAGTCAGACTCAATAAATGGGCAAACGACTTACAGAACAGTTTACAACGGGAACGAGAGCGCTTCGAGAAGCTAGCCAGAGGTGAACGAGCCATATGGCTTGTCGAAAGGATGAGTGAAGAGGTACAAGGTGGGAGGTTATCCGCACTCGATCAATCAGGAGCACTGGTGAAAGCAGGCAGCTGCGAAGAGAGGGCTTCGAGGTGGGCATCTGCCAGGCACTCGACACACGATCCTCTGGGGCTCTTGAGATGGAGCGACAGTTTGAGGACAAGGGGCTGGATTGCTCTCCAGGTTATTGGTAGCTTTGGTATGATTGGCGGGCTTGCTTTCTGGCTAGCAAGAACGTGGGGTCTGACCTCCACGATCAATGAATGGACTCACGCTTGGACTTGGAATCCATTTGCTGTGGAATGCAATCACGCAAGGCCAATCTTCATTTAGCTACGACAATTACTTGAATGATGGGATGAGACAACGAGCATGACGCTTGGATGGTCTTGCCAATGAGCAACCAGGATAATCGCTGGGAAAAGCTCACATAACATATCACTTACCAACCAGGGCAATTAGTCAGATACATAGTTGAAGTCAATTCCCTTACCAGAGAGCTTGGTGCCAGTGTGCTCATGGCCGGGGCCTAATGACATATGTGCTGGGACTCTTACCTCAATATTGTCATCATGCCTACGGAGTTACTAACTTAGGCTCCAGCCTCCCATTGAAGCTCGAGGCCCATTAATACGGATAGCGGGATGTCCTTGCGTCAACAATCGCACCAGAAAATGTTTCATCATGTTTGCAAACCAATCTCGGGCTTCGGTTGAGAAATCTTTCATCACATTTCTGCAGTGTCGCAACGCATGCTCTGCTTCACTCGTATTACGTATGCTCGTACACAGTGCCAAAGATAACTTCTAGGGCATTGATTTGGCCAATCGGAGTAAGGCCCATGGAGCATCAGAGCCAATTGATTAGTTAAGACCAACTGAGGTTGGAAGTGCAGTGGGCGACCAGGTCACCAGAGCCCACTGAACAAATCAGACACGTTGAGATCGTGTTTCTTCATTCTGTATGGCTTAGGGCGACGCCAGAAATCACTTTTGCGGCGGCATTATGTATGGTACTAATAGCTCAATCGCACTAGAAAACGCTAGAGATAAAAGGCCACCATGGCGGGGACATTTGTCAGCTGTATCGAAGATGTTTGAACTGTTCTGTAGAATGCGTAGAAAGCAGGTTGTATTATCTACCAAGGAGCTATATGGCAAAGTGAAATTAGTTGCGAAATTGCAGTAGATCTTGACCAATAAAACGCAGGCAAAACGCAGGATAAACTCCGCAAAATTGGCCACTAGGCGCTCGTACGGTTTGACAGAAGAGCATTGTTGTTGGGTGCGAATGCGAGGCTGTTTATTAGCATCTCCCAAAAACCCCAGTTTCCCGGCAGCATGTGCCTTCATGCGGCTGGAATCCTTTCGTATCGAGGCTACGCGGCATGGGAACCAGGATGAAAGAAGTCTTTCTTTCCTATGGCTCGGAACAGAATTCATCTCGGAGGATTCGGCCAGGAAGTGAGGGTGTGGAAGATGGATAACTGACTTGCCACGTAAGTACTGCTCCGTACATGGCATAAGTATCCCTAGCATGGCGTTAATATTTGCCACTTCGAACATCATAGATACGGATAGCCCTGTCGATGCTAGGGATCAAACAAACAAATTAATTCTAATTAGGCAATTTCTGGGCACCCTATCCTCGCTATAGCAAGGGGCTGATACGTAGCGTATGACTTTATACGCATTAACGCTTTTCTAGCGCTGTGCTAGGGATACTTATGCCTCTCCTTGCAGTACGACATTGAGCATAAATAATATTAGCTCTGCGCTAACTAGTATTTGCCTCTCAGAATGCTTTCATTACAGATACCCTTGACGTCTTTGTACAACACTCCCATCGCGATTTTACACAGTCCTAGACACTCTATCCTAAATGTGACAAGGAACAGATATGTGACGTTCTATCTTCACGTAGCATTACTAGGACTCCGTATCTTGCTAAGATTATAGATGCCTGATGCCGTTGTGGGGCCTTGGCGCTGAGGGGTTGCATCTCATCCGAACTTTTATTTAACTAGATACTTCCTAGCTACGTAGTAGATACACTAGTAATCCCAAAACCTGAGACTAGCCCACACCGTACTGGACACACCTCCATGGGGAACACTGTCCCCTGAAAGGTCAAAGAAGTCTTAACCAAATGAGAATTAGTTAGAGTCCCTTGTGCATCTGGGGCGTGTTGCATAAGTCAGTTGGTCATATTACCTATACTACGGCTACAGGCCTAATTTTTCTACCCCCCTGGTCGAAAACGCTAGTATCCGTACAAAACATACTATGCAGAATTGAGTATAGATATAAACAAATTCGCCCAATTAGGACTAGTCTACTAAAATCGAGTTTGTTTTCCATTGGCATCTAAAACTGCTTGACATCTCTCCTGCATTGACTCAAGCAACTCCTTGAGATATTCAGGGGGCACAGCATCCCATGCAGCATTAACAGCTGTTCGTAGCTCATCGTACTTGTGCAGGGTATCGCCATAACGCTCTTGTATCTAATCCTTCATCCAATTCCATACCATCTCAATTGGATTCAAATCAGGCGAATATGCAGGCCATTGGATACAAGATATGCCACGTTGACGAAGATCTTGAATAGTACCCTTAGCAGCATGAGCAGGTGCAGCATCTTGCATAAATATCAATCCTTCGCTGCTATTTGTTCGTATCCAATTCTCAATAAAAGGTACGATATGCTCTCGATATGTTGTTTCTTTGATAGTACCCCATTCTTTCTCCCAAAAGATACCAGGACCTTTTCTATCACCATTGAAACAACCCNNAATCCACATGCTCAGAAGCCCATCGAAAACGCGCTTTTCGAGTCTTTTCAGAAATAAGAGGTTTACGACGAGCAACTCGACGTGAAAAGCCTGCTCTTCGTAGAGCATTTCGGATGGCATACCATCCGATATTGATCTTCATAGCAAGGGGGATTTGGATCCATGGAGTACGTCGATTAGCTGCAGAAGAACAAATCCACGCAATAATTTGCTTAAGTTCTTCTTCAGTAATAATTGAATGCCGTCCAGTATGCTTTTTAGGTATTAATCGATTGCGAATAGCATATTAGATTTGACTTCGAGTAAGATTTGGTAACTGCCGACGAATTTCATTGTACGAATAGCCTGCGTCGTGTAGAGTTTGGACTTGTAAACGTTGATCTCGAGTAGAATGAGAGGAATGAGAGGAATGAGGAGGAGTAGAAGGTCTATTAGACTCATTAGTATCCGTATCGAATTAATAGAATGAGCAGGATTTGTATAGAATTCGCAGCATTTGCAGAATTTGCAGATTGACAAAATTCGTGCAAAATAGCAACAGGGATGCTGACAGGGATGCGTATGTAAAAGTGGCGTTTGTAAGATATTTTGACCAAGGGGGGGGTAGAAAAATTAGGCCTGTAGCCGTAGTATACACCACAGTTTCACCTGCCTCTCCTCCTTCACCCTTATCTTTCTCCTTCCTACATTCCTCCTTCATCACCATCATGGCGGTGCCTTTACCACTCTCTCGTCAGCACAACATCGAGTTTCTGAACACTATCGGTGGGAGAATTCTCGGTCTGCCACTTCCTCCTACCCGCAAGATTGACCTTGTCGATGGCAAGCGCGAAATTCCCATGAAGGTCTTGTGTCTGGGATACTCAAGAACTGGCACATTGTCACTTTTCACTGCTCTGCAGATGCTCGGGTACAATCCCTACCATATGGTCGAAGCGGCTAAGAATGCAAATGTAGATATGCCCTGCTGGATTCAGGGAATAGAGGCCAAATTCTGCGGAAAAGGCAAGCCATGGGGGAAGGAGGAGTTTGATAAGCTCACAGGGAGATATGATGTGCGTGAATCAAGCCGTACATTCGAGTATCGCAGCTTACTCTCACAGGCTGTCCTTGATGTTCCTTGCATTTTGTTCGTAGAAGAGCTTTTGGCGGCGTATCCTTCTGCCAAGGTTATCCTGACCGAGCGACCGGTGGAAGGTGAGTTAAATGTCTTTGTGACAGGCGAATCGCACGCGCAAGCTGATTCCTACTGCACAGGCTGGCTGAAATCGATGAAAAACTCCCTCGGTGAAGTCTTCTCTTGGAGGCGATGGAGATACGTCGCGTGGGCTGACACCGAACTGGCTGCACCTCTATGGGAGCTGGGCGTGAAGCTGACGAACCTCAAGTGGGGAGGAGGAGACTACTCGGAGAACTCGGTGGCCGCAAAGGAATATCTGGAACACTACCAGCTGGTGCGCAAAGTTTGCCCTCCAGAAAGATTGCTCGAGTTCAAGTTAGGTAGTGGCTGGGAGCCGCTGTGCCAGTTCTTGGGTACAGAAGCACCGGATGTGCCGTACCCTAACATCAACGACAAGGAGATGTTTGTTGGCTCACACAAGGCAATTCTGGATAGAGCGACTTACTACGCCATCCAGAAGGTGCTGAAATGGACTGTACCGGTTGGGCTGGCCGCGGCAGGAGCAGCGTGGTACTGGCAGGCCTTGAGATCATAGCTATGTTACAGTGGCATCTGCGCGTGAGCCGACCCATATCAATTTCCATTTTTAGGGAGGGCATGCACTGACTGGAGTGATTGGGTTTCCGGTGGTGCGGCTGTCATTCATGAAGACTAATGCCAATTTGAGCCTACTACTTACCAGGAGAAGTATAAATGACCACCATATTAATATGATAAGAGATGCATATTTTGACCATAATATGATCATATTTTCAGTAAAATACGTTATAGATAGTAGTTTTTTTAGATCACAGACGACTAAGTTGTATATCCTCGTACTCTCTAAGTAATATCATGGTTAGGCTTAATCTAAGCGCACTTTGATGGCTCTCCTAGCATTATTTTAAGAGGGCCTCTTCCTGCTAAGTACTACTAGTACGTAGGACTGACCAATGCTATACTAGCACAGCCTTGGCGTTTCCCGGATCACTTCCCTCCAAACTTTTTATTTTGAACCTCTTCTCGTAACCATTCCAACACCATAATGATGTGGAGGAGCTCCATCCCAGGGCTATGGACCCTTCATCGGTCTTTCTATGTCTCTTCTGAAGGAGCTTCTACTGCAGGGCATCATAGTGACCTCGTATCATTCTCATCCATCCCCACGCTTTCATCCGGACGGCTTGCTCGATCCGAGCAAAGAGATATGAGCAAACTCATGTAATGGCAGACTGGCCACACCCATGGGCTGCCTGAAGTCTTAGGCGATTGAGTATCTTGATTCCTAGCAAGAGTTGATCAAATATGCTGGATGGGTTCCGGGAGCAGGTCGGTAAGCTCTGGAAGCATGGAGCAAAGACAGGATGCCATGCTGTGGAGGCTTCCTCGCTGACCAAGGACGATCAAACTGATTGGGTTCTTTCCAAGACCAGTCAATCAGATCATGCACTTCTCCTTCCTTGGTGGATATCATGCTCTTCGCAAGTGCTTTGAAAGATTTGGAAGAGCACGTAGCAAGTGTGGGTTGAATAGAACAGCGCTTGTGTCACCGTTCAGAATGACGATGATATGCTATCAAGCAGCATACCGGCTGCTTCTAATTCAGCCAGTTTGGGAACTTTGCCCACCAAATGTGTGCGCTTCGAAGGTGGACGACCTCTCTTCGTGGTGAAAGATTCCGCTATGCCAGACAACATTTGAAGCTAATGAGTTTGCACTCTGTCAAGACCTGATATTTGGTTAGCCCAAGACAACAACTCTCGGAGAACGACACCCTTTGCAGCTTTCTTCAACCACTAAATCCGCATACGGACACAGCAGCACCCTACCACATACAAATCCCGAAAGAAAAAGGGCTCAAGTCTGCTCGCCCATGTTCGTCTGATTATACACAGAAGCAGAAAAGCCAAAAAAAAAATTTAATTTCCTTTCGGGGGTTCGAACTAGAACCCCCAAGGAATTGGACCCTCAATGTAACCACGCCCTCTTTGTGGTAATGACCGAGTGGAGTTGACGCTGACAGAGATACGGAGAAAACGGAAGTGCCTTCATCCGGGCGTCCGTTGTAACTCGACGTATCTTTCAGTACTCTGTACTGGGAGACATAGCCAAATAGTTATGGGATGCCTCCACCCGTCAAGCCATAACGCTGGGGATGTCTCACTACGACTTGCTCACCCACACAACCCGCTCGGCCAACAGGGCAGAATTCTAAAGTTGAAGGGTTGGCGTTCATAGTTTATTTCTACTTTACTGTGTTTGTTGAACACACGCCAAGCCGCGCAATGGAACACATTACCTCCATAACACCGGTGTTCTGTTCTATCCTGGGTCACCATCAATGTGTTTTGGCAGCCATCTGAGGAACACTCGAAATGGGGCGCCTTGAATTTCTCCATGGATATAAAATTCTGCTCATCCACTACATCAGTTTGCCAGTTTTTCGACACTGACGCTACTTCTTGAGAATCCAACCTCTACTTCATACGCATTATACTCGGGTCGTCTCAGCTCCTGAAGCCTCAATAAACCTCAATTCTAAGCCCAGGGAGACCTCCGCATGCCTTCAAAATCAAAACGTGGCGCGGGGAACCGCAGCAAGACAGCAAAAACAGGAGAAGCCCTTCTCGCGCAGTTGGATGCCGATCCGCGTATGCCTGCTGACTACACTATGTGTCAGGAGCTCTGCATATATGAAGAGGACGACGATGATTTTGCTCGGATTCTTTTTGAGTTCGCGCAGGACCCCTGCAATGTGGAGCTCATGCAACGCAACGATACGGACAGTTTCTGGGAGCTTGCCAACCGTTTTCTTACAAACGAAACGAAACTCCTGTTCTGGCCCTCGTTCTTGATTGAGACGCAACACAAATTCTTCCACAACCTGTAAGCTCATTCCATTATTAACACAAGATTTCGTGCTGACATGGAGTCCATCGGTATAGTCTCGAAGCCAAGTTCTATCACATCTTCAAATTCCTGAGCGGACTCAAAGTTGCTGGAGTGAGTGCCCTTCCACTCTTGATGTCGCGATATGTAAAATCTGACCTTAGCTTTTACGCAGCCTGAAATCTATTTCCAAGAGTTGAACGAGGACTATGGCGGCCCACGCAACTTCGAAAAATGCAATAAAATCAAGGACAGCAGAATTCGAAGCAGCGAGCTTCTCGAGCACGTGCTCCAGACACACATGGAAGAAGATGATTACGAAACGCTGCTGAAAGAAAAGATGAAGGAGTACGAGGAAGCCGAGGAGGACTACGAGAAGTGGGAGAAGAGTGGCTACCAGAGAAAAATCTGGATCAAGGGTGGCAATACTGGAGTCTTTGTTGAAGCCGAAGATTACTGGGCTGGCGTCCACGACGACTTGCTTGGAAGCGATGTTGAAGACTGTGTCTTCTATATGGTTGATTCCATGCTGGACCGATTCTCCTTGTTCTGGAGCGCGCCAGATTTGTACATCAAGTGGCATTTCAGGTTTAGCAGTCAAGACGTGCATGTTCCATAGAAAAAAGCACTAGCTACGTTTCAAAGAAGCGTCAGCCAAGCTCGACCTTGTGCTCAAATTGCTACGTCTTCTACTAGTACTACAACACAGTACTTGGTATACCATTACTATCAGGAAGTTGGACGTTGCCACTGCACTAACTACTACGTAACAAGCAGCCAGGGCTCGTGTACTGAGCGGCGAAAGGCGATCATGTGCTAACGGGACCACTGGTGCTTGAGCAGCCTCACTCTTTCCGGGGAAGATCACCGCCGATCTGTGACAGACTAGTTAAGCTCTAGAGCGAGCTTGTTTAGGGGATGATCCATTATGGATGTGAAAAGTGGGATGATAATACCATACTCGGTGGTCGTGGTGCGTCCAAAGAAGTGCACTCATTGTGGACGCATGAAATGGAGATGAGTACAGATAATTTCTACCCTACCAGGAGTCGAGTACAGAATACGTAGTAGACAACAAATGACCACTTATCTGGATCCTTGCCACCAGAAAACGTGCTCTGCAAGAAAAACGTGGCCGCCGGTAAAATAGCATCCTCTTGCTCCAAAGAGCTTAGCTGCCCCGTAGTAGGTTCTGTTAGAGGCACACCCCAAGCATTCTCTCCCCTTCACCTGATGAACTCCTGAGTTGGATCATCAGTCCTTGATCCAGTATCCCTTTCCGCCCTAACACATTTCTTACAAGAGTGACGCCTCTTCTCCTGTTCACCCATCCTAGGCATCGAAGGCTTCAATCACTACACTGGCATCACATATCTCAGGTCACAAAATAACTGTTCCCCAGGGCCGATCAAGAGCCGTTGGCTAGGTCATTCGGCAGTGTAACCAACAGCCTGCAACGTGTTTCAGTACTCCACCGGACACCCATCGGAAGCACCGTATCTCACCAGCAAACAATCGCACCCTGTTTCCTCCTCGCTAAGCTCGTCTAATCCTATCAATTCACCGCCTATCCTAAGATCCACTACTCAGATCTCTCTTGTGAATTCAGAGATTGTACATTGTGCGAGAAGCAAACCGCTGTTTCAGCCTTGACACAAGCTCAACTCAGCTCTGTTTGACGCCTTCGCCTAGTAAGCGTTACCTGCCATCTGAGTCATTCGTCGTCACATCTGGTACAACCTGTGCGGGATACCGATTATTGCCTCGACCATGTCTCGGCGATCGCTCGAATCCCAGAGACCCATTATGGCTCAATCTGTAAGTCGACCACCCTGATCCTTCTCTGTAGCGCCCAAGAGCGTCCTAGATGGCCATGCTATCTGATGCTTCAACGAAGTCCACCCTCGATTTGACTTCTCATCCACTTGGCCGCTAGCAATCTAATATGCTGATTATACCACTTCCGCAGCTCTTCTCACAACGTACCTCGATGAATCGCATGTCTGTCTACTCCACCTCACCTTCATTCGCTTCGACAAACTCGACAGAAATGGCCAATGGAATGGCAGAGATCAAGGAGCTTGCTCAAGGCCTTGACCGGCTAAAAGATAAGCGTCTGGAGCAGCAACGATTCGTGCAGTCCGCTCAGAAACAAGACGACCTGTCAAAGTTGGCGTTAGGAGCCAAGCTGGAGCGGGCGCTCGGACGTCGAATGACGAAACAAGATGCCGTGATGAGGGTCAAACCGCGGCAGCCTTCCCGTCCAAGCTTGATTGATGAGAAAGCAGCTCTTGCAGAGAAACAAATTCTGGCAGCTTGAGATGAAACAGACGTTCTGGAGACTTGCTAGTAAGCCATTTCTCGTATGGTGGCAGCTCAATGAGTGCATAGCTGTTTGAGTGCATAGTTGTTTGCAGGGAGTCTATGACTTGGTAGGGTGAAGCGGCTCACTTCTGGTCATTGGCGCCTGAAGATATGCCGACACCTTTCCTGCTTTGTCATTGTTGGAATCGAAAATCGCTCCTGGCGTTTGCTTTGTGTTCAGGACAATCAGTCAGCATGACTCTTGTCAGCCGGGGTTTGCGTGTCGCCATCGATTTGGATACAGAGCCATTAGGAGGGATGGCCGATTTAGATATTCTCAGCCATCATCAACCATTATCCATCATCACGAAGGCCTTTCCACGGCTTTTTTTCCCTTCATCTGTCAATTTCAGATACTCCATCAGTGTGCTCGTCCACCGCCTTTGTCGAATCACGCAGAGTGTTTGTGTGGGTATGCGCAACGTATGTGTCTTGCATCGAGAAAGGGGCTTTGGGTTCCAGGCTGCACGGATAATTTGCACGATGCTAAGCAGGGAAGATAGCCAGCTCTCGTCCGCATCAAATCGTAGCCACTTTCCCGAGATGGCTTTGTCTAGCTTTCTAGCATCTGCGATCCTTCCCGTCCCCGTCCTCTGGAACAGGAAATCTTACAAAACTTGTTTAGTCTGGAACTTCGCATGCACAAGCCACAAGAAGCCATACCCCTAGGTCTTAGCCAATTCATCCTATGTTTGTTGCCTTTACGGAGTATCACGCTGAGACAGCCTGCTAAACGAGCAACCTCGTGCCCCGGCCCGTTCTGAATACTACGTAAATGCAATCTTGAAGTATTAGAAATGGCGACCCGACAGATGCAAGCTCTTTCCAAGCTCGAGCCTTTTGAGAATATTATCAGAAACCCCCACGGCGGGTACCTGCAGATACGGGACCGATATGCTTCCCCTTCCGGTACTCTTGGGTCCAATACCATGGATGAGAGAACTAGCAGTCTTTCTGCTTCACTGCTAGGTATCATCTGCAAGCAGTTATGGCAGAGGTAACTCTGGAGTGTGATGGACCGGATGGTATGAGTGCTACTGAGTCTACTGCGGCGCATCCAGAATGTTTCAACTGAACAAAGACACGGAAGAAGGAAGAGGAACGGGGCTGTTCGGATCCGGCTTGCGCAGCCCAGCGACCGCCATGCAGATTTGAGATTTGAGGTCTTAGCAAGGGGTCATCTAGGTCTTGGAAATGTGGGCTCTGATAACTTGACGCTGGCCAGTGACCAGGGGTCATACTACTACCATGGTACTCCTAGCAGCAGGCGGTGATATTGGGAACGTGACGAACGACTGACGAACGACGTTGGAGCCCTGGTGCCAAGAGCGACTACCAGCGTACTATTTAGTGGTGGAGAAAAAGGAGAGCGGATCCAGGCCGGCGCTAAAAGCCACACAACTTCCCCAGTCGCTTGGTCCAGCCAATCCACCGGCCTCCTTTCCGCAATACGAGGGCCTGAAATGATAATGCGCTCCTCCTGACCTCCACATTGGGCCCATCGCTGATATGGCAAAGCGAGGTGCTGTCTTTCAATTGTCGATCTGTGACCTCGCTGTACGGAGTAGAGCCCAGACATTCGAGCAGGGGATGAGCCCAGACTCGAGCAATTGCAATCTTGTGACCCTCGCAGTCCTATATCATCCCCTTCGCCCTTCCTTGGCTCATCTATTCGTTTAATACGGTTCTGGTCCAATTCTCACACTCCTTCAAACTTGGCTGTCCTTCTCCTGCCGTCGCATTCTCTGCGGGCAATTGTCACTCGTTCCAGTAACTCTCTAATTTTCAGACCTCTTCCGTTATGGCCTCGTTTTTCTCACGTGCCATGTCACTCGTTTTCCTTACATTCTTGTTTAATATTGCTTTTTTCTCTTCCCACGTTGCTGCGTTGGGCAAGACTGACACCATCACTTGGGGTGGTGATGTCTCCCGTGCAGGATATCAAAATAATCATAATATGGACCCGGCGATTGTGGGGAGCTCACAGTTCGGGCTCCTCTACAGAACACGACTCCCTGGTGCCTACAACGGAGCAGCCGAGCAGATCTACTCTCAGCCCCTCGTGTACACGTCGAGTGACGGCGTCCAGTATGTCTTCGTTGCCACCACCCAGAACAACGTGTACAAGATCAACGCGAAAACCGGCGTAATTGTCCTGCAACGAAATCTTCATGTCCCCTTCCTCACTGCCGATCTGGACGGCTGTGTCGATATTAATCCTCTGATTGGTGTCACCGCCACCGGGGTTATCGATCCAGCCACAGATGTCTGGTACTTGACAGCGAAGACGTATGTTGACCAAAGCCCCACTGGAGCCAAGGGAAGACCAAACGGACGCTACTACATCCATGCCATCGATACCAATACGCTGGCTGAGAAGCCAAACTTCCCTGTCGACCTCGAGGGCATGGTTGCAAGAAACAACCCTGTACGCTCCTTCAATGGAGGTATTCACCACCAACGACCTGCTCTGCTCCAGGCAGGGCAATACATCTATGCTGGCTTTGCCAGTCATTGTGTGCAATACAACTTCACTGGTTGGATTGTCGGATGGGACAAGACCAGTGGTGCTCTGGTGGAAAGGTTTGCAACGGAAGGAGGTAAGATTGCCTATCCTTGAATTGTGAATCAATACTGAGCTGGAACTAGCTGGGGTCGGGCCTACTGTTCCGGGGGCTGGCGTGTGGATGTCAGGTGGTGGTCTAGCATCAGACGGCAAGGGATCCATGTTCTTTGCAACCGGCAACGGTTACGCTTCGCAGCTCTCTAATGTTCCCGTCTCTGGTCGCAATCCTCCTACGGCGCTTGAAGAAGCAGCGGTCCATATGACCATCAACGGCGATGGTTCGCTGACTGTGGTCGACTTTTTCATGCCATGGGAAAAGCAAGCTCTGGATGGAGCAGACAAAGATCTGGGCACCTCTCCCCTCGAGATTCTTCCGAGCCAGTTTTCATGTGGTGTTTATCAACGCATTGGAGTCATTACAGGCAAGAGCGGAAAAACCTACTGGATCAATCTCGACGACATGGGCGGCTACCAGAACGGACCCGACAAGCTCGACGATGTCATCCAAGTCTTCCAAAATGAGAACTCCGTCTATGCCGGTGCCGGGGTGTACCCTCTCGAAGGTGGCTACATCTATATCAACGTCATCCAGTATAAGACCCATGTCTTCAAGTTTTCTTGCAGCAACGGAATCCCATCCTTCACCCAGGTCGCCGACTCGCCGGAGAAAAATGCCTACATCCTCGGTGTGGGACACGGAACAGTCACGTCGCTTGATGACCAACCAGGCACCGGGCTGGTGTGGACTTCGGATGTGGAAGGGGCAAATCTCCGCATTTACGACGCCGTCCCGCAGCAAGGCGTCTTGCGCTTGATCAACTCATTCGTGACTCCCGGAGTGACCAAGTTTACCCGCCCCGTCTTCGGTGATGGCATTGCCTACCAAGGCACGACGCAGGGCTATCTATATGCATACGGCGCGCCAGTCAACCTGCCTCTTGAGTGTAGTGGTCCTTATGATTTTGGTGTCGCCAGCCTGAACACAACATCCGCCACCCGCGCTGTCCAGTGTCAAGCCAAGACCGCGCTCACCGTCAGTGCCATCGCTCTTTCGGGAAACAACAACTTCGTGCTCAGTGGGCTGCCAACGCTTCCACTACAAGTTGCCGCCGGCACCAACTTCACCTTCAATGCCGCTTTTGCCCCGAAACAGATTGGTTCCCTCCAGTCGGATGTGGTTGTCAACACAACCCAAGCTGCGGCAGGTTATTCCATCAACACGGCTATTCGTCTGAAGGGCGTTGCCGAAAGCACGGCTCCGGTGCTGTCCATCACTCCGAATGTGCTTAGCTTTGATGGGACTATCGTTGGACAGAGCGTTGGTGGTGTCAATAAAACCGTCATCTGGTCCAACCTGGGCAACGGCCCTTTGACGGTGAGTGGCATTCAATACTCCCTCGTCAGCGAAACTGGCCCATGGGTGGCACCGAACTCTACCGGAGATGGCAAGACGGTCATTAGTGCCTTCACCATCTTCGGCGAGCCTTCAAGCATTGCCGGGAAAACTGATACTCCTGTCACGGTAAACTTCAACCCTCCAACCAGTGGGGGATATGCCGTCTACATGAAGGTGTCCTCCGATGGTGGAAGCAAGGTCTACGATATCATCGGTACCGGTGCTGACTACCCAATGGCCTTACTCGAATTCGAGAAGCCTGACGGCTCTGGTTGGGTCGAATATGACAATAGCACCGCGTTCACATTTGGCAGCGTCACTCAGAACACCGTCCGATACCTGAAGATGCGCTTGAGCAATGTCGGCACCGGCAATGCTGCGAGGCTTAGTGTCACTGTCAGCAAACCACCATTTGGCGTGCCAGGCATCATTGGGGCCAACAATCAGATGGATTTGGGTGAGGGCTCCACCATCGGGCCTGGCCAAAGTGCCATTGCAACACTCTATTGTGCGCCACCCAAGAGTCAGGTCAATGTTGATGCCTACAATGGTACTGCCGAGTGGACCATGAATCTGGGAGACCCGGCGTTTGGAAAGCAGGTTATCAAGTTTTTCTGCAATGCCGTCTCCGAGCAATATCCGCCCTTGGACAGTGCGCAACAAGGCCTTTATCGTTACTATGGCTGCTTCAAAGAGAACAATCCTGGCCGCCAGTTGCAGACACAGATATATGGCTCCCCAGACAACACGAACGGAAAATGCATGGCAGCTTGCTCGGCCGCAGGGTACATCTTCGCTGCGACACAGTATAACTCGGAATGTTGGTGTGGCAATTATCGGCCCAAGCAGCTTGTCGACGAGAAGAACTGCAACTTTGCATGCTCGGGGAAGGTCACCGAGGTCTGCGGTGGTAACGGTATCACTGAAGATGGCTCTTTTCTGTCTCTTTTTGGTGACCGAACCCGCTTCGACGGCAACCTTACCAAGGACGTTGGACCGTTTGTCAATCCAGGCGTGCTTGGCTTCACAAGTCAGGGTTGTTATACCGAGGCGACAACTGGGAGAGCTCTCGCAAGAGGTGTAAACCCAGTCCCCGTTACGATTGCTGGTTGTATTTCTGCCTGCAAGAGTGGTGGAGACTCGCTGGCTGGTATGGAGTATGGGGGCGAATGCGTAAGTTCTGGCCGCATCAAGAATCAAGAATGAAGACATCCGCTAACAATTGCTGCAGTACTGTGGTAATAGCCTAGCAGCTGGCTCGGTTCCAGCCCCTGCTGGTGACTGCAACATGGTCTGTCGTGATAATGGAACCGAATTCTGTGGTGGTGGTAGTCGTCTCAACATATACAAGTTGGACACTTCTGCATCGGACCCCGTTAACGGAACTGGAACATCTTCCAGTCCCACGCCGACTCCGACGGGACCTACCATTAGAAGGAACGCTGGTAATTTTACTTACCAAATGTGTGCCACAGAAGTGCCTGGTCGTGCGTTGAATGGGAAAGCTGTCGCTTCAGATGACATGACTGTTGCGCGTTGTGCTGGCAATTGTACAGACTACACGTATATGGCTGTTGAATATGCGAGAGGTAAAGTAACATCAAGCTGTCCATTGACTTGGTGCTGACATTTCCCTAGAATGTTTCTGCGGCAATACGCTGGCGGCTGGATCTGTTGCTGCTACTGACGGTAGGTGTAATATGGTGTGTGCCGGCAACACAACCGAGTACTGTGGTGGTCCCAATGGTCTCTCTCTTTACAAATATGAGGCACCGCTAGCCAGTATCGTCAACTCTTCTACCTTCTCCGAGAACTCCACCGTGTCAAGTACGATGTCAGCAACATCCTCTACATCTTCCCCATCGTCTTCCACCTCCTCAACCAACTCAACATCCTGGACCTACTCGGGCTGCGCCAACGAGACCACCGGCCGTGCCCTCTCCGGCGCTTCCACCGCCTCCGCCGACATGACCCCTCAAAAATGTCAAACCTTCTGCCTCTCCAAGAACCTTCCGATGGCTGGACTCGAATACTCCACCGAATGCTTCTGCGGCACCGACCTGGGCCCGGGCTCCACCTACAACCAAACGGGCTGTTCCATGCCCTGCGGCGGAGACAAGACGCAAACCTGCGGCGGGCCGAACCGTCTCGACGTGTACGAGTACCCGGGATACGTCAAGCCTTCGCACCCGAGGAAGGTCGGCCTGTACGACTTTCTGGGCTGTTATGCCGAGCCAGCTACGGGCGGGCGAGCGCTGAGCGGGTACAGCTTCGTCAACGCCACGGACATGAGCGCCGAGTTCTGCGTGAGTGGCTGCGCGGCCAGGAACTACACGTATGCCGGAGCGGAATATGCGAAGGAGTGCTGGTGCGGGAACGAGCTGAAGAGCTCGGCGACGCTGTTGGAGGAGCAGAAATGCGATATGCTCTGTGCCGGCAATCGGAACGAGTACTGTGGCGCTGGCAGCAGGCTCAGTGTTTGGAAGAGTAGATGAGGTCGGAGGCAATGAGTAATGAAGAGTAGGAATACGGAGTAGAGGGGGACAAGAAAAGGAGAGTTGAGGTGATTTGGATATGAAGGAGGGCAAGATTTGAAATCATCGTTCTTCTTCTAGCCGCTCTCTTCCCCCCCACCCCGCAACTTCGGGGATGAACATATATCTACTCCGACATAGGGTTATCAGCCCATCTAACTTGGACAAAGAGTAATTCATGGAAACATCGCACTTGGATATCTTCTTACCTGCGCTCCAACATTGAATTTTTTTCTTCTTCTTCTTCTCTATTTCAGAA